TCCGCTGTGGCAAGCCCGGCCACGTCGCCAAGTCCTGCCCCCTCAAGTCCGGCTCCCGTGCTCCCGCCTCTGGTTCCCGCTTCCCCGGCTCCCGTCCTCAGGCTCCCGGCTCCCGTCCCCGTTCGAAGGTTGTCCGAACCATCGTCTACGATGATGGTGAGGAGGAACACTTCGAGTCGGGAAACGACCAGGCCCAGATCTAAGTGGAGGCTTAGATCTGGAGCCGTCTCCCCTTCCTCCAGAAGCAAGCGTCGATGGTAAGGAGCATGAGGTAAGTGTCGAACGCATGGCTATGTGTGGAATGATCAATGTAGTCGGTGGTGGATCGCACTCTGTCAAACCCGCCTCTTCTAAGGGCACATCTGGCTCCCAGATGTCTTTGACAGAGCTCCCGATCTCCACACCACCTGCGAACTTGGTCATCTGCTCGAACCATGCTGCCGACACTGATCTCTGCTCCGAGCCTTCTTCGTGCGTCTCGTCGAATTCTTCGTCTTCTCCCGTTTTCTCCGCTTCTCTTGTTCTCCCTTCTGGTCGCTCCCTCTCTTGCCAACTTCTCGTCGATTCTGGTGCCTCCGGCAACTTCATCGACGAGAGCTTTGTTGACCGCTTCTCGGTCCCCCTCGTTTCCAAATCCACTCCCCTCCCTGTCCAAGGTGTCGATGGCCAGCCACTTTCTTCCGGCCCCATCACTTTTGAGACGGAACCCCTCAAGATTGTTCTTGGGGACTACACTCAACACCTTTCCTTTGATGTCATTAAGTCTCCCCACCAACCTGTTATCCTTGGCTATCCCTGGCTGCAGTCCATCGAACCTAGGTTCCACTGGGCTCGTGGACTCCTTTGCCTTCCCCGTCCTGCAAACCACATCCTCAAGGTTGTGGATGCCTCTTCCCTCCCTTCCGTTTCTTCCGTTTCTCCTTCTCCCCTTCCTCTTGTTGGCGACACACCCAATGTTTTCCCTCGTGCCTCTACCGACACCACTGTGGTGCTCGCTTCTTCGCCTCGCACCGTTTGTACTCGCGAAGATGATCAGAATAAAGTGATCGCTCAACGTTATTCTGATTGTGTTCCGAGTGAGGTGCCCTGTTCCTGTGCTGCTCGTCCTGGTCCCTCCGGTCTCGTCTCCGTCCGTCCTGGTCTCCCCGGTCCCGTTGCTCCCAGCCCCGCTCCTGTCCGTGTCCAAGCGATCAGGTACAAGTCGTTGGAGCAGTCCGTCCTCGACACACAGTCTAGCCCCGACCCCCTGACTGTGTTCCAAGTCCTCGTCCTTCCTGCCACCGATCCGGATCCGACGCCCCTCTCGACGTCGATCCCCGAGGAGTACAAGTCGTTTGGCTCAGTCTTCTCGAAGCAGGAAGCCGATTCGTTGCCCCCGCACCGGACGTACGACTGCCCGATCGACCTGGAGCCCGGCAAGACCCCCAAGTTCGGACCGCTCTACTCCCTGTCAGAGCCCGAACTCAAGGCCCTTCGTGAATACCTCGACGACAACCTCGTCAAAGGGTTCATCCGTCCTTCGTCCTCTCCCGCCGGTTCTCCGATCCTTTTCGTCAAGAAGAAGGACGGCTCTCTGCGTCTCTGCGTGGACTATCGCGCATTGAACACGATCACGGTCAAGAATCGTTACCCCTTACCGTTGATCAATGAGATGCTGGACCGAGTCCGGGACGCGAAGGTGTTCACGAAGCTGGACCTCCGCGGGGCCTACAACCTGCTGCGTATCCGCGCAGGCGACGAGTGGAAGACGGCCTTTCGCACTCGTTACGGCCAGTTCGAGTACTTGGTGATGCCCTTTGGACTCACCAATGCTCCGGCCACCTTCCAGCACTTCATCAACGATGTCCTTCGTGATGAACTGGACAACTTTGCGATTGCCTACCTTGACGACATTTTGATTTACAGCGCTGACCCCACTCAGCATGCAAATCACGTCAAGCAGGTCCTGGCCAAGCTCCAGGCTGCAAAGTTGTACTGCAAGCTGGAGAAGTGCGAGTTCTCCAAGGACAAGGTCTCATTCCTCGGCTACGTCATCTCGCCCAAGGGTATCGAGATGGAACGAGCAAAGCTCTCCGCCATTGTCGACTGGCCCGTCCCCCGCAATGTCTCCGACCTTCGCTCCTTCATTGGGTTCTCGAACTTTTACCGTCGCTTCATTGACGGATATGCCAAGATCGCCGGTCCGCTCACGCTCCTGTTCAAGAAGTCCCAGGTCTTCCGCTGGTCCCCCGACGCCCACAAGGCTTTCCAGTCCCTCAAGGAAGCCTTCGTCTCCGAGCCCGTCCTTGCGCACCCCGACCCATCCAAGCCCTTTGTCGTGGAGTCTGATGCCTCAGACTTTGCGATCGGATGCGTCCTGTCCCAGCGCGGCTCCGATGGCCACCTGCACCCGTGCTCCTTCCACTCCCGCACGCTCATGGATGCTGAACGCAACTACAGCATCTATGAGAAGGAGCTCTTGGCCATCAAGGAGGCTTTCGAGGTCTGGCGACACTACCTCGAAGGTGCCCAACACCCAGTCCAAGTCCTTACCGACCACAAGAACTTGGAATACCTGGCGTCGGCCCGCATCCTCAACCAGCGACACGCCCGGTGGTCGCAGTTCCTGTCTCGGTTCGACCTCCGGATCCAGTACCTCCCCGGTCCAAAGAACGGCAAGGCCGACGCTCTCTCCCGCCGCCCGGACTACGTCCCTCCGTCCGCACCTGTGTCCAAGGAGCCTCCCCCGTTGCTGCCACCTTCGTCGTTCGCCTGTGCCGTCCGTCGCTCCTCGGATGCAAGTTCCACTCGCCCTGTGGACTTGCTCAAGCTCATTGCCGAGGAGCAACCCAAGGACCCGTCCCTGGACCAGCTCCGCAACGATCCCAAGTATGTCCTGAAGGATGGTCTCCTCACCTTCATGGACAAGATCGTTGTGCCCGAGTCGTGTCGAGTCCCCGTCCTCAAGTCATGCCACGATCCTGTCGCTGTTGGACATCCTGGCATTCGGCGGACTCGGGCACTGATCTCGAGGCAGTTCTGGTGGCCCTCAATCCGCAAGGATGTCCAGGCTTATGTCTCGACGTGCGACACTTGTGCACGCTCGAAAGTCCCTCGACATAAGCCGTTTGGATACTTGCAGCCCCTCCCGACGGCATCGCGACCCTGGTCTCTGGTGACGATGGACTTTATCACCGACCTCCCCGAGTCCAACGGCAAGACTTGCATCTTTGTCGTCGTCGATAGCCTGACCAAGATGGCCCACTTCCTTCCCTGTCGGTCCCTCCCAAGTGCCGAGGAAACAGCGTCGCTGTTCCTCGACAACATCTTCCGTCTCCACGGTCTCCCGGACAACATCGTCTCGGACCGAGGAAGCCAGTTCACCTCGCGGTTCTGGCAGGCCCTGTGCTCAGAACTCGGCATCAAGACCAGTCTGTCCACGGCGTTCCACCCCCAAACCGATGGACAGACTGAGCGGGTCAACCAAGTCATCAACCAGCATCTCCGCTGCTACACCTCGTACCAGCAGGATGACTGGGCGATGCTGCTCCCGCTCGCCGAGTTCTCATACAACAACCTCGAGCACACCTCGACCAAGGCCTCCCCGTTCCTGGCGACTTACGGCTTCAACCCTCGATTCGAGTCTCCGGTCCTTCCTTCCAGCCTCGATGTCCCCTCCGCGACCGACCGAGTCGAACACCTTCAGCACAACTTGGCGTTGCTGAAGGAGAACCTCGAGAAGGCCAAGGCGGACTACAAGCGCTTTGCGGATGCCCACAAGTCCGACGCTCCCAAGTTCGCTCCTGGCGATCAAGTCTGGGTCCTAACACGCAACATCAAGACCACCCGTCCAAGCAAGAAGTTGGACTACCAGCGCATCGGACCCTACAAGATCGTCGAAGCCATCGGTTCCCTCGCCTTCCGCCTCGACCTTCCCAAGGATCTCAAGATCCATCCGGTGTTCCATGTCTCCCTCCTTGAGCCCCACAAGTCGAACACCCTCCCCGGCCGCATCCAAGACCCTCCTCCGCCAGTCCGCGTCGACGACCACTTGGAGTATGAAGTCCAGGAGATCCTCGACTCCAAGCTGGTCCGCGGTAAGTTGAGCTATTTCGTTGATTGGAAGGGCTACTCGACTGATCATCGCAGCTGGGAGCCCGCCAACTACGTTAACGCTCCCGACAAGATAGCCGACTTCCACCGCCGGTACCCCGACAAGCCTGGACTTATTGTTCGCAGGAGTGGCCGTAGTTTGGGGAGGGGATGATGTGATGATCATGCACGTTGGGAACACGTGTGGACTGCTGCGCGTGATGCACCGTGAGTCATGTTTGTTTGTCTTGGCGTGTATTCCCTGATTGGCTGGCGCCGATGACTCTTACTTCGCCTCCGACTGCGCTGTGCTTCGCCCCTCTCTCTAGCAGCTCCGCCTCCCTCGCACCCCCATCTCGTCCCTCGTTTGTCGCTCCACCCCTCTCGCCCACTTTCGCCCTTCGGTTTCCCTCTTGGCTATAAAGCCCCTCCTTTCTTGCACCCATTTTGTATCTGCAGTTCGAACAACACTTGTTGTTATCTGATAAGTCGTAATATAGCTTATCGTTGTTCGCCAAGCACCTGGTCGTCCAGTGTCGTTGCTTGTCGTGGTCCTCACACGAGGAGACTCCCGCCCCCGCCCCTGTCTCGGAGGAGACTGTCGTTGTCGAGACCACCGAGACCGTTGAGGTTGTCGAGGAGGCCGTTGACGTTCCCGAGCAACGCGAGGTCGTTGAAGACGTGACCGCCTCTGTCGAGGTTACCGAAGTCGTCGAGGAGACCGTTGTCCCCACCACCGAGACTACCGAGGCCACCACTACCACCACCACCACCACTACCACCGAAGTTGTCGAGGTCGCTGCCCCCGTCACCGAGACCACCACCACCACCACCACCGAGACTGTTGAGGTGACCGAGACTACCGAGGTCTATGAGTACGAAGAAGAGGAGGAAGTGACCACCATCACCACCACCATTACTCACGTCGATGGCTCTGTCCAAGTCATTGTCAAGACCATCACTCGCATTGTCCGCTACTACCCCGACGGCCGTGAGGAGCTTGTCTCTGAGGCCACCGAGTCCAAGGATTCGGTCACTGGCGAGGCCTACGTTCCTCAAGAAGGCGATGTCGAGCAAACCACCACCACCACCGTCACCGAGACCACTGAGGAGGCCACTGCCACCACCTCGGCTGCCGAGAGCAAGAAGACCACTCGCAAGAGATTCGGTCTGTTCGAGACCATCGCTGCTGGTGCCGCCGTTGTCGGAGGCGCTGTCGCCGCTGGAGCTGCCGCTGTTGCTGGTGGCGCCGCCAAGGCCGGCGGTGCTGTTGTCGAAGAAGGCAAGGACGTTGTCGAAACCGTCAAGGGTCTCTTCCGCCGCAGAAAGGTTGTCCTGGCTACTGGTGAGGAGGTCTGGGAGGAGGTTCCCGCCGGCGCTGCCGATGACGAGACTGTCGAGACCGTCACTACCACCGTTGTCGAAGGTACCGACGCCGTTCCCACCGAGACTGTCGAGACTGTCGAGACTGTCGAAACTGTTGAAACTGTCGAGACTGTCGAGGTCATTGAGGAGACTCCTGCCCCCGCCCCCGTCGAGACCGTCACCGAGGTCACCGAAGTCACCGAAGTCACCGAAGTCACCGAGACTGTCGAGGTTGTCGAGGAGGTCCCCGCTCCCGTCACCGTCACCGAGACTGTTGAGACCGTTGAGACGGTCGAGACTGTCGAGGTTGTCGAGGAAGTCCCCGCTCCCGTCGAGACCGTCGAGACCGTCACCGTCACCGAGGTCACCGAGACTGTCGAGGTTGTCGAGGAGACTCCCGCCCCCGCCCCTGTCTCGGAGGAGACTGTCGTTGTCGAGACCACCGAGACCGTTGAGGTTGTCGAGGAGGCCGTTGACGTTCCCGAGCAACGCGAGGTCGTTGAAGACGTGACCGCCTCTGTCGAGGTTACCGAAGTCGTCGAGGAGACCGTTGTCCCCACCACCGAGACTACCGAGGCCACCACTACCACCACCACCACCACTACCACCGAAGTTGTCGAGGTCGCTGCCCCCGTCACCGAGACCACCACCACCACCACCACCGAGACTGTTGAGGTGACCGAGACTACCGAGGTCTATGAGTACGAAGAAGAGGAGGAAGTGACCACCATCACCACCACCATTACTCACGTCGATGGCTCTGTCCAAGTCATTGTCAAGACCATCACTCGCATTGTCCGCTACTACCCCGACGGCCGTGAGGAGCTTGTCTCTGAGGCCACCGAGTCCAAGGATTCGGTCACTGGCGAGGCCTACGTTCCTCAAGAAGGCGATGTCGAGCAAACCACCACCACCACCGTCACCGAGACCACTGAGGAGGCCACTGCCACCACCTCGGCTGCCGAGAGCAAGAAGACCACTCGCAAGAGATTCGGTCTGTTCGAGACCATCGCTGCTGGTGCCGCCGTTGTCGGAGGCGCTGTCGCCGCTGGAGCTGCCGCTGTTGCTGGTGGCGCCGCCAAGGCCGGCGGTGCTGTTGTCGAAGAAGGCAAGGACGTTGTCGAAACCGTCAAGGGTCTCTTCCGCCGCAGAAAGGTTGTCCTGGCTACTGGTGAGGAGGTCTGGGAGGAGGTTCCCGCCGGCGCTGCCGATGACGAGACTGTCGAGACCGTCACTACCACCGTTGTCGAAGGTACCGACGCCGTTCCCACCGAGACTGTCGAGACTGTCGAGACTGTCGAAACTGTTGAAACTGTCGAGACTGTCGAGGTCATTGAGGAGACTCCTGCCCCCGCCCCCGTCGAGACCGTCACCGAGGTCACCGAAGTCACCGAAGTCACCGAAGTCACCGAGACTGTCGAGGTTGTCGAGGAGGTCCCCGCTCCCGTCACCGTCACCGAGACTGTTGAGACCGTTGAGACGGTCGAGACTGTCGAGGTTGTCGAGGAAGTCCCCGCTCCCGTCGAGACCGTCGAGACCGTCACCGTCACCGAGGTCACCGAGACTGTCGAGGTTGTCGAGGAGACTCCCGCCCCCGCCCCTGTCTCGGAGGAGACTGTCGTTGTCGAGACCACCGAGACCGTTGAGGTTGTCGAGGAGGCCGTTGACGTTCCCGAGCAACGCGAGGTCGTTGAAGACGTGACCGCCTCTGTCGAGGTTACCGAAGTCGTCGAGGAGACCGTTGTCCCCACCACCGAGACTACCGAGGCCACCACTACCACCACCACCACCACTACCACCGAAGTTGTCGAGGTCGCTGCCCCCGTCACCGAGACCACCACCACCACCACCACCGAGACTGTTGAGGTGACCGAGACTACCGAGGTCTATGAGTACGAAGAAGAGGAGGAAGTGACCACCATCACCACCACCATTACTCACGTCGATGGCTCTGTCCAAGTCATTGTCAAGACCATCACTCGCATTGTCCGCTACTACCCCGACGGCCGTGAGGAGCTTGTCTCTGAGGCCACCGAGTCCAAGGATTCGGTCACTGGCGAGGCCTACGTTCCTCAAGAAGGCGATGTCGAGCATGTCATCACCGAAACCTCCACCACTCTCGAAACAACTGGAGTGTCAGCCGAAGAATCTAACAGAAAGTAAGTTCAAGTTGCCCGTCATGTTCGTCATATGCATTTCTCTCATACTGTCTCGTTTTTAGGTCTGGTTTCTTCTCCAAGCTTTTCCGCTCTGGCAACCAACCCTCTGAGGAAGCTCAGGTTGAAGATGATGCTGATTCGTCCTCCATCCTGTCGCTTGAAACCCGTGAAGTTGAACTCCCGGCTCAAGCCGATGATGATGACTTTGAAGACGAAGAGGAGACCGTTGTCGTTTCGGTCAACATTCGAAATTCATCTGGTATCATCGTTCGTGTTATCAAGACTACCCGCCGTGTTGTCCGATACTTCTCCAATGGAACTGAACTACTCGTCTCTGAGTGTGTCGAATTCAAGGATGCCATCACTGGTGGTCTCTACACCTTCGCCGATGGCGACACTGAGGAGTCCGTTTTTGAGCTCACTCAGGAGGAATACGTTGAAGAAGTCGCCTCTCGTGAAACCAAGAAACGGTAAGTTGAATTTTTCCCCGTCTCTTCCACTTCCTCTTCTCATCGTTTCTTCTACTCCTCTATCAGATTTGGATTCTTCTCAAAGCTCTTCAAGTCTGGCAACGAGGTTGTCACTGAGGAGCACATTGCCGCGGCCGAAGCGGAAGAGCTGACCACCCAACTTGAGTCTTCGACCCGCGATATCAATGTTACTTCTGAACAATATGACGATTTCGAAGAGGAAGAGGAAATCACCACGGTGACCACCACTGTTACCCACTCAGATGGTTCCATTCAGAAAATCATCAAAACCATCACCCGCATCATTCGTGTTTTCCGTGATGGTCGTCAAGAAATCGTCTCTGAGGAGTCCATCTCCAAGGATGCCGCCACTGGTGAAGTTTACGTCTCTCAAGAGGGTGATCTTGTTACTGTCGAGTCTGCCCAGGCCCCCAGCACCAATACCTCTGCCGAGGAAATTGTTGAGGTTGAAGAAGAAGAGGAAATCACCACCGTCACTGTGACCATCACCCGGGCTGATGGAACCATTCATCGTATCATTAAGACTATCACTCGCATCATTCGGGTCCATCCTGACGGACAACGCGAAGTTCTTTCTGAAGAAACCGTTACCAAAGACGCTGCTACCGGAGAAGAGTTTGTCCTTCAAGATGGCGATCTTGAGGCTGTCGAGTCATCTGTTGGCTCTGTCGAAGTAATCCCCTCTGCCGAGTTCACCGAAGAAACCGAAAACATCTCGAACACCTTCTATGTTCGTCGTGCTGACGGAACTGTTCATCAGATCAACGAATTCACTGTCCAGGTCCGTCGTATCTTTGCCGACGGACATGATGAGGTCAGCGCTACCTACACCGCGACGGATGCCGAAACTCTTGAAATCTACGGCCCTATTGACTCTGATATTCGCATCTCGGCCGATGAGTTTGCCGCTGCGCGCGCCTCTGTGCAAACTGTCGAGTTTGAAGACATCATCGAGTACGTCTCCTACGAGACCACCATCGTGACCGCTGCTGATGGCTCGACTTCCACCACCATCAAGACCACCACTACTACCGTCCGCGCTTTCCCCGATGGCCACGAGGAAACCATTTCTGAAAAGGTCGAGACCCAGACCCTCCCCGGTCGTGTGACCGTGTCCGAAGACGGTGTTTTCACCACCGAAACCGATGTTGTGACCAAGTCGATTTCCACCGCCACCACCACTGTTCCCGAGTATGAGGAGGTTGAGGATGTGACCACCGAGTCCCAGGTCGAACGTCGCACCGATGGCTCTGTGTGGACCACGGTCAAGACCATTACGCGCCTCCTGCACATCTTCTCCGATGGCCGCGAAGAGGTGATTGAGGAAAAGGTCGACACCCAAGTCCTTCAGGGCGAGTTCACCGTCCAGGAAGATGGAACCCTCGTCGTCGTCGAAACCAAGGAGGAGGGCTATGATGTCGAAGAAATCACCACCGTCACCACCGAAACCGAGAACGAGATCCTCGGAGACGGCACTATGAACTCGACCATCAAGACCATCACCCGTGTCATCAACAAGTTCCCCGATGGCACTGAGGAGATTGTCAGCGAGAAGGTCGATACCCAGGTCCAGCAGGGCCTGCCCGTTCCCAAGGAGCTTTAATCGACCATCCGATTGATCCCTTCCGCGCACTCGTTCTTTTCTTCTCCTATGCTTCCTTTCAAATCGAGTCAATTTCCTTCCATGCCGTTTCCCGCTTCCCTCTTTCCACCCCGATTCGTTTCTGGACCTCCATAGGGCACCACCAACAAACCCCCACCCGTTCCTCATAAACCGCCCCCCCCCCGCCTCTCGTGTGTCGTTTTTCAGTGCAGCTTTTCCAATAAAATGACGGGACCTTCCCGCTTGTTTCAGAATGTGTTACAGTATATCCAGAGAGGAACGGGACGGTCACTTTCTGGCATCAACGAGACAAGTCTGGTGATCCATTGGCTCAAGCGAGCAAGCCATGCGATTGTTCCCGTCCTGGTTGGCAATCGTTTTGATTTGGTTGGTTTCGGGAGTACAGTCTTGAATACACCCGGTCGATCTCCTGTGGCGATGATCGACTGGCATACCGAGATCATGCTCCTGGCTGCATTGATGTCTCGATCCCACAGCGTATGGCAGCTTGCACAGCTCCGGACAAAGTGTGGTTTCTCGATATCAAGATGCTCGGGTGACTCGAGTCGCTTGGCTTCCCGACAATGTGAGCACACCTGCGATGTGTTGAACTCGTTCACCGAGCACACATGGATCTTGGAGACGGATCGGTCTGGTGGGCGTCTCTGGTGGTGGTGGAACTGCTCGAAATACTTGGCAAACCTGAGTCTCCGTGGGCTGGATGCGTATCCCTTCCCCTGTTTCCAGGATGCATTCCCAAAGGCAATCACCACTTCGGTCTCCTTTGGTGCCTGGTCGATGACTTGCTTGCACATCTCGTGGACGGTGCGCTGTCGCTTGCCGTAGAGATCGGGTCGCTTGAATCGCCGTCGCCGGGTCAGGCTGAAGTACAGCTGTTTGTCCAGCATGTCTCCATCGAACACATGGCGAATGTATTGCAGGAATGGAATCCAACCCAGGGATCTTGGGACTTGGTGTGGTGCTCATCCATTCCTGCAGACCAAGGATCTTGTGGGTGCTCTGGATCCACTTGGTCGCCTGGGTGGTGCCAGTTCGATGCTGGTACTCCTTGTTGGAGAACGACACGATCTTCTCATTGGCACGTTGCGCCTTGGTCACCTTGACACCATCTTGCTCCTGGATGGATGGTTGACCGGGTGCCCGAATGACAGCGGTGAAGATCGATCCCACACCAGGGTCGATCCCGATCCATGTGGTCCGAGAGTCGTCAATGGGACCGACCCTGGTCTGGATCTTCTTCTCGGGAGTGAGCTTGGGTGTCTTGTCGTCCTTGTCTGTGGATTCTGGCTTGGCATCAGGATCCTTCATCAGGATCTTGTACCTGAGTGTGGTGATTGAGCACCCGACCCCATCGGTGGTGATCTTGCAACCAAAGAGCTGCTTTCCCTTCTCCCTGGCACCAAAGAGTCTCGGATCCAGCTTGAAGTTGGTCTGCCAGAAGGTCTCTTGCTTTGTGGTGCCATTGACCTTGGTCTTCAGGTCGTCCCACTTGAGACCAGTGCCAGTCTGGTATCCAAGGATCTCCCACAATGCTGTGGTGTCGAGCTTGACATAATTGGCTCGGGCATCGCAGAGCGGGACCAAGGTACACTTTGCTCGAGGGTGGTTCTCACCACGACACCCAAATCCCTACCACACCCGAGATGCAGTTCAAGATCAGTGGTACCATCGCTATTCCTCTATCTCTCTCACTCAGGCACAAACCACAATTGATCTCACGAGCGGCCAGAATGGAATATCACCGGAGCTGGACTTTGTGCCCAGTACAATGGCTGCTTCACAAACCCGGACGGAACATATAGCCTTGATACCCCGAGCCAACTGCCTCCTGTTACAAACAGTAACGATTTGTCTGCTATACAACCAATCTTGTGCACGGAATGCGTACAGAGCTCGATCATATGGCTGGTAGCCAATCCCAATATTGATCCAAATTGGGCGAACTATTGTTCGTCGATTGATACCTCATCTCCCTGGTTTGTGGAGCCAATTTCATCCCTTCTGCTTCCAATGTTACCCAGGCCGCAGCATCTGCTCCTCCTGCTAAATCAGCACCCGCCCAATTGCAACATCGGCCCCGGTTCCAGCTGCAACTACTTCCAAGAGCTCCGCCGACACTTTCAAAATCTCGTTGGGAGCCGCCATTTTTTGGCAGCGCAGCGCTCATTGCCGCCGATCACAGTTACGTCACACTACGCAGACAATCCTTTAGAGCGGCTGAGGCGGCTGAAAGTGTTCTCCTTTGCCTGCCAGCCTTCTTGGTTGGTCTTTCTTCAGCAACCATCAGCAACCGGGAGCAGTTTGCCGCGAAAAATCAGGTGCAATGGACCACCGCACTAACGAAGACAAGCGCATCGAGCGGCTGAACAAAAAGCTCAAGCCTTTCTTTGACGAGAAGCTCAAGCACAAGCAGAGACTCGCCAATTTCTTGACGTTTTTGGGTGAGCTGCGGGAGAATGCCGGCTCGGACACGCGGGACTGGTCGCGCTGCAGTGTTGGCGCAGAGGGGATAGTCTTGCGCCAGCACATTGCTCCCTGACTTGAAGCCCGTGCGAACGTGAAAAGGAACAGGCAAAATCGATTTTATGACATTGGTGACGACGAGAAGCGGACTCGGGGAAGGGTTTGTGGCGAAAGACGCGGACAGAATCTCGCATTGAAACGACGGGCTCTTCATCGATCCGATAGACGCCACGGACGACACCGACCAAACAAAATATTTCCAGGAGCATGGCCAGAAGATCTGGGAAGTTTCGCGGGAAACTTTTTGGTATCATGCCGAAAAAATCAAAAGTAAGCACGGCGTCAATGCCAATCTGCGCGACGGCGTGAGCAAATCCGACACCTGAGATCCGTGGCGGCTTGAACGAATCTGAGAATAGGTAGAGCACGATGTCGGCATTGATCTGGTTGCATCGCATTCTACGGTTGAATCATAGACAAAGAGAAGCCGGATAAGCAGTCCAAGACGCTTCTCAAGGACCTGGGCGAGCTTCTAAAGCCCATTACGGTTGCAAGCAAGCTCTTTTTCTTCTCGCCAAGTACCTTTGCGTCTGGGTGGCAGGGTGATCAAATCAGTAAGTGAATCAGGAGCAACAGATGCGGCCAATTTGGTCTACTACAGCGAACAGGGACCCATTCAGAGCGGAATTCGATACTGGGGCTGATAATCATACCATTTTCCAATGTCTTCTCAAATAGTGGCCGTTCTCGAGGCTCTTGCCGTCAGCGACAACCATTGCCGTCTCAGAATCGAGGGCTTCAAGCTTCTGCTGCTATATTTGAATGCGCTTCAGATAGAAGCGGAGCGGCCCATCTCTCTCTATCGAAGATATATCACTTTCCATGTTTTCGTCGTTCCCCCTGCCGTCGTCTTCGGGGAAGTTGCCGACCAGCCGTCACGACAGCTTGGGTCGGGCCAGCACTGTTCCCTCGCGCCGTGCCTCGAGATCGGCAAGCTACGACGGACCATCAACAAAGAAAGACGAGGCGAGAGCGAGTGAGTGCTGTAGTTATCAATTCTCTATTTATTCACCAGTGACAGACAATCGGATGCTTGTGAGCCAAGCACGGACACGCTGCCGCGCTGACATATACTCTACACGAATTCTAATGATGCTGCTCGATGTAGATTCAGTCTCAGGGGCGACTCCGCCGCCGATCGTTCAAAACTCTGCACCTATGAATGCAAGAGACTCGTTGGACCTGCTTGAGGAAATATTCAGCAACATGGTTGGTCTGTCCGTTCTGGCGAGTCCGGACGGTGATGGACAGGATGACGATGGCCAGGGACTCGGAACTCTTCGCTTCATGTGGAAGATATTTTCAAGATACTATCTCTCGGTGCTGTTTCCATTGGAGGCAGTAGACAAGGAAAGACAAAGTGGGACCGCTGAGGCACAGTCCGGAGGTGAGCTTGTGGCGCGCTATTATTGGTCGTTAACTGCTGGTCGATCACGAGGAGGTTAGAGCGACCTTTGTTTATCAGTGCCGGAACTGAAACTGTGCCGTCCGCGACCCCAAATTCTATGTAAAATCGTAGTAGCCTTCATCACATGCCCGCCTCAGATCCTGTTGGCGTTGATCAACTTTTTGATCAAGTACGGACTTGACTCGCTCCAAACCACCGCCAAGATATCGGGCGACGCGTTGGGCGGACAGCCAACGCCGCAGCAAGCTACCAATATGGCGGTCATTGGAGGCAGCGCCACCAGCAAGCTCACGAACGGCAATCTTCTGCATCACCTGTTGTTCGGCTGTGAAGAAAATCGCGAGATGATCCACGAATGGATTCGCCAATGCTTCTTGGTTCCGTTTTTCTGGTCCGACATTATCCGTGGCGGAATGTTTGTCCTCAAGTCCCTACTCTTTTGTCCGGTATGGCAAAGTGCGCAGAGCTTTGTTGCTTCGGGCTTGAAGACAAAGCCGTGACAAGTAACGAGCAAACGAACCAACAGGATATTGCAGAGACTTTAGCGATCTAACACTGCCGGCACTGGTTGTATAGAGTGATGAGCGTCCTCAGTTTCTCCAACATATCGTGTAGGTACTTGCCGCAGTGTTCGCAGAGCGTGAGTAATCGTGGCTCACACCAACGGTCTCGTCTGCCCTAGCAACCCAATCGAAGATTCGGGATTGAGACCACCTGCATCGGCGCAGGTGTACATCCAAAGATATATCAAGTATCTGGGAGCAGTCTTCCTCGAAAGGGGCGATTCAATCGAATTTTCTGACGCCCAATTCTCAGTGTCTCTGGAAGTGCTGTTTTTTTTTCAAGTGCTTGCAATGAGCGTCCCTATCCCGATGTCACCTGGGACCTGGGATGTGCTCATGTCAACGCTACTCCATGTCCAAGAGCAAGTTATGTGTTGTGCGGACAAATATGATCTGTTCAAAGCATCAAGTCTGGCCGACGAAGTTGCCGATAATCTGATTGAAACGCTGCTATGCCTGTGGGCCCGCAGAGTCGATACACCAATTGGCTTCTGGAGCTCTCTAAAGAATCAACTCGAAAGGAGTACTCGATGGATACAGACTATTAACCAATGGGGGGTATGTGCGAGCGGCATATTGCACGCTTGAGGATTGAAGTCAAGTGTTCAATCGCATCTCGACCGAATAACGCGGCACTGGACGTAACACCACCTTATTCTTGACTTTGCCCAGAAAATCATGTCAAAGCTGACCAAGATCGTATCACACATGACGTACAATGTAAACTTGGATGGGTCCACGAAGGAGGACAGCGAGGGAGGTCGCCTCAAGCACCGATCTCACCTCGGTAAGGGCCGAGCCCGCACGATCAACTCTGGAAGCCCATCGAGCGCCATTATGATCGATGGGCCTGTACCTGGAGCCGGAGGCGGAGGAGGTGCCGCCGATTTGGTCAATATCCCTGTTGAGGATATCAAGGCAAAGTATGGGGTCCAAATCACGACACTCAGGACTCCAGAGATGTCCGCAGATGAGTTGAGGATGAAGGACTCTCCTCCAGACTCTCCAAACGCTCATGCAAAGGCTGGGTGGCACGATTCGCCATCTTCTTCCGTTGGGCTTATTCGAGATGTAAGTAACGAAGCATACCTCTGTTCTGCATGCAAAGTACGCCGGCGCTTATCAGCCAATCGCTTGCTAACTGGGTTGCTTCGTCGCAGAACATCTTCAAGGATATCAAGACAACCTCCATCCACTCAATAATGTCGCTGAGTAACGATTATGCACTAACTTCATTGGAAGGATACAGGTCAGTGGACAGCTTGAGCTCGCTTTTGGTGCCGCTACATTAAAGGGTGCCAGCACTCTGCTTGACGTATATTCTCATCGTTTTTGTGGATCAGCAACAGCGGCTCGCTGTCGGTCAGTCACAGCACTGTTTTGAATCAATTCTCTCAGCTCGGGCAAGTCCCGTGGACCTCTGAGGGTGCACTATCGGTTTGGAAGAACATGCTGTGCATTATCGGCGATATCAATGGCATACAGGTTTGCGTTTGATCTGCGGCATCTAGAATCATTGCGGCTGCACGATTGGCTTCTCTTGGTGAGCTCATATCCTCTGCTCATCTGAAGATGAACTAATGATTGAAATCACTGTGTTATATCTTGAGCAGAACCCATCGTTTCACTCCGAGGCTGTCAATTGGGTTGTCATTATATGGGAAACACTCTTGAAGGTGTGTGGGATCATTACTGCTATGCACTCGCGAGGGCCACAAAGCGTAATGCAGTGGAGCGAGTTTACGTACTGGAAAAGCCGGTATTGCCGCAACTTAAAACACTCAATCGACGGCTCCTGCAGATACGCAGCATGCAACCGTATGAGAACTCGGTGATGCCTCCCTTGTTCGAGGTTGCGCCTTGGATCTTCAAAGCTGCTGAGACAGCAAGGTATCATTGCTTGGTGTTCAATGAATCCAGAGTGACACTTTAAATATGGCAATGCTGATTCACCAGGCATGCTCTTCCTGCCGAATGTTTACTAGCGAGGGGTCAGATGGTAAATCGAGTGCATACGGATGCATGTGCCGCTGCATGTGTCGATGTCACGACCAGCCATTCAACCCAAAGTACTACTCATACTTTTACCATCTGATCACCAAGGTAGGTCACAGATGCAGGCAAGGTCGTGATTGTTCACATTCTCACAAATCGCTTTCCATGAACGGCCCAGGGTTTGGCAGGAACGGACACCAAAGTCATCTATGCAATTATATCGAACTGCACAAATTTGTTTACTCTCTGTTTGCCGGGGAGCCATGTTCTCATTCCTCACTTTTTGAGCTGCATCCGCCGCCTGGTATGTTTGACGCGAGATCCGAGAGCTAGTGACCGATATCTATAACTGCGACGGGCGATCGCTTACTCTGACTGTTCAATCCCAGCTGCTTCCTCTCTCTATCGGCGTCATTCCAGTCTTCCGAGACCACGGAGTCGTGCCAGAAAATGTCCGTCAGAGCGCTATCACCATAATATCGTCTCTGCTTTGTTATGGCTCGTTCTTTTCCGAACATGAACTGACTGGAAAGTCGCCGTCAACAACGAGTAGAAGCGAGGATGCATCAATTGCGAGCCGTCGGACAAGCAACCTACTCTCAAGGCTTGAGCGAAACCCGAGCACTCTGAATGATAGATCCATATATAATGCCCTCAGCAGCGACCTGTACTGCTTGCTGAACGATATGGTTTATTCAGACCCGATATTGGGCTCAAACAGCCATTCGACCGAGTGCTACACGATGCTTCTCAGTGCAATCGCCGTTTTGGGATACTGCGAAAGCTACAGAGGGTGCGTACGACTTGTCGCAATACCTGTGCAATTACTGAGATGCTGACACTTGATGCTTGCTTGATACAGCTCAGAGGCCATTCTTCCAACAAAATGTATACAAACACTACTTGATCATTTGTCGCAAAACAACACCGCGATTGTCGATGCTTCTGTCGATGGGCTCTTGCTCTTCACCGACAAAAAGATGACACGATCGATTCATCCGGTAAGTGAGCAAAGTTCGATCGTATTGGCGCGTGCTTGGGGTTTAAAGGACACCTTGTCAAGCCGATTATGCGTTCTTCACGGATATCATGTGGAGTCAATCACGCACTGCATGGGTCTTGGTGTTGTACTCTTGAAATGTAATACAAAATCGGACTGCTGACCTTACTTGGCGTTGCTCACAAACGATCCTGGGCTGTTATGTCGAATCGTGCCCTGTGAACGACTACATATGCCTTTGGCATGCGCAAACTAACACGGAAGAGCACGCTACAAGCCGTTGTTGATGGCTTGACTATGGCAATCACAGAGCATATATATCTGCCACCAACAATGAGGAGCACAAAAATCGAAAACCTGACGCGGCTATTCAAGTGCTTGATCAACTGGGTTATGGCATACTCCGTGGAGATCTTTTCGAAGCCGCAGCTTGCACAGCAAATATTTCGAGTCCTGGATACAGCTTTAAACATAGATTCGGTAGGCCAAGACGAACAAAGCCCGCAGCGTCGATTGCAAAACGTCTGGTGACATTAAGGCCCGACGAGAACGCAAAAATGCTTGCGGATTCTGCACATTGCCCGGATAAATCTGAGTGATTGCTGAAGAGGGACTCTGCATTCTCTCTTTAGCCGACTAATACGGCTCGCATAAGTGCGATTGATGGAAACAGTCGCGTGCAGCAACAAAAGCGTTCGACATCGAGAGATCGATACGATGCGCCTGCCAATCCACCAGTCCAAGGCATATTGCGAGGATCAAGTAGCGGGCAGGTCTCGGACAAATTCGATCCAAGTACCGCAACGAGCAAAAACGAAGACTCGGACGCCATTGCGGCGATCAAGGTTGGTCTTTCGTGATTAATGTTGCTCCATCCTCTGAAACTAACCTCCGACGACCGACACATCCAAAGGAAATCGGAAGCAATGCTCTCCTGCATCTACTACATCATGTTGGCCACTTTTCTCCACCGTATGGTCCTGAGATCATATCCAGGTAAGGACAGTAACAGCAACTGGCTGGCGGATACACGGGGCAATCGGCTATGCTAAGCATGATGATGTTTTCAGCTTGATAGCAGATCCCGCCTTCGGGGAAGATGAGCAAGCTGAGAGGGATGAGTATCTATATTTTAGCCACGACGACAGCACCTTGGTCTCCGTCAACAATTATAGATCCAGTCCATCGACATGTATGTGCGGTTTCTCTTCGTTGACTCACCGTCATTCCCGGATGTGCAAGCGATGGTTCTGATCCATATTGTGGAGAAATTGTCGAGCACTAGCAATGACGGTGAATCTGCATACTTTCCACCTAGGTCCAAAAACAAGGCTTATTTTTCGGAACGTCACCGGCAAATACACATGGGACAGCCAACTTTTTTATGAGGAAGAGCCACGCAGTCGAGTGGAACACCACGAGAGCACAGCCGAGGGTAGTAGCGTCAGCAGCTCAGAGTTTCTCGGCGTCAAGAACGAGCTGCTGCTTGGCCACGACATCAAAATAGAGCAAACCAGGCGCGAATTTCTCCCGTAAGACGAGTGCGATGCGGTGGTTCAGACCACATGAAATGTACGGTGGATTCAGCCGTCAAGCGATTGCTAATGGCAAAGTTACGCTTCATAGAGACCACGTTACATATTCAAGAGATACATACACGATGCCTGAATGGCATCCCTATGGAGGAGCTGAGTCGGCGGACATGCTAGTTGAACTGCTAAAATAGTAAGTCTGGCTGGCTCAAAGACCCTTGAGTGTGGTAGATGCAGTTTCGAGAGCAGCCGTCTCACATAGAGTGGTAATCCGACTGCGCCACTCACCTGGAACTGGCTTCCATTTCCATTTCCATTTCCATTTCAATTTCCATTTCCATTTCCATTTCCATTTCCATTTCAATTTCCATTTCCATTTCCATTTCCATTTCCATTTCAATTTCCATTTCCATTTCCATTTCCATTTCAATTTCCATTTCCATTTCCATTTCCATTTATATTTATATTTCCGTTCAGCATCGGCAACAACCATCCGGACTGTCTCCTCGAAGGGCAGCCATCAGATTTGGATACTCCGGCGAACAATCTGAGTGCAGTGTCCGGCGACATAGCGGAGACGTCGGCGATGGTCAAAACCCAAGTCGAGGAAGAAGAGGACGTCCAACAGCTATGGGAGCAAGTTGTGAACGGAAGATACTTGCCATGTTTTTCTCCGCAAAGGGACCAGTTTGCCGAAGCAAGAGAGGCTGCAGGAGACGACAATCATCCTCTTGAGCGGCGTCGATCGCAACGGAGGCTTCAGCATATGGCTCGCTTGTCGCAGCCGGTGCGGCCACCAAAGCCTGACCACAAAGGGCCAGAGACATGCTTTCAGCAGCCCAGGCTGTTGCTGGGGCATCTTGGACTGCTCAACTTTGACGGCCTCAAGGACGGATTCCTCCATATGTTGACGAAATGTCCGCCTTTGTACCGAGACATCAAGGGCCTAGACAAGAAATACGGGTGCGTTGCGGTGCCAGAGGATTGTTGTGATGCCGCTGGAGTTGGTGTAGCTGAGTGCTTCGTTTGAATTTATACAGACGTGAGGCGATCAAGCTTGCCATCATATACGTTGGACCTGGACAAGAGGACGAGCAGAGCATATTCCGAAACAGTCGCGGGAGCACCGAATACGAGGAATTTGTGTCGAGTCTTGGCTGGAAAGTAAGTATAGTGCCCATCATCAACGTCAAGCGATGGACAGGAAGATGGATCCAATGCGCTTGCAATGGCGCGCTGCTTGGATTGATAACAATAGCCTGTAACTAATCGTCAACATCGATCAGATCAACCTCTCTTCGCATCCGGGCTACATGGGGGGGTTGGAGCGAAACCAAACCACGGGAAAAGAAGCAACATATTATTGCGATTCGACCTTCGAGATGGTCTTTCATGACATCACCAAGATGCCAAACGATCCTGATGATCCAAAACAATTGAAAAAGGTGATTCCACTCATCCCCCAATCATGCAACGGCGCTGCAGGGTGCTGAGACAAAGCAGCGACCAAGCGATCGACTGCAACACAAGGCATTATCTGCCCAATTCCTCCTGCGCTGTAATAGAAAGGGGTGTGGGAAAAATGGAATGGGTTGATAAGGCCCTTGGCGTGGTGTCTGGCTGCTTCGCGGGACCTCTATTGATTTCATCCGCATGGCCGCTGTTTCATGCAACATCCAGAAACGCCACATCGGAAACGATCACGTCCACATTGTTTGGAACGAGCATTTTCGGGACTACCGCAAGGGAACGATCGGGGGTGATTTTGGCAACGCGCAGATCATTATACGACCACTGGTGAACGGACTCTTTGCCATCAACATCGAGCGAGACGCCAAAGTTCCAAAGTTTGGCCCGCTCCACGATCAAATGGTTGTGTCCAAGCAAATCCTGGGTCCACTCACACGGTGGACAGCGGTGCAGGCGTACAGATCGACTATGGGATCAACCCAGGGTGGCATTGTATACCAGCACCCGTTCAACCAGCGATTTGGTGACATCAAGATCATCACTTCACGACACAAGGCCCCCAAGTGGACGTACGAGAGCCACTTGAACAGCGTGTTTATGAACCCAAAAGGCTGCGCCGAAACAAGATATCAATAAAACACATCCGATATCAATTGAAGAGCGAGATGCCGGGGACCACGGGGTCCTGATGGCTAGTGCGCCGCCGTGGCGGCGCACAATAAAGAAAGAAAAAAAAAATCCGATATCAATGCCGCTATTCACAACTTGAGCTGTGCAACTGTATGATCGTTTAATGAAGACAATCCATTTGAAGCACGTTATATCGCGGATCGTACAACAGGCAAGATATAGACGGACGCTATGTCGGAGCCAAGATGCTGAGCGAGGACCGGACGAGCGGACAGTGATAGCGATGGAAAGAAATCTCAGGGAGTAATTGGAAGAGGGGGGAGCTTGATTGAGAGCGCCTTATTCACAAACGAATGAGGGGAGTCGCTCAGCACCGGCATGCAGCTGGCGCTGGTCAGAGCTTATCATCTATTCGCCCATTCACTTGAGCCGCAAATATCCACGGACTTCCATGAGGAACGAGACAAGGGCGGCGCTGTACGGTTTGAATGCGCGGCTCATGACTCCATTGCGGGAAGTGGGACCAAGGCTTTGGTGCAGACGCTCAGATTCCTCGGCAGCGGCCGTAAGCAGCTGGAAGGCACTCATCAGCCGAGATCGAATATCAGGTGACTCTTGATGTTCAACGATACGATGGACGGCTTGCATATATACCGCCTATGGAAACAAAATTCATCGAAATCAGCACCATTGATCCATCAAATGGACTACACCATAAATGCCTTGACCGGACGGCTGAAGCGAGTCCAAGACCGCTCGCGTGATGGAATTAACGATGTTCGGCAGCGAATGACTAGAATGGTGGTAATGAAATGTACGCTGCCGTTACCTTGCGTGCCAGGGTGAGGCCAAAAAGTGCCTCGCTCGCGGCCTCCATCAAATCATAGTTGAAGCTTTTGAACAAGAGAATGTCGAACACCTGGAGGAGAAACTGATCGAGAATAGCAGCACTAGCCTCGCCAAGAACCACACCTGAGTGCAGAGTGCCTGTGATTAATGATCTTTGCTTCAACTGTAGAATGCCGCACATATTCTCGAGAGAATGATCGGGGTTGTAAACGAGTTGAAAGCTCGGAACGCAGAGACTGAACCTACCGGCACGGTGCTGTTCCCAGTACTTGAAGAGTGCCAGGCGAGCTACTGCGGAGAATGAGCCACGGGCGATGCCTAGAACATGGGTGCTGTGGAGTCAAAGATAATACACGACAATGCGGATCTGGCTCGTTCATTGCCACAATATACAAAACCAGAATCAAGAATCAAGACAGTTGTCCATTGGGAAAAGGATATCTGTTGAGACCGAATTCCAATGTCTTCATCATATTACTGATCATCTGGCTAGGCAGCTGATCGAATCGATGGGGGTAGGTGTCGAGAAGCTGACCAATGGTACTGACAAGGTTGAGGCAAAGCGAGGCATTCTGTGGTTCGAAGTCAGCGACGGTTGGATCAGTCGATATCGTTCTGATCAATCTACGGACGAGCTTGAGACAGAGGCAGGAGCGCAAGACAACCTACATTGAGCATGTCCGCTGTGATCAGCGGGATAACGTGGCTGATGCCATAGTATACGACATCCTGCACTTCCAAATGGCCTGGGTCGCTCGGAGTGGTGATTGTGCCTGAGCGAGATGATACTAGAGGATCGCGGGCGACGTGCAGCAAATGCCATTGGAGTGTCAGGAGAGCATATCCATCATTCGATATGGGTGTTCGTCGGAAGAAACATCAGCAGTCCGTGCCACGAGTGCCGCGTTCACATACGCCAAGTACACTCATTCTAAAGTCACGAGGTGGCAATTGCGAGCGTTTAGAGAGGCGTGGCTATAAACTCGCTACCAACCATCCTGAGCGCTGCCCCAGTCTATCAGCTCAGAGAGGAGGACCAGAACGGCTTTGATGTCATCGAGAATTTCGTCTTCTTCTCCTTTATCCTGTCGTCGGACTCGCCCTGTCGAAGGAACGGAGGAAAAGATCATTCAGTACATGGAGAATTCTCACTACGATTGATTATTGTGGGCGTGGGGGTTCGTCCGCGAGCCACAAGCCGCCTGAGCAAGAGGCACGACAAGGCGTACGAATGTGCACGGTTCAGAACGTCAAGTCAGCACCTGAGTTGTTTTCGGTATAGACTCTGATAAGATCAATCGTTGCCTTGAAAAGTTGCTGGAGACAGTCGACGGCGAGCATATCAAGAGCCTGTGGTTGCCATTATATGTTATGGGGATTGCCGTATGGGGAGGGGTACGCAGGTAGAGCCTTTGCTCAAGTCACAGGCGGCGCATCCTCGGGTGCATTGGGCTTTGAGGAATATCGAATGCCTACTAGATGGGACACCAGTGTCTGGAAGAATTGCAGCAAGTAGATCTCCACTTGTGGGTTGTTCCGATAATAGTGGAGAAGCTTCAGACAAGTATCGAATTGCTTGGCGCTCATGCCGAAAATAGCGACGGAGCTGTATTCATCCGCAGATAGGTGGACGCCGATGTACATCTAGGATGAGGATTGATAGTAAGCTCATGAGTCAAAGCAGCGACTTGTTTGCTGTATCAGGCTTGTCCCCACACAATCAAGCGGATAAAGGAGGCGCTTAGGTGCCAGTCGGATGCGCTCCTACACTACCTCCATGACATTAATGAGCTCCAATGCGATTTCGGGATTCTCGTAATTTGTCGAGTTGATTTGTTGAATGATATGATCCAAACGGCTCTGGTGGCAAGAGACCAATAAATGCCTCGGCTGTGATACTTGGGCGACAGCTCATAGAGCAACTCACCTCGATAGCACTCGAAAGATTGGAAAAGTAGAGTGCTTTGAAGTGATCGGATGATACATGTGTCGCAATCGTTGTGATGGCTTGAATGAGGGAGCTACGGAGATGCGGAGATCGGGCTGTTAGGGTTGCTTGGCGAGAGACGATAAAGAATGGCGTGGTTTGAAAGCCGACGTACCAGTGAATAGAGGACGGAAAACTTCCCAGGTTTTGGAAGAGGAAGGTAACAAGCTCCAGGAAAGGCTGCTGTTCAAACAGAGCATTCCGGATACGGTTCATGTTGGCATAGGTTTCCAGAACCGAGACTGTCTGTAGATTCATAGAACAAGAAAGCAGTCAGCTCATCGGAAACAAATGTTTCTCAACTAGCTGAGCAAAGTTGGTACTAACGATCTGGAGAACGCCTTCGTCAGAGTTCCACAGATGAAAATTGCCATGAAGATTTCTCAGAATGATATTCAGTGTTTCGACACCAAAGGTAGTCGCGGTGGGGCTAGAGATATTCAAGTCAAAAGGGGCGCGTAAGTGGGCGAGTGAAGTCGGTCAAAGCCAACAGGCCCACAGCCCGACCAGCTCATCAAGTCGTGATTGTATGCTGGATAAATGGAGCACTAAAGGAGCGCCCCAAGGAAACCAGCGACTGGGCTTGAGTCACCCCCAGTGATCTTGGCATCGAGTGGGATCATTCGACACATACCCGTTGGATGCGCTTGTGATATCCTCCATACAGAGATAAGTCCGTGACCAGCGATCGACGAACCATGTTATGTTTTCAGTCAAAAGCGGGCTTAGATACAAGGCCTTGACAGAAAGAACTGTGTTAGATGAGGATCAGTGGGTCGCGGAGTGATCTGAATTGGTGGACGCCATACCAAAGGATCGGTCGGCTGAACGTTGACGAGCTCCCAGAGCTGCATCACCGACTGAACAATCGAGCTCAGCATTCCAAAGATCTGGAGAAACAAGCACAGAGATTCGATCGTTAGTCCAAAGATATGATTTGGGAAGCTTTTGAGAAATGAGGAGTTGTGGCAACAGCTTGGGGGGGGGGCAACACCGAAGCAGCGACGCACCTCCTGCTTGTCGAAGGCTTGGGGGACGGCTGGTGTCTCACCGATTCCCGAGTCAGCGCATAAATGTCCACTGATGACAATAAGCCAGCAAAGCTGCTCGTTAAGCGTGGTCGAGATGCCTAAAGCAAGCGCATCAAGGAGTGAGCAAAGAGTGGGCAAGTGGTGGCCAGGGTCGACATAGTTGTGAAGCGGTATACTGACCAGCACCACCGAGCAGCGTGCTGCTCCTGAATTGCTCAAGCGCACCGGCCCAAAGCGTAGCGAGCTTGGAAAGGGAGCCAATAGCACTGACACGACCGAGCGTGGTGATGTAGAGAAGCTGGTCGCCATAGAGATCGCGATCACGGATACCGATGGTATCATCGGCGTCATCGTCATCAACTCGGGCGGCAAGAGTCAGACGACGATCCACATAGAGCTGAAAGCAGCGTGCTCCGAGTGCCTCGAGAAAGACTTGGAGTCGAGAGTGATTCTGGATACCGGACGGCGGATTGGAGCCGACGTAGAAGCCTAGATCGAATACTGAAGAGTCCGCCAATAAATAGACACGAATGCTGATTTCATTCGACAACGTCCGATTCGGTGCCATATGCATCCATGGCTGTATATGGGCGTGCAGCCCCACCAGCCGATTCGTTGGTGGATACGGTCACCCACCAAATGCCGACCACATGACCAGGAGCTCATCCGTTGCAGCAAGCCAATGGTCTCCGTCGTCAAGGGTGTCGAATTTGCTGAGGCACATTTCAGTCATGCGCCCCAGTTCAGAGAAAAATTGCTCGGATTCGCCCGTCGAGATGATGTCTTCCAGCTTGGAGTAGAGAAGAATGCGACGAGCGATCTGACAGAGGCCGATCAACTCGGACCCAGCCTCGTCGGTTTCAACATCCATGATGGAGAAATTCTTCACTAACTGCAATACTCCGGCACAGAGGGAAACGTAGTGGCGAAGGCGAGTGTCCTTTTCTGCAAGAAGAGGCCCGCTCAGCGAAGAATAGCGGATCAAGATCGACCGAGAAAGATGGGCATGGTTGGAAGCGAGTAGCCTGGTGTGAAGCTTGCGAATCCATCATTCAAGAGGTGCGCATGGTCGGAGTTAGTCCAGATGATCAAGTTACCCACCCCCACCACCAACAAATGCAGCTCGAATGATCAAAAATAAGGCACTGAGAGAAAGGTCTACACGAGACGAAATTCTTATTGCGATCGACAGATTCCTGGCAACAACGCTCTACACACGGCGTTGAGCGATACCTGTAAGATGGTTGAGAGGACTTCGGAGTCGAGCAGTTGCGTTTTCCATGATTCAGGAAATCGGGTGGGTGCCACTTCAGCGTCGTACGTGTCTTCATCGAGCTGATGCTCCTCAAAGTCGCCAGAAAGCCCAGCGTTTTCTGATTCACAGTCGGCCCAGAGTAACCACAAACACACCAGAAGATCAGAAATCACGAGTCGCCTAGTCGTCCATACTGACTGTACAAGAGACTCGCCCATGTGTCCCGAGACATTGACAACGATGAACTCGCACAATGGGAACAACACCTACTTGTGGGAGCGAAATCCCAAGATAAAATCGCTTCCAGAATGACGGCGGCCAAGACGTCACTGCTATCCAGTTGCGGCTTTTGGGCGAGGGAGACGCGCAGCATTTTTTGAACCAGCTCAAAGACAGAGCGCAGGTCGTTGCTCTGTCATCGGAAAGGATGAGATCGATCGGAATTGGATTGTCGCATCGTTGGAGGGTAACCGATGGATATGGTGTGTAAATGACTGGCGCAACCGTACCTCGAATGCTTCGCGGCAGCTCGCATGAAACACCCATGGAAGGCCAACCGACGACATGCGCTTGCTTTGAAACTCATCCAGAAGTAGCTTGAGGAAGGCAAGGCCAACAAGGCGCTAGGTTGATGCAGGCCGAGGTTAAAAGCCGGGGCAAACAGAGTTATTTCCAAAAGCGGGGAGTCGTTGTCAGGACCACCTCCCAACTTACGATATATCCATCGGTCGCAACCATCGACGATAGGGTGTGGAGGAGGGACTGCCTTTCCTCTCGTGTATCATAGAGCCATCCTCGTTTGACAATTATAGCCGCACTCCGGAGGAGATTGGTGCGAGAGTAATCGAGTGCGCTTGAAAGATCAGGACGGGACGGCCAGAGTCAGCGACGCAGCGGAATCGTGGCTCCCCCCCCCATCGACACACGGGTCTCGGTTGCCTGGTCGTTGAATGATTGACATACCTATCAGGGGCCTGCAAGACTCGGTTGATCAAATAGTCTCGAAGACCCTGAATTTCGGACTTTGGCCGGATACTGTATTCTTTAGCCGCGAGCTCGGAGAGAGCACTCGAAGCGAAGAATAGCGTCTGACTGGATTCGGTTTTCTCTAGTATATGAAGAGAGTCAAGTCAACAATCGGGATATGAGGAGGAGTGTTGAAATATGCATATGACCGTACCGATGATGTATTGGCAATGTAATACGGCGTTTGGAATGCTTTTGAACTCCTCGAGCGCCTTCTCGGCGGCGGGTCGTGCAGCAGGTCTCTGTCAAGGTGGATGAAGGCGAATACATAAGGATCGCTCTGCCCAACGCCATGCAGCACAACGCTGTGGTTGCAGTCTCAAGAACCAACCTGGAGCTCGGCGACAATGTGCTCGAAGTGGACTCGGGTTTGCTCGGCGTCCATGGCGGCGGCTTGAGTCCGTGGCGGTCTGCAATGGATGATCGCAAGAAAGAAGATTGGAGACAGGCCAACTCGCGGCTGCTCATCTCGGTCACCCGAAAGTCACGTTGTATGTAGCGCAGCAAAAGTTGGAATCCGGCCATGGTCTGTTGACGGCATTTGGTATCGTCTTGAGCCGATTGATGGTGGTGGTGGGCGATTGGTGTGGAGGAATGACCAATTGTATCATTGTTGGAAGCTCCACTCCGATTGCGGACAAGAACCGCCACCATCTGAATCTCTCTGGTTGGAAACCTAGTCAAGCGTGGCTGTGTGTCAGCGAGATGACATGATCGTTTGGCTATCAGGCAAGACTCGCCTTGACAAGATGTCTTCCCACTGATTGAGCGAGCGATGCGTTTCTGGATCCGAATCGAGGACGCCACTGTGCAGTATCTCTGCCAGCCCAAAATGCGCCGGTTTTGAGGAGATTCTTTCTTCCCCAAGGGCAGAACCAGCCATCGTCGCTATTTTCTCGCCAGATGGCTCCCCTCAAGCGAAAGACACCAGCCAGGCGACCAAGTGGATCCAGAGCACCCACAAGATCCTTGGTCTGCAGCAATGGATGAGCACCACACCAAGTCCCAAGATCCCTGGGTTGGATCCCTTCCTGCAATACATTCGCCATGTGTTCGATGGAGACATGCTGGACAAACAGCTGTACTTCAGCCTGACCCGGCGACGGCGATTCAAGCGACCCGATCTCCACAGCAAGCGACAGCGCACCGTCCACGAGATGTGCAAGCGAGTCATCGACCAGGCACCAAAGGAGACCGAAGTGGTGATTGCCTTTGGGAATGCATCCTGGAAACAGGGGAAGGGATACGCATCCAGCCCACGGAGACTCAGGTTTGCCAAGTATTTCGAGCAGTTCCACCACCACCAGAGACGCCCACCAGACCGATCCGTCTCCAAGATCCATGTGTGCTCGGTGAACGAGTTCAGCACATCGCAGGTGTGCTCACATTGTCGGGAAGCCAAGCGACTCGAGTCACCCGAGCATCTTGATATCGAGAAACCACACTTTGTCCGGAGCTGTGCAAGCTGCCATACGCTGTGGGATCGAGACATCAATGCAGCCAGGAACATGATCTCGGTATGCCAGTCGATCATTGCCACAGGAGATCGACCGGGTGTATTCAAGACTGTGCTTCCGGACCCACCCAAAACAAAGAGATTGCCAACGAAGACAGGAGTGCAATCGCATGGCCTGCCCACTGGGCCTACAAGTCAGTCAGCGGGCTTCAGAAGCCAGAAAGTGACTGTCCCGTTCCTCTCTGGATATACTGTAACACATTATCCCTCATTCCACTTGGAGCTTTGATAGCAATCTATCCTCCGGGGCGGAATCACTAGAGCTCTTGGATCTCGAACTAGGCCACATACGGTGGAGCACACTCCAGCCGGTGCGATTTGCAAAGGCCTCACCCGTGTCTGATGGCTGTGCTGGTGTTTCGTTTCTGGGAAGGCTGCGAGGGCCGATTGCGCTCCCTCCAAAGCTAGAACTAGACTGCCCCTGGCCATTTGAGCTGGGCTCGACATTGATAGACCAATCTTTTGGTCCATTCGAATGGCTGTTGGTAGGCTGTTGCGGTGGGCCTGTTGCAACTGCCGGCTGCTGTTGCTGAAGTCCATCACTTTCATCGGTGCCTTCCTCGCTCTCCTCCCAGCGGTGCCAGATCTTGGTTCTGTGAAATCCATGGATTCGATACTCTCGGTATCCAGTGAAGAGCTTGACCGGATCGTACACAACATGATCGCTGTTTCTGCTCTGGCGAGACTGGCGCTCGCGGATAATCAAAAAGTTGGCTGTCACCAGTTCGTCACTCTTGTGTCGAGTGGCACTCGTCTCCTGTGGCTTGAAGTGGGCCGACAGCGTCCGGTTCGATGATCCTCGGTCGTTTTCGGTGGTTTGCTCGGCAACCGAATTGGGCATCGTCGAACCGGTTGTCGCGGAGGTGTGTGTTGTCGATCTGGATGCTATCGGGCTGGGTGTGATCGAGCTGACGACAACAGATCTGGTGTGCTTCAACGGCATCGGAACGCCCATGGACAGTTTGGGAGTCAGGGCGCATAGCCTCATGACAATAATTGAAGGCCAGAGGAAGGGAATCAGGCTGGACGAGAACTTCATCCGGCGATTGATATCGTAGGAAGGGACTCTGGAATCGATGTGGGTGACGAGCCTGGAGAGAGTGAAAGAGAGGAAGATAGAGTCAGCAGAATTGCATCGCCAAGTCACAGAAGAAATGATCTGGGGTCGATCGAGGCCGAAGCTACTCCCTCCCCCCCGGCAGTACACTTGGATAATTGCAGTCTCGAGAGACATTCGGCATTGGCCCCGTGTACTGAAACTAGCACGTACACAGTCCATTGATAGTGCCACGCGGTTTCAGAACGCTCGTAGATTTCCATAAAAGTTTTGTTAAGCATGGCGATAAAGAGATTCAGCAGCAAGATGGCTGCACGATGACAGGCCGGGAGTGCAGAGCAGATGGTTCCCATGTAGCAGATGGAATGAACGGGAGCCTGGTTAGCATCCGCCGCGCCAACATCCACGAAATATCTCGGCAACGAACACCGTACCAGTGATAATTTGGTAGACGAGATAGAATATCAAGGTCATGGTGGTATCATCGGCATTGGAAAAGTCGTCGAGGGGCTGTCCCTGTCCAAAGAGGAACCTAGAAACGCAGCAGGTCGAGTCAGTCTCGACTCGCTCTCCAACGCATCCTCTCCATCAGCATCATCTGGAGAGATCCTCCAACCTCCTTCATGCAATGCCGCGCTTGATGGCGCACAGTGTCCATAAACCGGCCTTACCCGAATTGCGACAGAAGAGCGATGGATGCGCTTGTCCAGTGTGTTGCGTTGGGATTATTGTTTCCCGCAGAGTTTCTCATCTGGAGACTAAAGATTTGAGCACTCGAGAAAAAGGCAATGCCGTAGATAATCGACCAGCTGACCAGGTCTTTGGTGATGCAGTTCCACGCGGCAACCACCAGTGTACCCAGGTTGGCGAACCCGATCGCATAGTAGAGGGAGCGGAGCCATCCGACCAAGGCAAGGAACCCAATCAGGATGCTCTCGACGTGGTACTGGGTTGAAAGGTCTGGGAAGGTGAAGACGTTGTGCCTGATCAAGACGACTGCTGTCGTCAAGAAAACCAAGGTCCATGTCGTGAAGGTGTAGTACCATATCAGGACCCTGGAGATGATGAGCGTTCGTCGGGGTTGTCGGGGCCGTCGGGGTCGCAGTCGCCGGGGTTGCATAATAGATGTGACTCTCTCCCAGATGGCTTTCGGCTGAGCGGCGGCGCCATTTTTGGTGTTGGAGCCATTTTTGTAGCTGGGCCACTGGATCATAGTGGTGGTGCAGGCGACCTCGCGAAGGAACATAAATCCCACCAGTATGATTGTCACAGCCTCCAAGAACGCTCGGGCGTACTCACGAGCGGTCTTCCCAGGATCGCCCGTGGTTGTCAGGTAGTTGGGCCACTCAGCATAGTGGGATGGCAACAACAAAAATGCCGCCGAGAAGGAGATGATAAAGACTATGTGAATGACGGTATCGAAGACGAATGTCCGTCGAACATGGGTCTCCCACTTGACTCGCAAGACCGAGTGGATAATTGGATGGACCAAGATGTCCGAGAATCCGCCATCGATGGCCATTTGGATGGCGGACTTGTGATGGATGGTCGGAGAAAACTTGACACCGAGGTGAAAGTACACTCTTTCAGATGCATCGGGATTATCTGAGGCATCAGGCGACCTGGCAGGAACAGCCTGGTGATCGTACTGGCTACTTGGAGTGTTCGTCATTGCGGCACTTCCCGAAAAGGTTTTTCCCGGACCCTTGGAGACTTTGTCGTTCATCAGAGCGATCTGGTTTTCGAGATAATCCGATGAAGTAAACTCCTTATCTCTCCATGTGTCGATTTCGTCAACGCGGAACATGTAGGACCTGGAGATTCCAAACTGGACACAAACCGAGGCATGAGCATAGCCAGCACGAGACGTCGGCCCATAACCCTCGGCCCATAGCCCTAGGCTGTTTGCGGACCAAGCATCTCGGGAGTATCCCGTGTCGAGCCAACCACAGCCATAGCCATGCTCACCTCCCATAGTGGAACCTTGAGAGTGTCCAGGATGCCAACGTGCCCTCGATGTATTCCGACAAGGAACGGCGTCATCCCGTCTTTGTTTCGGATGTTGAACGGATGATATTCGGAGTCGCGGCCATAGTGTGTGTCGCAGTAATCGACAATGATGTCCCAGCTGCTCTCGTTGCCGTTTTTCGGGCTGAACAGGCCCCAGTAGGCGAGAATCTGTTGAAATAGCAAAAGGTAAGGCGATGGCAGAATGATATTAGGGCGCCGAGGCTCTACGTGAAAGCTGCCTTGTGTGGCTCGACTCCGACGGTGTCGGTCTGATTTAGATAGCCACCGTGATTTATGACAAGCTGCGGCTCGACGATGGAGTGGTAGCAGAACGACCAAGAACAATACTCACATGCAGCACAGTATTACCTGGAAAGTATGAGTGCAGCGGTGAGCACAGGCCGGTGTTAGTGAATCCAGACAAGTGAACGACCCGTCAATAGCTGGTCGACTGCTGGCCGACTGCTGGTCGACTGCTGGTCGACTGCTAGCCGGCCCAAGCATCCTTACCATCGCCCTCGATTCGGCACGAGGGAGATACCGCCTTGTTTGTTAACGCCATGTTCAACAGCTTCTTCAGGATATCGATTGATCCCGCGACAGCTGCAAAAGCTCTGTATGGAAGAGCACAATGACAAAGTCAGGGAAATTCTGCCAGAGTCTCGAGACCGAGATGCCGTGTGAGAGTGGAGACTGATTCAGGTGTGCGGACGAGAGAGATACCCACAACGCCGACTTGCTGTAGTTCGTGTCAAATGATAGTTGATCGGAACACATGTGGGGAGTTGGGCACATAGAGGTACAATGCAAGAGTCAGAGTCATGCCCATGGGGATCGTGGGCAGCGGCATCAACGTATAGAGCGGACAAAATGTACCCCACCCTCGACAGGTTCGTCATCGTCTGCGAGGACTGATACGTCGTTGTACATCCTCGAAAGGCTTCCTGTCGATGGAGCACGACCAAGTACTTACCCATAGTACATGAAGCCGCCGCTTTCGTCAGGACGGAAGGCATGCCCGTTGAGGACACACACCTCGGCGGCTTCGTTACCGGCGGCCGTAGCTTTAACATTGGGGACATGCATTTGATCGGATGTGATAGCAAAGACTTCGTCCTTGAGGGCACCACACTTGCAAGATTGCTCATGCTGTTTCTCAAAGCAGCACTTGAGGATGGCACCATTCGCCACAAGCAGCTCGAACATGTGGAACCGGTTCTTGGCAGCAGCAAGATGAAGCGGTGTCTCGCCCTTGTACCGCTCATTGGCGTAGCTTCGATTGACGAGCCCTTCGTCGTTGCAGATCAATGCCGTGGCAATCTTGTGCCACCCCAAGTCCTCGGAGTCGTCTTGGCAATGAAGAATAGCGGCATGGAGCAGAGTTTCGCCTTCGACTCCAGTGCCTTGAATCTCCTGGCGGAGCTGCTGGCTGGTTTGTTGCTCCGGGGTGATGCCTGCGTGCGTGCAAAATTCATCAAAGTTGCCTTCGCGGACGGCCTTCCACAGGGGCTTGCTCTGGTGCTGATATTGGTCGAAGGCTGGACGCAGCACAGCAAATGGGCGAGGGAAAACGGACAAAGGGGGAAAGGAAGGGAAAGGTCAGCATCCCTTGCCTTCGCCGTGCATCTGCCTGCAAACCGAATCACCTTGTCAGACAAAGGAACTCTCTGACGGCGTCCATACCTCGCTTCTGGCCGAGCTCCGGGGCCTCTGGAAAGCCAAACATGACAAGAGGCAAGCCAGGGGAAAGACGGGAGCTGCCAACGGGGGATCAACGGGGGATCAACGGGGGATCAACGGGGGGTCAACGAGGAGGAGGGGTCAAAAGCGGAGACTTGACAACCGGCTGATGGACAGACACAGAAAGAACGGAGCAAGTCGAGGTGGGCTCGAGATGATCGATGACGGCGAAGAGAGCTGGTGCGAGACGAGCGCAAGACAGAAGCCGGAGGGCCAAAGGCACGAAAGGGGTCGGGCGAGCGTTGGGCGAGGGAATATATATATATGGGCTCTGGTGGATGAAACAGTGCGGTCAGTGGAGCTGGTGGAGCACTTGAGTTTGTGTCAGGTATGCGCTGCTTGGCTCCACCGACCGATGGCGAGTATCGGCTGAGGCATGATACCGACTGACCAGGAGCAGCTGGTTCGGCCCGACAGAGAAGCGGAAAGTGTGCAGCGACTGTCGTCGGGCTGCTCCGGCTTCTCTGGCTGTTCCTCTGGCTGTTCCTCTGGCTGTTCCTCTGGCTCCGAATCTGCTCGTCGTTGGGACGAACGAGGGAACGCTTTCCGACATGGCTGTCCTGTCGAGCGACGTCGCATCCACCAGCCGGGATCCCCCGAGAGCGCGCTTGGGTTCACTGTCATGCACGTTTTGGGGATCTGGTGGCTTGGCGCAGATACCCAAATGAGGGTGTGGGCTGTTGCGGGGGGGGGATGCAGCTTGCAAAGAGACCGAACAGCAAACGGAGAAGCATGAGGGCCCATGGCTGCCTCGCGGAATCGACGCAGGACCGAGTCCCGTCTGCACCCGGATACCGTTGGAAGCCGTTACGAAACGGCGGAGATACCCGCCAGGACACCTGTAAAAGCATGCCTGTGCGCATGGGCCGAGTGGTATCTGGTCTGTTCTTGGCAGCGGAATGTGGATACCGGTGCGGGCATAGAAGTGAGACGGCCGCAATATGCATGGGGCCCGGCGACATTCCGTGACGATAGGTCGATGATACCCCATTGATGTGCTGTATGCGATCGACCCTGAGACAAGCGCGGCGCACATTTTGACAGCATGCCCCAAGCGAATCGGGACTCTGCTTTTGAGTCGGGATGTCGCTTTGTTCTGGATCCCGAATGCACCCCTGTTCATCATGACCAACAATGCGTCCAAAGAGATCGATTGGTGTATGCAAGACTGTGCTCCCAAATCCGACCCAAACCCACTCGATTGCCGACCAAGGTTGGGAAACAGTCGCAAAACCTTCACGCCGAGGACCAGCGATCGCTGCACTGAAAGCAGTGGTTGAGGCGAACGATACCCAAGGACAGCATTACCCCGTTCTGAGCATGCTATGCTCTTGGATGAGCCGAATCGATGCCGCATTGGATCGGCCTGGCGAGCAGGCACATGGCCCAACTAACAGCCCAAGATGCCTGGTGCTCAGGGGAGTGCTGTGGACGTTGGGGCGACGTCGTTTGCCGCCAAAAACACTGAGTTCTCGATCTCAAGCTCGGTGCATGCAATTTGGCTTGGTCGGAGGGCCCGTTCATTCAGTAGCACATGCCGTGGGTGCTCAATGCGGATGGTTTTGTACTCAACACGGAGCTCCGGGGGCGGGATCTGAACGAAGGGTAGGGGAGGATCGCCCGTCAGCCCGTCCGTCAGCTCGGCCGGTTCATTCTTTCAACAAGCTCGACCAGCCAAGTTTGAGTTGGTGTTTTTCGCCGACATTCTCCCGCTTGGCCAACGTCCCACCCAACGCCTGCGGCACATACCTCGCCTGTTCCAGTCGGATCTTCATATTTGGCATTGATGACGCTCAGGATTGGCAGAGCAACTGACAGGACGTCGTTGGAGTTGAATACAGCCCGATCGATGTTGAAGACACTGAGAGCAAAAACGTTGCGGCTCTGATCGATTGCGATGAACGATCTTGGTGGTTCAAAGGATCGTTGTTTGTTGGGCATCGGTAAGTGGTTGCCTCGTCATACCCACTTCTCAGGAAGCGACTTTCGCCTCGCACAGGCATGAAGGACTCCCAGAGCTAGTCTCCAGCCGCCTGTTTCGAATATCTCAACCCGAGGTTTCGCCATGAATGCACAACCGAGCTTACCCTGGTAACGCGAGATTGTGCCGGACCGATGCTACAATTTTGCATACAAATACGGCGTCTGGGTTGCAGCCCTCTAGCAATTGGCTAATGTCGGTCACAACCTTGGTGCATTTGATGGCGGAAAAGTATGCCGGAAGACTGGTATAGCCTGCTAGCTTGCCTGCATCCAACCACAAATCGGAGCTCGTCTTGATCTGGAGTTCCCCAAGGGTACCATTCCGATGACCGCCGCGGGCAATGGTGAGCCATCAGTGACGCTTCGTGTTGTTCTGTGGTCGCTAACAAGGATTCAGTCTGCACCATCCGATCTCGGCAGCCACACCAACCTACCCGGTCAATCTCGTGGGCCATAGTCCGCAGCAACTCTGTGATCCGTTCAACGTTCACATTCCACGATACCGACAAACGGGATATGCCCTGATCATGGCTCCGGCTGGTTCCGGCTGTCATACATGGATCGATTTTCTCGACCCGGCGCCAGTCCTGAACGGCCTTATCGTACTGCTCGGTATACTGAAAGAGCTGCCCGCCAGAAAGCTCGGTGAGTTGCCCGCGGAATACACACCAGAATTACAGCACTGGCCATGGCATTACTATTCGCCGGCATCACACACAGTGTCAATGTGCTTCACCTACTGTGGCTCGATTGTAGTAGAGGTCAACGTTGATAGTGTCGCCCATCACCGAATCCTGCCCCCCCCCCAAAAAAAAAAGAGACCAGAGCCGTGGAGTTATGAGTGTACAGAAGCGCCAGGGCCGAAACAAGCGCCAATGCCTATGGGACATCTGTTTGCCGTGCACAAGCTACTGGGATGCAAGATGTCTCTGCTGCGTACCGCCCGATTATAGGCGCTCAGGGCCCGCTTCAAATCCGAGCTGTCGAGTGAATTGCTGAAGAAGAGCTTCAGGTAGGCAGTCCCCAGGCCATCTTTTGGCCAGACACGATCAGTCAGCGAACTTCATTCGGCGGAAAGAGTCGCCACAATAAACGATGCAAAACGGCCCCAGTTCTGAAGATCTTCAGATAACGTTGGGCCTCTCTGTCGACCTGCTGATCAGTCAGACACCTACTCCAGAGCAGAGGATCGTCGAGGTTCGACGCAAGTGCCTCCTTGCACAGTACCAGGCTTTCCTGCAAACTCTTCTGGACATCCGTGGCTTATGATACGAGAGCCAGTCCGACGGGATTAGCCAGCCCTGCTTCAATTATGCATCTCCCATCGTCTTCGGCACCGCAGCCCGATTACCTTGCCCGCTCTGTCGCAATAGTTGAGCGAGACTCAAGAGCAGCTCCTTGGAGCGAGCCTGTGTAAAGAGCGAGGACGAAAAAATGCTCAGAGAACAGCATGGCCGGGCCAGGTCGGATCAACGAGCCGCCATCTACCATGCAACACATCGAGAATGAGCGCATTCAGTGCCGGCGACCTTGGATAGTCCGGCTTCGAAACATCGCCGGGCATTTTCCAGGTCCAGCTTCTTCCAAAAGCACTCGCCGAGACAGTTCCAGGCCTCGGAAGCTCCCGGATTCAGCTTGAGGCATTTGGACAGATCTTGCTCTGCTTGAGGGGAGTATCCCGAAAGACAGTTGAACAGCTGGCCGCGTAGCAAATAGAATCGACCCCGCTGATGGGCCGAGGGCCGGAACAAACGTGGATGCGGTGATGACGCTGTCTGTGTCTGTGGGTGAGGAGGAGGCGACGAGCCCAGCTGCGAGAAGGCCGGTGCTCCGCTGTAGCCTGGGTTGTGTCGAGAACCGGACGAGCGCCATGCGGCAGACGGGTAAGAGCAAGCGAGCGTTCGAGGGCGGTTTAGAGGGCAGAGAATGGCGGTGTATCCTGCGTATCAGCTGCAGGCAGCACTGACCGATCTGTGCTGGCTCGAGCCCCATCTGGGCCGCGGCGGTGTTGAAGGATTCCAGAGCTGTCTCAATCTCCTTGAATAGCCATGCTGTTCTCTCGGCTTCGAGATCGGACGGCAGGATGTCTGGAGGGAACGAGTCGAGCGGATGGTCCAGGAAGAACCGATCCCTTCGCAGGACCACCACAGAAAGGACCGTCTGTAAGGATTCGAGCGAATGATCGAAATCGCTTGCGTCATCGGAGGACTTGTGGGTTTCTGAGGCAGATGCAGCCGATGGATCGGCAGCTGGTGGATCAGCAGCCGTATCGACGTCGGCGCTGCTATTGTTCGCTGTGTGGCTGCGGTTGGTCATGCCAAGGGAAAGATCAGGCAAGACAGGTGAGCACCAGCGAGGCCCGCCAAAGCGACATGAACCCCGGCGAGGTGGGGAATGGTGAATGCAATGACAAAGTAGAACCCGAGACGAGACACCCTGTTTGGGTACTTTCTCTGGGCCCCGAATACACACCGTTCACCATTCACCTTTCAATAGAGTGTGTGGAGCACTGACTGCCTCCTTGATCATGTCGGCAATGGGCTGCGGGTGGCTCTGCAGCGCTCATGGTCTCGATCATGTGCACCCACCAGCATCGGAGCCAACAGGCGTGCCCGACCTCCAATGTGCTCAGAGCCGAAGTGGCTGATTCGCCTTTGACATTAATCTCGATAAGAGACGATCGACTGGCACACCGGAATCATGCTCTGTGCGGTATTGATGTCGCGATGCGGGGTGTATTCAGGACCCAGAACAATACGACACCCCTCAGAACACAGTGTCCCGCTTCGTTTTGGTGCTCTCCACGAACACAAACTGCCCCCCCGCCTTTACGAAGCCCAGGGAGAGGCCGTGTCCTCCATGTCCCAGACATAGCGTGAATCGGGGGTGCTCCTGCCGCTGGCCGATGGTGGGCGCTTGCCCGGCCCGGATCGTGGCTTGCCATTGCCAGGGCCAATGTTGCTGCTACTGCTGCTGCTGCTGCTGGTGACATCAGGCGAGCTGGAGTTGAGATGGTTCAGGATTTCTTCGATGCCGAGGTTCGGGGGCTGGTTGAGGTCCTGGTTCTCGTGGTTTAGACTGACAAGCTTGAGCAACGTAACTAGCGGGAGGCCGGAGAGATGTCGAGACAGGTCAGAATCCGTGCCAGCGCCTCGAGCGAGACCGAGACCGAGACCAAGGACTGGGATGAGCAGACTTACTGATCTTTACATAGTCTTCACCCTCCGTTCCTTTGCTCGCCGCGAGGGTGAGGGGTGTCTGCGAAGAACGGCCACGGTTTTTGGTCGACAGTGAGAGATGGTATTTAGTCGAGTATTGCATGCTGGAGCAAAGGGGACCGCGCTGGAAAATAGAGGTCTCGGGCAACGTTCTTCCAGTGAGGCTGCCTATCCCGCTGCATCGCTCACACGCGCTTACCTCTCCATCCTTGTCAACAGCCGCATGCGATGCCCCTCTGCGGAGTAGTTGAGTGACGATCCCAACGTTGCCGGCCAAGGCAGCCAAGTGCAGCGGAGCTAGAAGATGAGGCCAGCAAGAGGGCGCCCAAGCAAAAGTTATCAGTGAAGGCACGTCGACATACCAGCAGGGAGAAGAGAGCGCCGACACTCAGGCGTGAGGCAATGAGTTGGTCTTACTCTGGCCGCGACCGTTGGGTTGGTTGATCTTGGCTTGGTAGTGCAGAAGCAGCTCACACATTCCTCGGTCATTGGCCGTAACGGCATAGTGCAGCAGGGAGTCGCCGGCAAGATCGACTTCGTTGACGTCGGCGCCGTGGACTGCGCGGCCAAACCCAGCGGATCGAAGATCGTTAGAGCGAGGCATACTGGCTCTCGATTCCCCTCCCCCAACTCGCCTCCCCCAATTCCCACAGGGCAGCCTTGTTGCACACATACCGATGCAGTTGAGCACTTCGAGCGCATTGCCCTCCCTGACGGCACGATTGATTCTCTGTCGCAAGACCAAGCCCAGATGTCAGCTGGGGCTGATCTCCGCTCTGGAGCGCAGCAAATACGGTGCTGGATTCATTCCAACTCTCATGGCGACTGTATCCGCGGCGGCAGCTGGTGTGCTGCAGTCCGGGCATTTTGCATCCACGGCATCTCACCAGATGCACCGGGTTCTCGACAAACTCGGATATGTCGTTCTTGGTATGGATGAACTCCTTGTTCACATACTTGCGGAGACACCATGTGAGTCGCGCGGCACTGTGTGGAAAATGCCAGCACGTCAGCGAGTCGCGAAAGAGATGCGAACGAGGACACCTCGATCAATACTGTGATCGTTTTGGAGACAGAGGCATGAAGAAGGAAAGCAGGATGGCCTTCGATCACAGACTGCAACTCACCGATCCGAGTGCATGGACGGCTTCATATCGTGCACCGCTTGTTCGTCTCGCTCAAAGATCGGGTTAACCCGCTCGTTACCGAGCCGCAGCAGCAGCTCTTGGGCCTCAGGCTCCCACTTGTCGAGCCGCAGACCCTTGATCTGAGCAATCGGAACGGCATCGACGCCACGTTAGACGGAGAGCAGTACCAGCAATACAGCAGGCCGGGGAGGTGCAAGTCAACCGAGGTGGCGTGGTCAAACAGCATCGGTGGAGTCCAGGACACGCACAATCCTGACCGGACCCTATCCGACCACTTGTTTCACTTTCCTACCTTTGACAAATGCGTGCCGAGTCCGCGGTGGATACCGGAGCACGATATGCACAGGATAATCCCGAGGTTGACACTGGCCCATTCCACGTCAACGGACGAGCCACAGTCGGCACACAGAGTATTGGCTGAGAGCAAAATAGATCGATCCGTGAGCAAAGTTGGCGGGCACGGCGCTTTGCCACCAACAGGCAACCACGGCATACCCGAATCAACATTCCCAGCCGGCAGCGCGATAGACAATTTTCCACGCATGTCAATCATGCACCCAAGAAAACAAAGCTCGTGTCAAGCGTACCTTCGACTGCGCGAACTCGCTCCAAAAACTCATTGAAGGGCTGAAGAGACTCGGCGCTGACGTGGGTTCCGAGGCTCGAGAGCTGGCCACGGCGTGGGGATGGTTTCAAACAAACAGCGTCAGCCAAGCACCCACAAGTATGTGATACTGTACCGACGGCATCTGCATCGATTGCTGTGGAGCACCCTACCGATGAGTTCGCCGAGCCTCCGTTGAAGGCGCATGTGATGCCTCTCTGAATGACCGCGATCCAGTCTTCCATGTCACTTTGGTTGGGAGCCTGCAGAGTGTACGACCTGCGTATTGTGGTGCTAGTCAGATACCATCAACGTGGTTCCGAGCGAGGCTCATCGACGCCACCCAGCGATAGTGGCGATCGCCAGGAGAAGAATGGAGAAACTCACTCCTGCGGTGTGATCAAATCAAAGCTATTGCGCCGCTCGCTCTTTTGATTTTCCTTCACAGTGCAGATTCTCAGGTCGATGATGGTCTCCTCGTCCTTGAGGAGGGGAATGGGATGGCACCGTGTGAGAACGACGCGGTACAGGCGGGTGGGTGGTGCGAAACAGACTGAGGTATATCCAGACCTTATCGTTGGTGATCGTGAGGATGTTGTCGAGCAGGGAATAGTACTTCCAGCCCCAAGTGAACCACTTTCGCCCGGGGGTATGGTTGGTGTACAGATAGCCGCTCTTCTTGATCTCTGTGCGCTTTGCGCGGACATAGGATGTCTGCGGATTGTACTCCGATGGCGGGATAATTTGCAGATAGATATCGGTGTTCTCGCGCGTCTTGTCTTCTGCGTACTTTTGTCGCACCTGTGTGAGACCGCAAAGCAAGTCGTTTACGGTTACCTGTCGATCAAGTACACTGCATGGCATGCTCACAGTTCAAGAAATAGAACCAGCTTTGAGTCTCATGAGCTTGCCTTTCCAACATAGTCTGCCAGTGTGCACCAGTGATCGTAGAGTTGAGAGCTTTGTGAGACACAGCATTCTGGAAGGCTTGTCTCGCGTGCCGTGCAGCGGGTGATGATTGAGTGTAGCCAGGCAACTGCATCGGCGCTGAACGTGGCTGCACGCAAAGCTATCTGCATATCGTACCATTCATCTCATGCATGCTTGGCTCGAGTTCTTTCAAGGTGTCGTAGCTCTGATGCGAAAAGGAGAGTTGCGAGTATATGTATCCGACAATCTAGAGCGCAACACCCAGTCCGTGAACACGCGGCAGAGAAAACAGGATGTCAGCAGATCGAAGGTGGGATGGTACTCAAACGCAAGTGTACGAGGGATTGACTGGGAGATGGTTGCGAGTTGGGCCATCGCCACCAGGAACAACGTAGACAGAGTACGGACCGACTCTGAAAAGATCATGGGCATCTTTTTGTTGTAGTCGTTGAGCTTGGAGCAGTAATCTATGCTGGTCTCGTGGACGAGACGTCGGTCTGGGAGCCAGTGATGTGTTGGCAGAGAGACAGGGTAGGTCTCAGCGGTGCCCGGGACTCTCGCGGTCGGGCATTGATCCAGCGCTGCATCGCCACTTGGGTCACGGTCCAGCCCCCAACTCACTCATGGCCATTTCCAAGGCGAGCTGGAAGAGATGCCAAAAGGTCAGCACAGAGGCCATACACGATGGCGCGGGACAGAGCGGATGCAGCAAACGATAGCAGATCGACACCAAACGCAAAAGCGACACAAATAATCGAGTCCCACACCAGCGTTGCATCACGCACAAAGACCCTACCTCTTCGATTCCAGGTTCTTGCGCCTTCTTAGCCATGAACTTCCATGCGGAGCTCGAGTAGGCGTCGCGGGCTTGTGTGTTGCTCTTGTGACTTTTCTGAGAGCACAAAGCCGAGACAGGGGGGGACATGGGCGTCAGCGGAGCCGCACATCCCGACGATCGATGCGAGCCAGCGGCGCATGCGATCTGGACGACACAGTGGTTCGGCGCAACACACCTTGAGCGGAGGAATCTCGGTGGCCAGAAAGTCCTTGATGGGTTCCAGAAACACAGCTACGAAGAGTTTGATCGAAGGGTCAGCCAGAGTCCCACACGGACCGACTCCTAGGATGCGCAGAGGCCAATAACGCTACCGTTGAGGTTGGAGGACTGTGTTCCGACGAGGTGTCGGGTTGGGTGAGGCAATGGCAGGGAAAAATCAGAGCAGGCTTCGTCGCCGACGATCTGGCAAGCGCGCCCTCTCCGGTCGAGGCTTGTGGATCGATCGCTGACGGCTCATACCAGTATCATTCTATTGCGTTCAACCTCCTGCAGAGCATCTGTTGTGTGTGGGCAACGAGGATGGTCAAGATGGATACCAGGAATCAGGACCCGATGCAAGCAGTGGTCAGGTATTGACACTCACCACAGTATTTGACATAGATGGCGGCTGTTGGCGAGCCCGTCGATGGCGAGGGTTAGCAAGACAGACCAGCACCCATATGGAACGGCAGGCGGTTCGAAACAAGCGCAGAGTTGTCAGAAGACGGTGGTTGGTGGCGGATGCGAGAGAGATAGAGAGAGAGGCGAGCGGCATTGATAGCGCTCTGTCGCGAGCCGAACCAGTTGCTGGCCCCGGCACTTGCATCAGTAGCGACAGGGCCGAGAGCGGCTGGCGAGCCACACAGCACCACGTCTGTATGCATGCAAGAGGGCCGCAGAGTGTTACCCTGGCGCTCGTCCATGGCCTTGGCCTGCGAGATCCGCTTGAGAAGCGAGGCAAACTCCTTTGACTTTTTGAGGTAATCGTTTGAGAGAGCATCGAGCTGGGAAGCCAGGTCGACAAGCAGCGACAGAGACGCATCGGTGTAGTCGACGCTGGCGCGGGCGTCCCTGACGGCGGCGCGGAAGACCGGGGTGTCCTCAAAGGCAGCCTCGAGCTCGATCAGGACCATGCTGCGGGAGGATCGGCGGTCGGAGGTCGATGGTGGATGCAGAAACTGGAAGCGAGAAATCAACGCAGGCGCAAGGGGACTTGGCCGTGGCCAGAGCCGAGGGAGAGCCGCGGCCGCCAGGCGTGTGCGACCACGTGCGACGCTGTGCGATGCTGCGTTGCACTGTGCGATGTTGGGCCGGGGGCGCGCCTGACGACCGCGCACACACAGCAGCGGCAGTCGCAGCACATCCATACAACAGCGGCAGCAGCACATACATACACATACACGCACAAAGACACACTCACACAACGGCACACAGACACCGCGCGCTTCTCGCTCGCCCGAGAGCGTGCCGAGAGCGTGCCGAGAGCCTCTCGCCGAGAGCCGCCTCTCCAAAACCGCGGCCGTTCTTTGCTCGTCATTTCTTCGCCGCTCGCCCCAGATCGACCTGGTCGTCCTCCAGAGCCGCTCTCCACAGCGTCCTCCAGCCCGTCGCCATGTCTGACTATCGCCAGGATCCCAGCTCGTACTCGTCCAGGTATGCCTCCTGCCGACCGATCTCCCGCGATCTCCTCCTGATCGCTCTGCTGCTCGTCTGCTTGCCGCCTCCCCCCCTCCTTTGCGATCGCTTGGGGCCTGGCCTGGCCTGGAAGATCAGCCCTGGTTTGTGTGCCGAGATCGCCTCGTCTCAGCCCATTCACGAGTCATTTGCCGCTCTCTCTCTCTCTCTCCCGGCACCTTCGTCCCTCAAACCAGGTCCTATCCCGCCCAGGACTACAGCCAGCCTGCTCAGGACTACAGCCAGTCCTACCAAAGCGCCTCGGCCCCGCCTGGCTCGACATCGAGCAGCTATTATGGCAGCTCGACCCAGGCCCCCGGATACTACAACTACGGGGCCCCCGATGCCTCCTCCAACTCTTACCGAGGCTCCTCCGATTACTACGGCAGTAACTCGTACGGCGGATCCTCGTCCTCCTACCCGAGCTACGGCCAGTACGGCGGCGGCGGTGGTGGTGGTGGTGGTGGCTACCGCTCGGGTGGTGGTGGTGGTGGTCTCGGTGCTGGCCTCCGCATGCCTGACTGGAGCCGCGAAAAGCTCATGCCCTTCGAAAAGAACTTTTACATTGAGCACCCCAGCGTCAGCCAGCGATCCGAGGAGCACGTCAACCAGTACCGCGCTACCCACGATTGCAAGGTCTTTGGAACAAGCGTCCCCAAGCCTGTCGAGAGCTTCGAGGAGGCCTCCTTCCCGAGCTATGTCCTCAAGGAAGTCGCTGCCGCGGGCTTCAAAACCCCCACCCCGATCCAGTCCCAGGGCTGGCCTATGGCCCTCAGCGGTCGCGATGTCGTCGGTATTGCCGAGACCGGCAGTGGCAAGACCCTCGCCTACGTCCTGCCGGCCATCGTGCACATCAATGCCCAACCCTTGCTGCAGCCCGGCGATGGACCCATCGTGCTCATCCTGGCTCCCACCCGTGAGTTGGCCATCCAGATCCAGCAGGAGTGCAACAAGTTTGGTGCCTCCAGCCGCATCAAGAACACTTGCCTCTACGGCGGTGTGCCGCGCGGACCCCAGATCCGCGAGCTGCAGAAAGGCGTCGAGATCGCCATCTGCACGCCCGGTCGTCTGATCGACATGCTCGAGTCAGGCAAGACCAACCTGCGCCGCGTCACCTACCTCGTTATGGACGAAGCCGACCGCATGTTGGATATGGGCTTCGAGCCCCAGATCCGCAAGATTGTTGAGCAGGTATGAGCGGCATTGCGACTGGCGCGCCGATGAGCTTTTCGTCAGCCGCATGGCCGAGCTCGAGTCAGAGCCGACGACGCTGTGGCAGCATCAGTCGCTCACACCGGCCCGCTGTATGAGCGATCGAGCTTGGGTGTGTACCGCCTTGCCACTTGGTCCTCCCCCCCCCACACACATTCTTTCCTCGCCGCGATCGCTGTTTAACTATCCTATATCCTGTCTCCTCCAGATCCGACCGGATCGACAGACGCTCATGTGGTCCGCTACTTGGCCCAAAGAAGTCCAGGCCCTTGCCCGCGACTACCTCCACGATTACATCCAAGTCAACATCGGCTCTATGGAACTCTCCGCCAGCCACAACGTGACTCAGATCATCGATATTTGCTCCGAGTCTGAAAAGCGCTCAAAGTGAGTGCCCCCCCCCCTCTCTCGATGATCCACACATGTCCGAGCGCGATTCTGCAGCGATAAGGCCTGCATTCGTCGCCTGTGGATCTGTCGTCGTCGTGTTCGTCCTCGTCGACTCTCGTATACCCCTGCGGTCACGACATTATACCCAGACTTACTCCCCACTCTATAATGCTCTCCAGGCTGGTGCGCTACCTCGAAAAGATCATGGACGAGCGCGACCACAAGACCATCATCTTCACTGGTACCAAGAAGATGGCCGATGATATCACTCGTTTCCTGCGACAGGACGGATTCTCCGCCCTTGCCATCCACGGCGACAAGAAGCAAACTGAGCGAGACTGGGTCATGTCCGAGTTCAAGAACGGAAGGGCACCCGTCCTCATTGCCACCGATGTGGCTGCTCGCGGTCTTGGTAAGACGGCCATTTATGGATCTATCTCTTTCTCTCTGCCTCTCTCTATCACTCTCTATCTCTATCTCTCTCTATCTTGACTGTCTGCAAGTCTCTGTCTCTGCTGCTGTCTCTGCCTTGTTTCTCAGCAAGTGCGCCGTGGGCTTGGCCTGGACATGCTATTCTCGCTGTTTGGCCTCTGCCAGGATCATCCGAGCGCAACCCCCTGCTCTCGTTATCCGTTGCGCTCCCGCCGTGCCTTTGCCCGCTGCCCTTTTCATGCCGCGCCCTTGTTCCCTCGCTGCACCCCCTGCGTCCTCAGTGACCGTCATCGGCTGAGGCGGGCCACTGGCGCCGTCGGGCGCTAAGCACATAGATCAGGCGCTTGCGGACGGCCGTGCCAGATCAAAGGGCCCGGAGTCCGTGGGGGCCGATACATTGACGGACTCTAGTATCTCTGTGCTTTCCCAGCGCCCTTCGGCCGCGGCCTGTTTCCGCCCCCCCCTCCCTTCCTCCTCCCAACGCCCACTCTCCTGGCCCGTTTTACTCCTCGAGCCCGAGCCTTCCCCTCCCCACTTGCCCTCCAAATCCACCCGTTATCCTTTTCGCTGGAAGCCTTGAAGCGGCGCGATCGAAATTCCAAACAGCAGTCATGACGGATGCCCAGGGCCTTCTGTGAATGCCGATGCTTGTGACTGCCTTGGGATTTCGAGAAATCGAGTCTCTTTCTCCATCTGCGGCATGAAAGGGATTTGATTTCTTTAGCTACGAGGCTTCCTCTATTCGAAGCAGCACGGCCGCCTTTGGCCGAGCCTGCGATGTGCAAACCAGCTGGAGGCATTTATCGCTCGGTCTGCATCGAAGCATATCCAGCGTCGCCTTCCAGCGGATTGCCCGGTCGGATTCCACTCCCCGGCCCCTCTCCCGATCGCGCTCACTCATAGGGAGTCTGCTCCCTGGCATTTTATCTCTTTGTTGCGACTGGTGTGGTCGAGACATCGGGCACAATCGCTCTCGCTCCTCCTTCTTTACGCACAGTTTGACATCTCACTGCCTTTGAGACTCGGCCCAGTCTTGAACTAACTGTGCTTCTGAACTCGGCTCTTTCCATATCGCGTGTGGCTGTTACTCCCGCCCTCCACCGTCGCTGGTCGCCCCGCGCTGCTCACTGCTCACGCCATGTCTGCGCCGACCCTGTTCCTGCGCGCCATGATGCTGTCTACGATCAGATGTCAAGGATATCAAGGTTTGTTGCACTCTCCTTTGTTATGCAAGCCCAGCAAGCGTCTACTGACTCGCGCCTCTCTTCGCTCTCTCATTCGCCTCCCGCCTCGATCCCTCGACAGCATGTTGGTATGTAGTGACTCGATGTAGCTGTCTCCCCTCATGGACTTGGCTTTGACTCGGCCTATTAACGAACGTTCGCCCTCCAGTCAACTTTGATTTCCCCAACAACATCGAGGACTATGTCCACCGCATTGGCCGTACTGGACGTGCCCGGTAAGCAAAGATGCTCCCTCCGTCTGGAGCCTCGCGCGCCCTCGACTCGTTATCTTGGCGGATATCACCGACTGACTCTTCGTGTGGCCACCATACCGCGCCCTGAATTCGCCTCCCACAGCACCAAGGGCACAGCATACACGCTGTTCACAGCCGAGAACTGCAAGCAGGCACGGGATCTGATTGGCATCCTGGAGGAAGCCAAACAGGACATTGACCCCAGACTGCGCGACTTTGCAAGGGTTGGAGGTACGTTTTTGCTTGCGCCAGTACCAGACAACTGGCTCGGATCGCCCTGAGTATCGCAGCTCATGTCACCGTGGAAGCAGCATCGGGATCAGTGGCCTCGCACACAGCGATGTCTGCATTCGATCTTGCTCTCGCGCCTCGGATAGTCCGGCACTGATATCCTGGTTCTCCCTCTCTCCCTTTCTCTCGCCTCCTGCTCCTGTCTACCGTGGCAACCCCAGGCAGCGGCGGTGGCAGCCGCTATGGATCAGGAGGCGGCCGCTCAGGTGGATATGGCGGCGGCCGCTCGGGTGGATACGGAGGCGGTGGCGGATACGGTCGCGGCAGCGGCTCGAGCTCCAGCAGCCGATACAACCCGTACTCTCGATACTGAGTGTCATCCGGCTTGCGCGGCGACTCTCAAAGCCGCTTGGATCTCGAGACGGCACTCCCGGCTCTCCCTCCTCGATAGTATGGCCGCTGTTTCTCCAGGACCAGCACACTTGTCCGAGGCAGATCGGAGCCAGCATCGCTGCTCTGCTTCCTGCGTTCCAATTCCTCCCATCCTCTCTCTCTCTCTCTCTCTCTCTCGCTTCATCGATCCATTCTTCCATCCACTCGTTGGTTTCTCGCATACCTTTGCCCGTATTGCCTTGGATCGCACTCGCTGCTCTCCTCCCCCCTACCAGACTGGACCACGGCCGTCCACTGCTCTTCCCACTTATCCATCGCGTTGCTGGGTTGGCGATGTCTCCCTGAGGCGCTACTGCGAGTAGTCCCAATACATTGGCATGGAAGACTATTCACGCTGCGTTCCTGAGACAGCGGAGAGTCGGTGCTGCAGTCAGTTCAGTCAAACATGAGAGCCCCGGCTCAAAGCAGTGCCCCGCAAACATATTTGTCCGGCGATTCTTACAGATGGTCAGGCCTCTGATTGGCGCCATCCACCAGACCGACGTCGTCCAGGCAGATTCGTCGCCTGTCCTGAGAACGGCCGTGCTGTTGACCCGACGTCCTTCACTCTCGCTCGCCTCGATCGATGGCGGCACCCGCAATACCCTTGACAGGCACCATCCAACCGACCAGCCCGCATTCCAAACAGCGATCGTGCACCATTCTCTCTTTGGACAGCCCTCAACGTCTGCGACCCCGTAACTACAACACCACAGGCGCTATTCATCTCGCGTGTCACTATTGAACCATCCCATCGTCATGAGCATCGAGGGCACACAGTGGAAGTCGATGGGTAGCATCGGGGCCCACACCAGTTCGGCCAACCTCGGCAACCCCTCGCAGGCTCAGAGCACGCGGCCACCCTTTCGAGAACTCGCCGGTCGGCGAAAGGAGGAGAGCTTGGGCTCAACCACAGGTGGGCTCTCGAAACAAAAATCCATCTCAGAACCACGACCCAAGACACCCACCTCCCAATGGGCAACCTCGGGCTTCTCCAACCCAAACCTTAACTACTCGGCATCGCTCTCGGACCGCAAGAGCCTGTCCTATCGCCAAAAAAGCAGCAGCAACAATGCACTCGGTGCTCAGGGTCCGACTCACGACCCTGGAAGCGATGGTGCTTCTGACCCTGCACGTCTTCGTCGTGCCCAAACCCCGTCCTCGGCCGCGGGATCGTCCTCCAAAGCCGCGCGAGATCGCATCAGGCGGCCAGGCTCCGGTAACATTCTGACGAGCCAGGAAACACTGGTCCGGTCCTTGTCGACGTCAATGTCTGTGTCGCGGCCGTCGTCGTCCCGAATCGCCCGCCATGCCTCGCAGCCCATCCAATATGCCTCCGCAGCCGAGATGATGATGCCCACCAGCTTCCAGATCGGCACACATCCGCGAGGCTCCGAGCCTGAGCTGCCACTTGGCCGCCACCGACCTTCCTCGCCAACTAACCGCAGCAGCCCATGGCCTCGCGACAGTACCAAGCACCAGCATCCCGCGGCCGTCCCAGAAGATATATCCTGTCTGCGCAAAAAGAACCGCCCCGTGCTCATCCGAAAGAGTACTAAGAGCAAAAGCTCGTCGCTGGTGCTGCCACCCTGGAATCCATCGACCCGTGTGCAGGGATTCACGGGCACGCAAACCAACGCCCCCGACTCGGACCCAACCAAGCCGGGCAATGACGGCGGTGTCACCCCCATGGTCTGTGCTTGTGGGAATGTGGTTGATGGCGTTAATGAAGCAGACCGCGATTCAGGCCGTCCGGTAGATTAGGGGGGGGGATTGGCATGACAGAATTGCAGACAGCGCAGTATCCAAACTGAAGCACTTTCAGTTGGAATGCGCTTGACCACGCCCTTGACATCGTATTGCTTGGGCGGCATACAACCATGCTGCTCTGTATCGCTCTGAATGTTGCGCTCTCGGCTTCACCTTTAGTCATTCGGGCTCACGCATATCCATCGATAAACCCACTCACTCACAGTTTACCACCGAGGCGTCACGGCCCAGCAAGGCGGCGTTACAGAGGTGAGTCCTGTCGATCTCTTGGCTGTACTTAACTCGACGGATCAAATGGCGGCTCACGGTTAACACTACCGGTTTCTGGCTCCACCTGGGCTCCACCTGGGCTCCACCTGGGCTCCACCTGGGCTCGTTCTCACGCCTTGTCAGCAGCACCGCCGATTCGCCCTCCAAGGGCTCTGTTCCTCCGCAGCAAGACGACTCGGAGGAGCAAAACCATGGCGAACCGCCAGAGCACGAGTTCGATGCCCTTGAGTTTGAGGAGCCATTGCCTCAGATCAGCAGTAAACGCACCTATCCCATCACCGTCAAACAAACCGACCTTTACTGGAGAATCCACCCGAGCGAGGATGAGGCTGATCAGCAACCCGGAGAGCCCAAGCGAACACACCCCGAGTTTTCGTACTATCGGGTCCAAGGCTACTCCGCAAAGGCCGGAATCGATGTCGTGCTCCTGGCCAAGGCGGTCGAAAAGGTCGTGCGATCCCACGAGGTTCTGAACACATATTTCTATCGCAACCTCAAGATCGTCGACGCCGACATTGAGTGCATCCTGCCGTCCAAGGACACCGCCAACCCCGCGACTGCAGCGAACTTGATTGAGGAGATGTACAGTGCCGAACTATCACCCGAGCGCCTCACCGAGATTGTACACCACTGGACCCTCAAAAACTCGCCGATCGAGGTGCCGCTGAAAGTGCTGGTGATTCACTACAGCCGAAGCGGCGACGAAGCTGAGCGCCGCTCATCGATTATTGTGTTTTGTGTCTCTGCCATGGTCGCCGACGAGATCACAACCACCTGGATCTCCAAGGAGGTCTTCGGCCTCGTCAAGGCCGGTGCAGCCGAAAAATACGTGCACAAGGAGGGAATGAGCTTTCTGACCTATGCCGAAGAGCTGGACTCGCGCGGACAAGAAAAGAAGGCCCAAAACCACTTCCGCAACGTCTGCATCGAAACCACCCGAGAGGTCCTCACGCCGCAGGAGCAGGATAAAGCCGAGGCGCAGTATCGCAAGCTCAGCGTCGAAAAGGCCAGTATCCAGCAGCAGGTTCTCAACTTGACCAAGCGCAAGATGGAGCTCGAGCTGGAGCTGGCCACGATCCGCAACGAGCGCATGCAGATCGACCTGGACAGCTCCAACAGCTCGCTCTCGGGCACAAAATTTCTCGACCCAGTCACCTATGATATCCTCCTGATCACCGAAGAGGCCAAGAAAAACCTCATCCGCACTGTCCTCGGCGAGGGCCTATCGGAGAGCGATATCACGGTGCTTCTGGACAAGAACGGGATCCCCGGAAGCCTTCAGGAGGCCCTTGGTCTCGACAAGATGACCTTGTTTTCGTTTGGGGCCATTACCGAGGACAGCTTCAAAGACAAGGAAGTGCCGCAGCGAGAGCGTCGCTCGGTACTTGCCCTGGCCGAGTACGTGCGCAACCGCATCAAGGAGTGCACCCAGGAGCAGACCAAGGTCAAGTTTACACTCGAGCGCAAGTACCTCAAGTGCCAGCGGGATCTTGACACCTGCTCAACCACCCTCAAGTCGACCCAGAAGGCCCTGGACCACAATGATGACATGTGCATCCGACTGCAGCACACCCTCAACCCGCCCGTTGTCGAGAAGCGGCTGCGGCTCGTCGATCTTCAGGGCAAGGCCCAAGACAAGAGGCCGAAGAGGATGGCCGAGGATTTTGGCGAGATCTATGGCTTTGCTCCGATCCTGATTGACACGGAGCTCACCGACAACCTCAAGCGCTTTGGCGAAGGCTGGGACAGCGAGCTCCGTCGGCACAGGAAGATTGGCGACGAGATGCACGGCGATGACGACGATGAACTGCTGGATCTTGGCTTCCTGCAGCCGAGCGTGAACGAAATCGATCCCCAGACGGGCCATCCGCATATCTACTCCGTTGGGTCCATTATCCTGGGCGCCTTTGCCATTATGCTGAAGCACTGCACCGGCATGGACAAGTTTCTGATGGGGGTGACGCAGTCATACCGCCCGACCGGGCTGTTGGCTGGCCCGCTTACCGATACCGTTCCGATCAAGATCGACCTGTCGCAGAAGGGCGGCACCTTCAATACGCTCTTCCATCGCCTGAGCAAGTCCATGTACGAGGGATCGATCTACGGAGGGAGCTGCGGGATGGCGGCCTTGGAGCACAGCACACACATGCAGCTCCTGTTGGAAGTGCGATTCGAGTTCATTCCCGCCAAGGAAACAGACGGGTGGCTCAAGAACGGCATGAGCGTCGGTGATCTGCTTGGCCAGCAGGACGAAGTTGGCGAAGGGCTCGAGCGGCTCTGGACCGTCTCGGAGCACGATCCCTTCGACATGAAGCTGACATGCGTGGAGGCACCAACACACATCATCGGTGGCATCACCTACCGCAAGGACAAGTATGACATGACCCATGTGACCAGGTGGATCGACAAGCTCATCTCGACGCTGCAGAGCATCGAGCGTGCTCCGCGAAAGGTCACGATCAACAGCCTGATCTCGAGGTAATCTCGCTGAGCCTCTGATGCCGCTCGCACCGCTTGATGTTGCTCACGCCACCTGTTTCACGGCCCAGATACTATCAAAGCGTTTGGCAAGGCGGAAGTAAGGAGAATCTGGTTGGCAGCGTCCAGGACCTCAACGATGCTCACCAGCGGCTATCGATGGTCGACATTTTCTCGTCCCAGCCGCAGATTGTACCAGACGATCAGGAGAGCGCCGAGACATAGGGTGTCGCGGAGAGAACAGCAGAATGTTCTGCTGCGAGAGATTGAAGGGTGTCGACTGCTGTGGATATGGCAACAGAGGCAATACAGCCCATCGTTCATTGTTCATCGTCCATCGTTCATCGTCCGTCGTCTGGTCAATGGGTCCCCCTTCCTCCTCCTCCTCGCCGGTGTACATACAGTCTATCCAGAAAAAAACGGGACACTTTCCCTTTCTGGCTTCAGATATCTGAACCCCGCTGACTGACTGTAGGCCCAGTGAGCAAGCCATGCGATTGCACTCCTGTCTTCGTTGGCAATCGAGTGGTTTTGGTTGGTTTGGGAAGCATGGTCTTTAATACACCCGGTCGATCTCCTGTGGCGATGATCGACTGGCATACCGAGATCATGTTCCTGGCTGCATTGATGTCTCGATCCCACAGCGTATGGCAGCTTGCACAGCTCCGGACAAAGTGTGGTTTCTCGATATCAAGATGCTCGGGTGACTCGAGTCGCTTGGCTTCCCGACAATGTGAGCACACCTGCGATGTGTTGAACTCGTTCACCGAGCACACATGGATCTTGGAGACGGATCGGTCTGGTGGGCGTCTCTGGTGGTGGGTGAACTGCTCAAAGTACTTGGCGAACCTGAGTCTCCTGGGACTGGATGCGTATCCCTTCCCCTGTTTCCAGGATGCATTCCCAAAGGCAATCACCACTTCGGTCTCCTTTGGTGCCTGGTCGATGACTCGCTTGCACATCTCGTGGACGGTGCGCTGTCGCTTGCTGTGGAGATCGAGTCGCTTGAATCGCCGTCGCCGGGTCAGGCTGAAGTACAGCTGTTTGTCCAGCATGTCTCCATCGAACACATGGCGAATGTATCGCAGGAAGGGATCCAACCCAGGGATCTTGGGACTTGGTGTGGTGCTCATCCATTGCTGCAGACCAAGGATCTTGTGGGTGCTTTGGATCCACCTGGTCGCCTGGGTGGTGTCTTTCGCTTGAGGGGAGCCATCTGGCGAGAAAATAGCGACGATGGCTGGTTCTGCCCTTGGGGAAGAAAGAATCTCCTCAAAACCAGCGCATTTTGGGCTGGCAGCGACACTGCACAGTGGCGTCCTCGATTCAGACCCAGAATTCCATCACTGAACGGTCGTGGCCAGTGCGCGATTGGGTAACAAAATATTTGATCAATCGTCAAAATCACGGGTGTCCCGTTTTTTTATTGGACTGACTCTAACCTGATCTGGATCCAACAACCCAACGGGCCATCCCACATCTCTCTGACCTCGACCAGCCAGCACGCATGGGACCCCAATGCCTATTATTCATCCCATATGCGCACTTCGACAGCCCGCCCAAGCTGGTCGAGTGTCGCCAGCTGCTCAAACGGCTGCTGCGGCCCCATGAATCCGCGATTCAGTCCGTCAGCATCGGCCCATACGACGACTCGGGATATCTGAGGACGGTGTTCCTGCAAACCATCGATCGTTCGTCTGTAGGTCGCAGCACTCTCGCAGCACTCTCGCAGCACTCTCGCAGCACCCTTCGGAGGACCTCGTTTTATTCCCTGGTTGCTCGGCAATGGCTCGTCCCTGAGAAGTTGTCAGCTCAGCTTGCGGCATACTCGCCCACGATCGAAGGCGCCCAAATCATCCTCAGATCTAACATGAACGCTCTCTCCACAGGCACTGGAGATTATCAAATATTGTTGGGCATCTCGCCCCCTGTCCGAGGACACTCGTTCGCTCAACTCGGCCTTCCCCGCTCTCACGGATCGACCCATAGTGTTCTTCCGCAGGTAACCCTCTGCCAGGACGATCGAGTGGCAACCTGGATCTCCTCGTCGATTTGACTCCATTTCATGACATCCTAAGCGGTTTGCTGAGAAGCTGGCGTTTGCCCGTTGCCCTCCATCCTCCAGCTCGTCGCTACCAGATCCGGTCTTTCATCTGGAAATCCTGGCTGTCCCCATCCAGCGCACAGGCGACGAAGTCGTTAGTCTTCCAAACCTGCACATGGTACCGTCATTCCAACAGCTCTCATCGACACTGATGACGGATGGGCCATGGGGCCTGCTGTCTTCCGTCACTCGTCGCCGACCGGGAGGTGATCCGTCGCGGGGGAAGCAGCATTGACACCCAGTCCCTCCGATCCGTCCCCATCCCGTCCACCTCAGTCGCTGGTGGATCTGTTTGGAAAAACGGCCGAGGTCCTTCATTCTGCCATCAGTATCGAGAAGGCCACCGGCACGGTTCGGCTCTCCATCGTTTATGCCTCGAAAGAATCGGCTCGGAAGGCAACCAACGTAAGGAGAGTCTCGATGACGTGAGCCAGGCTTCCTTCCAGCAAACAACGAATCGAATCGAATCGTACCACTGATCCTCTGTCGGGTTCGACTGTGCTTCTTTCTGCTCGACTCTTCGACGTAGACTCTCTATGGGACAGAAGTCTTGGGCTACACCCTAACCGTTCGTTACTGGGATCCGGCAAGGCATCGGTGGCTCAATCGAGAAACACTGATATCTGTGCCAACGAGGATACGCTCCGCTGGCCCACCCACATCTGCAGCTGGACCTCAAACGCCACCGCCAAATCGAACGGATGTAAGTGGGTGAATCCTCGAGAATGCGCATATCGATGGAAGTCGGACGAGCCCCGCAAAGTCGCTCACACCATCGCCTGCACACAGACCGAAGTTCCCGACGACAAGGTAAAGCAAGGCAGATTTCATTCAGCCGATGCGATTGTGCTGCCCTGGTTGGCACGCTGTGTGTCTAGAACCTTTGGTGAATAGGACACACCGCTGAGAGCCATTCCTCAACACCGTACACCTGGATCCAGATTCTGTGGGATCCGAGTGGCCCACTGTTTTTCAAGGTACCCGTCCGGCTACTTGCACCAGAGCATGCTAGTATCGAGCTACTGGATGGCATCGTCTAATGTCCCTTTGTGCATCTTCGTACTTCTGGGCTGCTATAGGCCCGAGGTCTGAACATCAGGTACGCTGGACGCTTGGCTCGCATTCCCGGCACTGCCTTCACCAATTCGATTCAGCCGGCGGCTTACCCATGTATCTTTGCAGCGGCAAGAAGCCACGACCACCCCCGACAAACTCCAGGTGAGCACTGCTCATCAGCGATCCTCTCGCAGCCCCTTCAGCGATCAGTACGATTTCTGACTCACTTCATTCTCCCGTCCAGCGAGGCAAAGGCAGCCGCAGCGCCAGAGGCAACTTCAAAGTTAGTGTCCGTTCCTTGTATCCGCCACCATGGCCCGAACTGATTCCAGATCCGAGCATCTTCAGCGCTGCAACACAAAACCTGCTCACCCATCAGCAACGCCATTCGTTGATACTCAGCATTTTGATAGATCTGGATGCCGATGGCGATGCTGTCATCGAAACGGCCGAGCCGCCTGCAAGCACTGGGGCCAACGGTCCATCATCCGCCTCCGACATGCAGGTGGGTGCTACTCTTGTCACCTTTGCCCTTGTCTCTGCTGACCAAAGAACCTGTCCTCGCTGTCCTCTCGACTGTTACAGATCGACGGCCCGGAGCTGGCTAGTTGCCCAGATTCTGCCACCCCGGCACAAGACCAGGCTGCCCAACTAGAGGAGTCGGCGATGCAACCAGAGTCGGCAGGAGTTCAGCCAACAGCCCCACTGGAGCCGCCAGCAGCCCAGCCAGCCGCTCAGCCAGCGCAGATGTCAACATCACCTCCCACGGCGCCTCTCTTGGAGCCACTGGGCCCTGCGCTAAAGTCCAACGATCCAGTCATCTTTCCCAGCGTCAATCTCATGGCCCCGATCCTCTATGATTTCATTTATTCCCAGCAAAGGCCACGTACACGAGAAATGCACAATGTCCAGTGGATCGCAGAACAAGACGATGATGCGCCAAAAGAGTTGGGATACGTCAGCTCCAAGGTCTTCAAGGGAAGCAGACACTTTGTCGTCCTCGAAAAGGAGAGCCACGCCCCCACACAGCTCTGCACCTGGAAGACATTTTGTTGGGCAAGACACACCAAGGAGGCCATGAAAAGCACCCTGGAGATCTCGAATGGAAACACAGAGTTGTCGGAGGTCAGTTGCGGGAGCCTCTGCCGGAGCTTGGCCAAGAGACACCGAACGGCATTGGCCTGTGGATGCAACTGCCCAGCCACTGGCCATGCATATTCATCTTTGATATATTCGCTGGTGGAACGCTCTCGCATCAGCTGTCGTCCACCAACCGACCGCCATCTCTGTCACGGCGGCTTGGCTTATCCTGCCTTTGTTTGCCTTCCTTCTCCTTACCTGATCTCCAATCGATCCCACCTGGATCCAGAACATGGAGCGGCTTAAAACGGACAACCTCAACGACTCGCCCATCAGGATAAAGTAAGGCCATTTGGATCACGATGTTGCGTCGCTAAGTCGTATTGCCACCATCTTTGCGCTGGCAACCGTGTCCTTGGCGAGTGATTGTCTCGACTCACGGGCAGTTAATGCTGACACCATCGGCCATCGTCAGATCTCTACCCAAGACGAACCAGGTTATTCTTCATACTAGAGAACTTTCGGTCTTCGATATGGCCCTGAATCAAAGCGCATCAACTCCGTTATTCAGGTGGGCTTTCGATTCACTCACTGCCGACCCACCCCCACTGCTTGGATTCCGTGTGCAACTACAGGATACTGATGCCGAGGGATGCTCTCTTCAGACTGAGTGGTATTGCCACGCCCATCGCGTGCTTTGATGCGATTCGACTTCTGTCCGATATCATATGTGCAGCGGCAGGTATGTCACAGTCGCACATCCGGCGCTCCTCTCCACGCGGAGCTGTCCGCAAACCACCTATTTATCGGCCTTCGCCATGCCCCATCCATTTGTTTTCTCTGTCAAGATTACACTGGCCAGTTAGGATTTTGGAAATGGAGAGGTAAGAGCTGCACTCGATCGCTCGGCGAATCAGCCCGAAACAAGACTCGCTCACTATGGCTGTCTCTCTCTCTCTCGCTCAGCCCAGCAAATGCCAGCGGAAGACGACAAAAAGTCAGGCATCGTCCCGTGTTGTAATCAGCTCAAGGCGACACTGCGATATCAGCCATGTCAGATCCAACACGTGTGCTTGCACCGCACGCAGTCATGGCTTGCGGTCATCACCACGGAGGGCCAGTTCGGACTGTGGTTTTACACCAAGCGATCCGACATCTCATGGGCGACGCTCCACTTGGCCGATCGGCCAAACAAGGCAAGTTGAATCGCCCGATGGGTACCCGGGCTGGTACATCCTGCTGGTGAAGCTGTTGACCTGATGCTCGAAGCCTAGAGGGTTGCGCATTCCGACGCTGAGCTGTCTCTCTCACCAGCCGGGCTTGCTTGCACCTGGTGGCTCTGACCTGCCGAGCTGACTATGGTACTAATACGGTATCGATTCGGGCAGCCTATTGCAAGTATGTTCGAGGCCCACCAGGGATACAACATTTTGTCGTGCTCGTTCTCGCCAGAAAGCGGGCCATTACCATCCAAGGGGAACATGCTGCTCACCAGCAGCGAAGATGGCGTGGTTCGGCTGTGGGAGCTTGTCATCGATCCACGTATGATCAAGGTAGGGCTTTTGCGCCGACATATTCTGCAAGAAAGCCTGGTTCAATAGCGCTGCACTGTCCAGTGCCAATGTTCACCTGGACTCATGACTACTCGGCATTGCTCTTGTCCTGCCCCCCCCCGTGGCATCGTGCCATAACTGCCCGGATGGATACGACCCAGCTGGTGCTATCGGATACAAAGTTTGAGCACCGTGGGCCAGTGCGCAAGGTGGAGTGGTGTCCAACATCCAATGCCATCTTTGCTTCGGCCAGCGACGACGGCACTGTTGCTGTATGGGATATTTCGAAAAACGTAAGTGCGGGAAGGGTCGAGGGTCGAGGGTCGAGGCCGAAGTGTGGCATCAGTGGTTGTGGCAGATACGGCAACGGTGAAACTGACCTCGAGACAACTCACAGGGCTGGGAGACGTCAAAGAGCCAGCGCTGGCTTCCAACGATGATTCATTCGCTCCACAAGTAAGTCGCTGGTGAAGATAGGACCCACCGTCATCGATGATCAATGGCGCTGGTCGAATGGTCTGCGCGGCCATGAACACAGCAGTGATCATCAGCGAGATCGATTGCAGCCTCGCGGATGCATATTGCTCCCCTCCCCAATCTTGTGTGGCGAGCACAACGATGAGCAGCGGGGGGGGGCGGTGTTGTTTGTGGTTCGCGGCGCTGCCTCCCTCTGTCGGCCTTGGTGAAGACCACCTCCCGACTGTCTTTCTCTGCTTGATACCATCTAGCGCGCCTGTGGTCGACATTTCGTGGTGTCCCGACGTTCGCTTCGAGGGCATGATCGCCAGCCTGTCCTCGAATCCAGAAGAGCACGACGACTCGGCAGCACCTTCATCCGTCCATGGTAAGCGCAACCTCTGGAGCTGCAGGCGATGGCCACGGACAGATTGGCGATCCTCCCTTTGTAAAACCTCGCCCTGATCCCGTTTTTACATTTTTTCACACTTCGGCTATTCCCTCGGCACGTTGCCCCCACCCCCTCGCCATGCGCGGAACGCTTGTAGTATGGCGAACGAAGCTGTTCGAGCCCAGAAGCGCCAACACAGTCTGAGCAATCCCCGTCGCATCACATTGCTCCGCTTGACGCCGTTGCTGCCCCTCCCTGCCAGCGCCCTGTCTTGTCAATCATGGGATTGAAATGCGGATACCCCCTCATGGCATGGCGCCAAAGGAGCCCGGTCGGAGCGCTGCTGATCCGCCGCGGGAACACAGACCAAGCCCATGGAGCACAGAGCGAGGTGGCGGTGCGTGGAGCCCGGGTGCTGGCTGCGTGTCCGCCCAGGGCAGATCGACCAAGCCAAGGGCGGAGCGCGCGTGTGCATCCTGTGATACTCCTGTCGATATGCTGCGATATCCTCCTGTCGATACGGTGCGATACTCCCGTCGATACGGTGCAGGCCAACGGACGCCATGCCATAGTCCAGCAGACGGCCGTCCATGCGACGGCTCAATAGAAACCGTAACGCTCGCTCTCCATCCAGTCGCTCGCCCTCCATCCAATCCCACCTTTCCCACAGATCATGCGCTGGTCGCCCACGACCCAGCGCGCCGAGTCGATACATCCAACGCAGCCGCCTGAGCGGTCCTGTGCTGTCCTGTGCTGCCCTGCGGGCACCATCGTTCTCAGGGACGGCTCAGCAACTCGGCGGCTTTCACGCAGCGGCGCAACTCTCGGGCCAAAGACCTGCACCCACAACGCCTCCTCCACCATCCCAATGATCACACATGCCTCCACCCTGGAGCCAATCCTTGCTCCGTTGTCTCTGTCGCCGCCAATCTCGGATACTGCAATGCTCACAGCCCGGCCGGGGTCCCACCACCACCACCACCACCACCACCAGCACCACCACCTGCTCCACCACCAGCTGCTGTCCACAAATTCCTCAGCTCCGTCACAACAATCGGCAGATGCGGCACTGCGCTGCCACTCGCCGTCATCCGCCGGCACAGCCAGATGAGGAGCCGGCTCATGGCGCTCGGACTTTGCCGGCCGTCGCTGTGTGAGCACCGTCCTCTCGCTTGCTTTCCATCCATGCCGGATACCCAACCCGCGATGTAACTTTTACATTGGGTCCCCGGCGGTGTCTGTCACCGCTTCATCTGGGCCCGCAGTCTCCATCCAACCGCCTTTCATCCTTCATCCGTCTGTCATGCGTATATATACCACCTCGATGTGCCTCACGACCTCGGTCAGCGTCGCTTCCTGCCCGAAAATAGCCACCCTTGGTACTTCCCCTCCTCTTCCTCAGCCCGTCTCCTCATATCCCTCAGGGATCTATTGTACTTTCCCTCTATTCATACCCTTGCATCGACCTCATCCATCATGACCCTCTTTACTCTATCGCCCATCATGTTGTCGCCGCCGTCCTTCTGGGACGTGGCCGTGGCTGTCTCGGCCATGGCTCTGGTGAGCTATGTGTATGGCGTTGCCCAGACTCTGCGCTCGCCTCTGCGCAAGTTGCCAGGCGCTCGTGAGCATGCCCTCAATATCTTTCTTGGCGACCGGCTTGTCGCAATGCTCAAGAGCCAGTTCTTGAAACGCCATTTGGTGCAGTTGGATCTCCATCAGAGGTGGGTGCCCCAGGAACCGAATGTCGCCGGAGCAGCAGCAGCAGCAGCAGCAGCAGCAGCAGCAGCAGCAGCAGCAGCAGCAGCAGCAGCAGCAGCAGCAGCAGCAGCAGCAGCAGCAGCAGCAGCAGCAGCAGCAGCAGCAGCACCGCCCGGTCATCTCGGCTGTGGGACTCACGCTGGACATTGTCATCAATTCTTGCCCAGATACGGCCCCATCGTTCTCTTGAACAACAGCACCATCTCGGTGAGCGACACACAGCTCCACAGCTACATTGCCTTTGATCTCGACCTCCCCAAGGCCGAGATATACAAGCTTCTGAACATCTATCCCGAGGTTTATTCGATCTTCAGCGCGATCGACAAGTCCTACCACCGCATGCTTCGTCGGACGCTGGTAGGTGTCCCGCCCAAGGCAGCTGCATAGAGCCAAACATGAGCTGTCTGGGGACTGCGAACGGAGTGTGGTCGTGCCGTGCCGTCATGATTCATGTCGGAGGTCATGCCATGTATCATGCCACGCCAGAGTCAGCCACGACCTAACGGAGCGCTTTGCTTGCCAATCTCCTTCCTGTATTTTCTGGCTCACTGTCTGTGGACATCCTCTCCCTCTCTTTTTCTCCGACTCCACCTTTGAACGACGACAGTCTCCGGCGTTCGGAGCCAGGAGCCTGAGGATGCAGGAGCCCCTGATTGAAGACTGCCTGACGAACTTTCTGCAGTCAGTTGCACGCAGCTGCACCGGCCCAAAGCTAGAGGCCACCGTCGACATATGGGCCACCATCCGCCTGTTTACCCTCGATGTGACTGGTCTCACGGCATTCGGCACAGAGTTCAATATGGTAAGCTGCCGGAGATGCAGATGAGGTCGTCTGGCAGTTTTGAAGGTGCAATCACAGATGGGTGCAAGTGCAATCGCTTCCGCCCGAAATGCTGGTCGGATCATCAGTGACATACCCATATCTTTCATGCAAGTGCAAGCAGCCCTGCTGACACGACTCTGCTCTGATTCTCGTTGGCGGCTCCAGATCCGGAACGGTCAGCACCGGCTTCCGTCGACCATCAACTCCATTTTCCTGTTCCGGTCCGTCAAAGCTGTCTTCCCGTTCATCGAATACCTGCCGTTCCTGCCGATTGTCCAGAAGCGCAACGAGGATGTCCAGTACCTCGAGGACTTTGTCTTTGCCCTGATTCGCGAGCGCAAGTCGGGTGCCGTCAATCGCAGCGACCTGCTGCAGTTCATTGTCGATGCCGTTGACCCTGACACGGGCAAGGGTCTGACTGACAAAGAGATCTTTTCGAGCGTTACGGCTCTGCTGACAGCCGGAAGCGAGACGACGGCCAGCGTAAGTACCTTAGCATCCGACTGCCGCTTGCTTCGGATCTACCAGCACAGGGCGATGCACTCTATTGACACTTTTGTCCAACGACAGGCCCTGGCCTTTGGCCTGATTCGCATCGCAGAGGACCGCAAAGTCCTCGAGAAGCTCCAGAGCGAGCTCGATGCTGTGCAACTCGATCCCTCCAGCCGCCTGATCAGCCATTCGTCAGCAAAGAAGCTGCCGTATCTCAATGCCGTCATCGATGAAATCATCCGCATCGACCCCACTGCCGGAGCGGGCGGCATGCGCCAGGCCGACTCGGATATCAGCCTCGGCAGCTACGCCATTCCCAAGGGCACCAACATCAACATGACCATCTACTCGGCCCACTACGACGAGCACTACTGGCAGAATCCGACTCAACTCAACCCCGAGCGCTTCCTCTCCGGCAACCCCGACGTCAAGAAGCATCATGTGCCCTTCTCCCTTGGTCCCCGTAACTGCATCGGCAAGGAGTTTGCCCTCATCGAGATGCGGCTTTTCCTGGCCAACTTTGTTCGCCTCTTTGACATGCGCCTGCCCGACGGACCGCCCCAGTCCAAGGCCCAGGTGCTCTCAGTGACCCTTGGGCTTGAGTCGCAGACCTACAAACTGGTGGTGACCCCTCGCACCGAGAGTGTTCTTCAGAGCCTCTGAGCCATTCCAGCTATCCGCCACAACTTCCTCGCTGCACTCTGCAGCAACACGCCCTGCGCTCTTGTCGAATATACCCTGTTTCAAAACCAGTATTTCTATAAAAAACAATGAGACAGTGTCCCTCTCCTTTGGCATCTGTGGCTCAAGTCTGCTGCGCTTCTGAAGGTCTGGTGATTGACGAACTGGTCACACACAATCCCCGGCGTGGGAACCATGACAACCAGACAACATGGCGACGGAGCTGTCGAGCGGAATGTCTGAACTGTTGCGCAGCAAGCGAAGCAGGGTATCCAGAGCGAAGTAGCATCTCGGACCAAGCACAAAACCGCCGTCCTCGTTCCCATCCCACGCACACCATCCGCCAAGCCAATCCAATCCAGCATGTCTCAAAAACACACCCTCAGCTGTGATCTCACAGACAGCAGACCTGCCAAGATCGCCCGCCTCGATACGAGTCCACATGCTGTCCCCGAGACCGATCCTTCCGGCAGCACCCATTCCGGCTATCCCAGCCACGTTTGTGCCTTACTCGCCTCCCACGACATCCTCACGATCTTGATCTGCAACGATGCCTTTGTCGCAACCATCGGCATTGCGACTCTGGCTCTCCTTCCTCGCCTGGCGCCACAGTACAAGGACATCCTCTCGCTCGTTTCCGAAGCCGGAAGGCTCCGTGCTGCCCAGTCTCACATCGATGGCAGGGCAACATATAGTTATCCTGAGGAAGTCGACTTCCGCGATGTTCTTGACAGGACCAAAGAATTCATCGATGCCAACGACTTCCTCCAGGGAGTTTTCTTCTTCCTCACACGCAGGAACGGATATCCAGCGAGCTTTGAGGCATATCAGAAGGAACTGCCCCTCTGGTGGGCTGTCGCCAAATCAAAGTCGCTTCGGTGCATGATCAGACACGAGTGGTGTGGTTTAGGTCTTCGGTATCCGTTCACATCCAGTAATGACCCGAACATATTTAGTGATGTTCATTCTATATCATCCGACATCTTCCGTTCACTAAATCCACGAGATCAATTCAAAATACTGGACAGTTCACTTTTGTTGAACACAGAATATGCCCGCCGCTGCAGCCCAGAATATTGGTATTGTCGAACCGAAAGAACTGTGAACATTGTCCGATTCGATCATCACCCATATCACACCGACGAACAAGTGTCCAAGCTCCTCCCACACGAAGTGTGTATTCTGCAAGATGCGAATCATCACCTACGCATCAGATTGGTCAACTGCGGACTCTCTGTGTTTTCCGAATGGCCAGAGATCCCTCACCGCATCAGAACTCTCATCATTGATGACTCGCCGAACAAAGTCACGGACTTTGCTAGCTTCTCCGAGATGCAACAACTCGAGTATCGGAAGCTTCGGTGCAATATTGCCACTCTCGAAGGAATGCCGAATACCTTGCCGAACTTGACTCTGCTCGATTTATCCGAGTGTGCGAACATCCAGAGCCTCAACGGACTGTCACGGATACCAAGTGTTATCAGAGTGAGGCTCCCTCCACTCATCGAGAACATCGAACCTCTCTATCAATACTTTGGCCAGCTTGAGATGTTGGATCTGAGCCGCTGCAGTCGAATCACATCTCTTGTTGGGTTTCCTCCGTTGCGAAAATTGAATGAGCTCAGACTTCCAAGATCCATCCAGAGCCTGGATGAACTTCCGAGCCAACTGGACTCGCTCACGGAATTGAACATGTGGACATGCGATCGACTCGAGTCGCTCAAGCGATTGACGCCGATGCCGGGATTGAAGAACATCTGGCTTCCTCAATCGATCTGTCTGAAGAATGCTGTTGATATCATTCATTGGTTCCAACGATCGCCCCAATGGAGGAGTTGTTCTGTGAAGGATCGATCGCACAATGTCCGTCTAGCATCCAACCAATTCTGGACACTGCTGAGCCTGGTGGTCATCGATGCATTATCGGAGGCGAACCTATCAAACCAGTGCCTCAATGTACTCATGGAGGAACCAAGCGAGCTACTCAGTCGCTTCATGAGGACATCAGGAGACGAGAACTTTAACGAACTAATCTGTGACACTCGCACGGCAATGGATATATCAGCAGGATTGAATATTCAGTTGCTTGGCATCGATCGAGGCAGAACATACATCGGATGCTACACTCAGAAATATGACTCCATGCTGTCTGTGCTGGAGATTCCCACAGGGCTGGTGAACTGGAAATCTCCCTTGACGAAAGTCACAGTCCACCCTCAATCTTCTGAAAGTAGTCATCGTGATATCGACTATGTACTGCGCATCGACCAAACGGCGGAAAAGATGGTCTGGACGGACAGTATTGCTGAGCATCTTGTGGGAATGCCACCAAGATTCGATTATCTAAAGCACTTGGTGGCCAACTGGAATAATCTCAAGTCCCTCAGGGGCATGCCCGACATGCCTTTACTCGAAAAACTCACCCTCAGGGCAGATGCTGAGGATCTTCAAGGACTGCCGCCAGTGCTTCCGTCCCTTGTGCATTTGGATCTACGTCATTGCCCTCAGCTAACGTCGCTCAAGGGAATGCCCGAGATGCCCAAATTGACAACATTGATACTGCCTCCACTGATACGGAGCCTGCAATGGATGCTCAGGATCCTCTACTCGCTTCAAAGCATTGATCTCTCAAGATGTTCTGAGCTTGCGTCGCTCAAGGAGATTCCTTATCTCCCAAACTTGAGAAAATTGATAACCCCCAAAGGACTGAAGACCTTGGACATACCCCTGGATCACATCAGCTCGCTTGAGGAGCTCCATATGTCGTACTCGTCAAGTCTCGAGTCACTTGATCGCTTTCCATACACACCCAAATTGAAGATTCTGTGTCTGAACGGTTCATTTTGCAACCTCCGTGGACTGCCAAGATGCATGCCGTCGCTTCAGATCCTCTATGTCTGGTGCACCTCGCTCACATCGCTGGAGGGGTTTCCTGAAACACCCAAACTTGAAGAGCTGGCTCTGACGTCCTCAATAACCAGCATGCGCGGTCTGCCGTCCGTATTTCCCACCTTAACGGTGTTTGCCGTTTGTGATCAAGGGAGTCCAGTCAAACGAAACAAGCCTCCAGGGATGCCACATCATGCCCAATCTTCAGCGTCTCAAGCTCTCTGGATCGACTCGATCATTCCGGGGGCTCCCTGAGTCCCTGATGAACCTTCTGGAACTGCATCTATACTCATGCACGAATTTGGAATCGATCGAAGGACTTCCGCGTATGCCTTTGCTCCAGAGGTTGAGTTGCAGTGACACGAGAGGACCAATATTCGATGAGTTAGTGGCCCGACTGAGGACTGATTCACCGCAACTGAGCGTATCTGGATGAAATCCTCGCTTCATCACACTATCATCGATCAGCCACAGTCCAGATTGAGACGAAAGTAAGGTCAGGTGAAGAAGAGAACAACCTGGGTGGTGATGAGTGGTAGTGGATGCATCGATAACCCTCTGTTGGTACATCGTGACCGGAGTTGCTTTCCCGGAGCAAATCTTGGGTGCGTTAATGTGGCAGCATGAAATGACCGACTGGTACAATGCCTCGGTGTATCGGATTGCTCTGGAACATCAATATATCAGTACATACAACCCGCCTCAGGGGATTGTGGACAACTCAGTGATGAGGTCATGGTCTGGGGTGCAGCCAAAGAAAGCCACACCGACATCATACCGACAGCTGGTCCTGATCCTTTCGACCAAAATGTTGACGATGCTCCGGACACGGCTCCAGATGCCGCTCCAGATCTTGTGCCGGCAGAGAGCGAGTGACGACACGACATCGGAGCACTGCTGGTCGTAACGGCCTGTCGTGCCCGCCGGGCCGGATGCCTGTCGACGGGGCTGATGGACCTGTGTTTCTGGAGGAGACATCCTGCGGGTGCCCCTGGCTGTCGCTCGGCAAGCAACTTGGTCGGTGCGGGAGCGCTTGTCGAGTTTGGTGCGGGCCCGGACACAGCATGAAGGGAGAGCGGCCCGTGCGCCTCGCCCTCGGCCGTCCTCGTCCTCGCCGCTCGCTGCTCTTGTCCTCCTTCGCCGCCTGCTGGTCGTCCTTTCGCTGTTCCCAACCATCTGCTTGGCAGACCCCTGGTGCTGCTCCAACGCCCCAAATGTCGTCCTCGGACCGGTCGTCTCTGCACTCTGCCTCTCAGTACTATCCCGCCGTGCTCCACCACTTGGAGGAGGACATCCCGCTGCCGACCACTCTCCCGCGCAATGCCAAGCCGCCCAATTTCTCCTCCGAATCCGTCCCTGCCGTTCCTGCACTCCCTGCCGATGCCGCCGGGCCCGCACCTGGCCCTTTGACCGAAGCCGCGAGACTGCAGACGGCCTCAAGCCATGGGCGGACCTCGATGGTCGTCGACAAGCTCTTCAGAGTTGTGAGTAGTGCTTCGCTCGAGGCTGCGAGGGGGGGGGAAGAGAGGGACGGGAAGCGGCCCAACCCGGACTACCTCTGGCTCTGCATCGCTCTGCCTTGATATAGCTTGATTTGGCCCTGATTTGGCCTTGATTTGGCCTTGATTTTGCATTTGCCGACGCCTGCTCGGCTTTGAACTTCCCTCTGCTTCCTCACGGTGACCGCTTGGCTCTGATCTGGTCTGGCGTGGTCTTTGCCACCAGCAGCCAGCAGCCAGCGTCAGCACCGATCATGGTCAATGTCTCTCTCAGCTCCGGCTCGCCCCAGCTTCTGTGCATACCACAGAGCATACCAAACGCTCGCCCAGTCTCGCTTTGGGCAACCAGCCAACATGATACTCACTGCCTCCTTTCGGCTCTCTGTCGTTTCACGCAATCCAGGTTGAGCGCCGCATCTACAGCTCGCGAAACAGCTCGAACGAAGAAGTCGACGGGTCGACGGCCCCCTCAAGCAACTCGAGTCTGCGCATGGAGTTCGAAACCCTGTACGAGCGGATCGCAAAGGATCTGCGCCGCAAGGATGCTGCCCAGAGCGTCCGTAGCAAGGCCAGCAACCCCTCCGAGACCTCCAGACGCAACCGCCTGAGCGCCTTTTTCTTCCCCGACAAAGCTATGGGCTCACGCTCGCTCCAGCCCATGGCCGAGCTGCCTGAAGACGAACTGGCCCGTGCCGAGAGCCAGTCCGAGGTCGAGGCTGATCCAAACCGCCTCCGAACGGTCTTCTTTGTCGGATTCCTGTTCCCGCCGGTCTGGTTCGTCGCCTCGTGCTCGTCGCATAATACCTCATGGCGACTCTACAGCAGGTGGGCGGCGGCCCTGACGATCCTGGCCGTCATCGCCATCGTGCTCCTGGTATACTTTTTGGTGCTTAGAAAGAACTAGATCCTCTCGGGTCTCCGCCAGCCGTGCTTTGGCCATCGCGGCTATCGCTTTATCCCTGTTGGTGGCTGCTCTCGGTGGGCCTCCAGCCTCAGCGACAGCCCAAAGCAGCACTGCTCGTGCCCGTGGATGAACTCTCAAGCTTTCGGCTCTGGACTGAATGACTCCTGTGGTCCTCTCCGTTTCATCAAGGCATGATGGACCCGCCCACCCGCTGCAAACGACAAATGCGCCTCCAAGCCGTCCGCGTTCTATAGACTGACCTGACCCTCAGCCCCATCTCGGGGAGATTCTTTCTGCTTTCCTCTTGCCTCGACACCTCCTTAAAATGCCTCGTCGCCGCCAGGCCGTCTCTCGTTTCGCTACCGCTTCTTTAGACCCATGTTTCCTCCCTCTTCTGTATTTTTGCTTTGTCTCGCTTCGTCTTTGTCTTCGTTTTCGTCTCGATTGCCTCTTTGCCCCTCTGCACTGCATCCGCCCGGCCCGAATCGCTTTCTCTCCTCGCCGTCTGACTCGGTATGCAAGTACATCCGATTGATCTCTATCCCAACAGATGCCTTTCGTGGTGCCATCCCTTCTATGACTTGTGCCTCTTACCGATGCTCTTACATTGTGTTCCAGAAAAAAACCCTGTCATGGCTCAAAACGGGGTGTCCCATTTCATTTTGGAAACGCTGTATCTTCGTCCCTCGTATCGACATTCGCCTTCGCGTCCCTCGGTTTCTTCTTCCTCGCTGGCCCGCTGCACCACTTCCTGGAGAAAGCCTATGTGTCCCTAGTCCTCGGCCGCGATTTTCATCCCGGAATTCATATCAGATACTATTCGTCGATCCTTACATCGCTCTCATATTTGCAATTCCATCGCATCGCCATGCTTGTTGGTGACTGCCGGATATGGAGGAACAGATATTTTTCTAGATTCTGGATTCTGCACTGTGCCTTTCCCGCTCATCGGCAGTATGGAGTGGCTGCCGGCCTGCCCGGGCTCTGCCTCCCCTATTTCCTGGTCCATTCCTTGCTGCCCCTGTCGATATCGCGCCCCATATTGAACCGGGACACCTCAACATGCGGATGGCTCGTGGATTGTGTGGAATGAGCGATGCTGATCTCTCGCTTGGCTGAACAGCGTCGATCGGCACTCGCACTGCCGCAATGGTCTCGGCCAGGAGATGATAGTTCCCATTGCCCCATTCCTCACACAGTATTCTGCCACCCAGATACCAAAGCCCTGCACCGGGATTGCGCCTTCCCACATCCAACGAGACCCTGCAGCGGCTTCTGCACCAGCTTTGGCGCCAAAATTGCCCGCCAACGAGCCAGATCCGATCGATGGCCCGATTGCCTGAGCAACGGGAGGGCCGGCCAACGTCGACTTGGGCATTCTCACCCCGATCGGATCGAGAACCAAGGACAAAGCCAGACACTCCTCCACGTTCCTGGATCGATCGATTCCTTGCCCGCAATGCTAAATGCCGGACGAGTGACCTGGGCCCAGAGCCGACGCGATGCTCGTGAATACGATGAGAAGGGGTGAGTTCCGTCGCGCTCGGCGATATTGCATTCGTTGCAGCGAGTACCTGGTCGTCTGCGTCCGGGTCCGGTTGGACCACTCTTCTACCGGTCGTCGTGATTCCTCCTAACAGCCGATGAGATGAGCGCACTTTCTCGCTTCCGCACCCGCCCCGTCCTTCCCTTTGTCCACGCAACGCTCATTTTCACTGACTTTATCTCTGGCTGTGGCAACCGATCGTCGTGTCCTTCCCAGCAACACCAAGATGGCCCAAAGGTACCTGAAGCAGCTCTGCCGAGAGCAAAAGCTGTACCAGACACCTGAGCTCAACGACAGACTCTACCTCCATTTCAAAGGTAGCGGACGATCATTGGCGCAATCGCTTTGCTGCTGAGAATCGAGCGAGTACGCGCAGCAATAATATGAGAGAGCGGGGAAGAGAAGTGTAAGAAGGGTACGGTCAGCCCTCTGGGCCGTTACGGGTGATCGTGATGAGCTGCATCCAACAGAATGCCGACCAGACTTTCACACCAGGGAGGGGGCACGCGCATGAAGCTAATGCCACTCCAATGGACACACACTTGTGCAGGGTTCACCAAGATCGAGAGCTTGGAAGAATACGTTGGTGTCCGATCGCTGTGGCTCGAAGGCAACGGCATTGGCACGATCGAAAATCTCGGTGAGTAGTGGCACTGGTGGGCTGTGTCGTGACTCTGCAAAGATACGCTCGACGGACGAACGCAATGATATCTCGATTCTCTGGCAGCCTAGTTGGTGGCCCTGCCCGCTAACTCGGTCCGCTCTATTGTCGTAGACACACTCACGGAGCTGCGATGCCTGTAAGTCGCTCAGTCTATATTCTGGCCTCGTGTCGATCTCTGCCCCATTTCCAGCCGTGGTCGCCGCCGCATCCAGCCATTTGCTCCGCTGGGGAACTGTATGAACCCATCTGATATCATTAGCCACTGCCATCGTTCGTGATCTTGAACCCGCTTGTTCCCTCCACACAGGTTCCTCCAACAAAACTGCATCGAGAAGATCGAGAACGTGGATCATCTGTCGCTGCTCGACACGTTGAATGTCTCCAGCAACATCATCAAACAGATCTCGGGGCTCGAGGGACTCGTGAGTCTGAAGACCCTCCAAATCGCAAGCAACCTTTTGAGAACCTGCGAGGACATCGAAGGCCTCCTGCAGTGCCCCTCCATCTGGTACCGAAGAGCGATTACCTGGGACTGTAGCAGCGGAAAGAACACCTCGTGCAGACATTGCAGAGAGTGCAGTGGTAGTGACAAGGGCACAGAGAGCACCCTGAACTCCCGAGCTTATGCACCATCGCTGCTCTGCCTCTGCAGCATCCTGGATTTATCCCAAAACAAAATCGACAACCCGGACGTCATCCACATCTTTGAGCAGATGCCGAACCTGGTGCGCTGTCAATATTGCCTCTGTCACCGTTGTGCTATTCCACTCTCCGGCAATCTCGCGTATGCTGCAAACTGGCCGTTTCTGACACTTGCATTTATGTATATCTCGGATATCGGATGGGATATCGGATCGGATCTCTCATTCGATCGCGTCACTTTCTTGTCCACGGCGACGGCTCTGAAGACTGTTCTCAACTTCATGGGCAATCCGGCGATTCGCAAGATCGAAAACTACCGCAGAAATATGGTTGGCAAGATCAAGGGGCTGACCTATCTGGACGACCGCCCTGTTTTCGACAAGGAGCGGCTGGCGACCGAAGCATGGTACGGGACGTGCTGGACCGAGTTGCATAGGGGGGGGGAGGGTGGAAGAAGGCTGCAGGACGGCACATTGTCCTGACCGAGTATATATCGTTTGTAGGATGGTTGGTGGGCTCGAGGCCGAGCGCCAGGAACGTGTTCGGCAGCAGCAGGAGGAACGGGATGCTCACGATCGCAATCTCAAAGGTACTTGTCCCTCGCCCTCAAAGCCCAACGTATCCCTTCTGCTTACTCTCCATCTGTTCAGCCCGTGAGCACATGTAGTCGCCGTTGTCTGTCATGTGGATATCGGTGGATCCTCGCCGTATCAGCGAGAATACCTCCTAACATCCGTGCTTCATGAACCTGCCCGTCCCAGCTTTGGAAAAGATTCAAGAAGAAGGTCGAAAGAAGCGAATCGCAAAGTACGGGCCCGACAAGGAACCCACCTTCAGCGCCGGCCTCACCCGCTTCCGCGATGAGCAGATGGAGAAGATTCAGACTCCCGAGGAGCGGGCCCAGATCGCGGCTGTCAAGGATCCAAGCACATCGACCGCTGAGACTGAGGGCGTGCCGCTGCTCGACTCTCCTGTATACAGCATTGGGTCCCGCAACACGGCTCCGATCCGATCGGGCGCACACATATCAGTCCGCGGACAGAGCCTTGGCGCTGACGGGCTAGCTGATGACGACGATGTGGACAAAGAAGGCGTGGATGACGAAGACATCGCGACCCAGAGCAAAGTGTCCGAGCTGCGACCCGATCAGCCCAAGACCCTTCAGTTCCCACTTTCGGCCAAGAGCTTGATTGAAGAGATCCATGAGTGCGAGCAAGAGCAGGCCAGACTAGAGCTGGAGCTGGAGCTGGAGTCGTCCGGGCAGCGCGAAGCACCTCTCGCCAAGAGCCTGATCGAGGAGATCTATGCCGAAGCCACAGATGATACTCCAGAGGCCACTGTCGGAGATATCCTCGAGATGCCCGTGAAATCTGCTGCATCCGCCACTGCTACGCTCCTTGAGACACCAAGGCCCGTGGATGTCGGTGAAGACGAGCCCACCGAAGGCATCCAGTCCAGTGGAATGCCCGCCGGAGTGGCTGTATGCTCGCAAGAGCCTGTACTGATCCGTGAAGTTGTATCGGAGCCGGAGGCGGTCGGTGCTCCGCTCCCAGGCTGCAGCGATATCTCGGTCACTCTCAAGCCCGCCGAGACTGCTGCCGATGACGCGGAATGTGCTCGCGAGTTGATGGATGAAATCGATGCGGTCTTGTGCGAAGAAGCAGCTATCCGTGCAGAAGACTCGTTCGCTGACCAGAATGCCCCCAAAGTCTCGGCAGTGGAAGCCGTCGTCGCGGCGCACCATCAGCCAAGCCGATCTGAACGGTTCAAAGAAGGGCCCCAAGACTCTGCTGTTGTCCTCGACCCAGTTGCTGTCGATGACGAGCTGAAGCTAGTTGATGAACCAGCTGACGGGATGGTAGAAGAGTCGCTGTGGCCCGTGGACAGCCAGTTCGAATCAAAGCCCCAGCCAGAGTACACCTATAGAATGCCCAAGAAGCAGCGATCGGCCGACCGCAGCCTGGCCGAAGAGTTCGAGGAGTGGATCCAGGCCAAACCCGGGGACACCGACGCCAACGTGCCGCTGATGTCGGATATGGATGATCTCGAACAAACCGGATATTCGCTGCTTGTGGAAGTGCCGGAGACCAGCGACGAAGAGGACGACGGCGAAAGCGTGTACGAAACGGCCGACTCCTCTGTTGTGGAGCAGGATGCTGACAGGGTCGGCGACCGCCTGTGCGTGATGCACGATCCTATGCTCGCTGAAGAGAGCGATGCCCTCCTCACAAGCCCCGAGATCGACTCCTTTGCGGAGCTGCGAAGGCCGTCTGCCTCTGGTACGGCGGCGGGCACGGCGGCGGGCACGGCGACCGGCACTCTAGGCTGCGCCAACGTCGCCAATATCCTCGCCGACACTATCGAGTTGATTCAATCCAACGTCGCCCCACTGACAGAGTGCGATCCCATCCTGGGATTCGCCGTGGACTACCTGGCCTTTGAAGAAATGAACACGGCCTTGCCCAGCAGCGTGATGGAGGGCAGCTTCGAAGCACCTCTGAAGCGCGCATGGGAGCATCTCTCCGAGCTCGGCAACAGCTCGGATGAAGAGTCCATCGACGACAATGAGGATCCTTTCGACAGCGAAGCCGGCTCTGGGTCTGGACAGGAGGACGAGGATATGGAAAGCACACTGGTCGTGCCAGGCGGCCGCGGCGATCGAGACGCGCCCGCAACCAGAGACGAGGACGACGAGGTCGAGATTGTGTGTCGAGCACTGAGCGACTGCGAGATCGACGAAGCAGCTTCTGTCCAGCCCCGTGATCACCTCGCGGCCAATGTGTGGAGTGACGAGTATCCGTACTCGGAGTCGCCAAAGCATCACTCGATTCAGTAGATAGGAGTCGGACCACCGATGGACCGATCGATGGACCGATCGCTGGGCTGTGGCGAATAGAGCGAGCATCAGGGCAGGACAACGAAATGGAAGGCGGTCTAGAACAATCAACTCAATGCAGCTCAGAGTGCAGCAAGAAACCAAAGCAGCGGACCAGGATGCAAGCATATCGATCGCTGATGTGCATCGAGTCCGTGGTACTTGCTCGATGCAGCGCCCCGGATCATGAGTGCGTGGTGCTGACAAGGGGTGATTGCGAGAATACAATCAATCGGTCATGCAAACTCAGCTGGCGCCTTGATCTGAGGGCACGGTGAACACTTGCTCGCCGCCCTGCGCATTTGTGAGCATGCTCGGTGCTGCTGCTGCTGCTGCCCCTGGCATCCCAAGTTCCCACGCACCCACACCATCGCCACACATTCCAGCCTGCCCAGCCGGCGCATTCCAGCCAGCACCCGGCCTTGTTTGCGCCTCGGCTGCGCTTGCAACTCCGACCACCCGAGCCGCCGGATGCTGGTGGCGCCTTGTCACTGCCGCACCAGCCGCCTGTTTGGGGCGAGGAGATGCGGGCGAGGGCTGCGCGCGGCGAGACGCACTGTGTCCGGCAGCGAGAGTCGAGCGAGAGTCGCTGCCGCGAGAGCCGCGCCAGCCAATCGCGTTGCTCCGTGCCGATTCCGTTGCGGGAACGGCCCGTCGTTTCTCAAGGCGCGGCCACATCTTCCCATCTCTTCCGCACCCTCCCCAGCCGCACACAGCAGCCCCCTTATATCCAGTCTGGCACCTCTCCCTCCTCTCCTGCCTCCTCTGCTCTTCGTCCGCTGCGATCGCTGTGTTTGCCGCTCTGTCCAGCCCTGTCCTGTCCATCCCTGTCCATCCCTGTTCATCCCTGTTCATCCCTGTCCAGTCGAAATGTCCGCGCCGAGTGATTACGTCCAGCCCACCCTGATGTGGTCGCCCAAGAACCTCGAGGACAACCAGCTCATCAAGTTCCGAGACTTTGTCAACAAGCGATACAACCTCAGCCTGGGTGAGCCTCTGTCCTGGCCAGCGGTGCTGCAGATTGGCCCTCGGCAACTCCGGTCGGCACGGGCATCGTCTATTCTCACCGAAGCCCATGTGTCCTTGCCTGTGGCCCCCCCCCGTTTCATGTGTCAACGCCGTATCTGATCCTTGCACTTTGGAATCTGTGCTCATACTCCATCGCCTCGGTTTCCCGCACCAACAGCCACCTATGACCAGCTGTGGCAATGGTCAAGCGATCAAATCGAGAACTTTTGGGAATCAGTCTGGATCTTCACCAACATCAAGGCCTCGGTTCCATACACCCAGGTAGGGATTCCCTCTCGGAGGCGATCGTTGGAGCGACCGAGGCTGCACAACATTGGCGATAGCGGGGCACGACCGGCGCTTGGATCCAACTCGGCAGGGCAACGAGCAGGGGAGACAGAATCGTTGGGGACTGCCCCCTCGTCCGTGCTCCTCAACTGGCTCGGATCATGGGATACATCGCTAAGCACCAAGCGCAACAGAATCCTCTAATGTATCCGATCATCTTCTTTGCTGGGCCCGAATGGTGGTGGGGGGCGATGGCAGGTCCTCGAGCCCGGCGTCCGCATGGACAGGATTCCCAAGTGGTTTCTGGTAGGTCGAGTCTCGCCGCAAAGCGCCCACACCGGTCCTCAGTAGCGCACCATCGTATCGTTGCTATGTGGCTTACGATCATCGGCATCCACCCATCCAGGATGCCCGCCTGAACTATGCCGAGAACATCCTTGCCTACAAGGACGACCACGTTGCCATCATCGGCGCTGGTGAGTGTGTGCGCGGAAGCGTCGGCGACAACACGATTCGGTCGTCGACATGGCAGGTGATCGAGTCCATGTCGTCCGAGTTTGTGGGAGTGGAGAACGGAGATGGTCTGTGGCTTCGATTCGCTCCCGAGAGGGTCAATCGGGGAGGAGGGTCTCAAGTCTCCAACGCCAAAGTCGGTGCTCTTGTTCGCCCTTCTTTCTCATCCGTTATCGATTCGCCTCTCTCCATCGCTCTGGTGAACGATTCGTATTCACAAATGGTGTTATACTGATTCCGCCTGTCACTAGGTGAGGGCGACACCATCGAGAAGATCACCTACGCCGAGCTCCACGAGCGTGTGCGGGTTCTCGCGGGTGCTCTCCGAGCCCATGGTGTTCGCCCCGGCGACCGCATTGCCGGATACGTTCCAAACTCACCTCAGACGGTATGTATCGCGCATGCGTGCGTACGCATCAAGGGTCGAGATGTCGAAGGCTGGTCGGTTCCTCGTATTCGTCCACAGGGTGCTGGGCAATCATAGGGCAATGGCAGGGCCGACGCTGATGCAGATTATGCCGCTGTCTTCCTTGCGCAGGTCATTTGCATGCTCGCGGCGACAAGCTTGGGCGCCATCTGGTCTTCGGCCTCCCCCGACTTTGGCGTTACGGTAGGTCGCTGGATGAAGCGCCTGCTCCACGGCGATCGATACAGGATACCTTGCAACTCGCTAAAGCTGTGTGTTGACTGAGTTTATCTTGTTTCGGACAACAACGACAACAACAAACGCCGTTTCCAGGGCATTCTCGACCGCTTCAGCCAGATCCAGCCCAAGATCATCTTCTCGATCAATGCCGTTCTGTACAACGGCAAGACGCACGACCATCTCGAGAAGCTCAAGGCCGTTGTGGATGGTCTCGACTCGCTCGAAAAGGTCGTCGTCTTCCCGTTTGTGGACCAGCCCTTTGATCTCTCTGGAATCCCCAAGAGCTCCAGCCTGGCCGAGTTCCTGAGCACCTCCGACAACGGCCCGCTCGTCTTTGAGCAGCTGCCCTTTGATCACCCCCTCTTTATTCTCTACAGCTCCGGCACGACCGGGAAGCCAAAGTGCATCGTCCATGGCGCTGGTGTAAGCCCAGAATGCTGTCCGGGTGCAGGCGCTGTGGCAGGTGCTGCGGTGGCGCTGTGGCAGCCGGAGCGGTGCATCTGTATCGCCCAAGCCCATGCTTTTGTTTTGCATTCGGCTGACTCTGTACTTTTGGAACCTCACCACAGGGCGTACTCATCCAGCACAAGAAGGAGCACATTATTCACGGCTCGATGGGTCGCAATGACATCATGCTGTACTACACCACCGTAGGTTGACGGACACATCGGTCCCTTGATGAAGGGCAACGGCGTCCACAACAAAGGCACAGCGATTTACTAACACTTTCGACGCGGTCTGGTTGACGGCTTCAGACCGGGTGGATGATGTGGAACTGGCTGGTTGGTGGACTTCTCGCTGGATCCACGATTGTAAGTTGCGTCCGTGCACGGCTGCGAGAGGGCGGAGTTGTTGGCATTTATGTGTCGCCCAAGCCTGTTTATGGTATCCAGATTTGCTTTGGGCATAAGTATGAACTGACTCGCCCGGTCCCCGCACGCCTTTTGCCCTTGCAAGGTGTGTTACGACGGCAGCCCCTTCAAGCCCTCCACCGACCGGCTCTGGCGACTCAGCGAGCAGCTCGGCGTCACCATCTTTGGCACCTCGGCCAAGTACATCCAGGGACTCGAGGAAGCCGGCTTCAAGCCCCGGGAGCACTTTGGGCTCTCCACCCTCCGGACGATCTACACGACGGGATCCCCGCTCAAGCCCGAGAGCTACGATTTCATCTATCGCCATATCAAGGAAGACGTTCTTGTGGGCTCGATCACGGGTGAGGATGCAACAGAGCAACTTCTCGGTGGATGCGGAAGCGACGAAAGCAAGCTCCGTGAGAACTGTAGCGGGCGGTGCGGCTGCAGGTCCATCTCCTGCCTGACCCCGATCTTAACATGGATTCTGGAGCGGACATGATGGGCTGACGCTGGGCTGATGCGGATGCTGGGATTGATCCCGGTCCTATCGAGCAGTGGTTTGCATATCCTGATGACTCACTCTGTCACGTCTCCTTGCCGATACTGCCAGGTGGAACCGACATCGTTTCGCTCTTTGCGGGCCACAACGCTGCCGGGCCGGTTTATCGCGGCGAGATCCAGTGCAGATGCCTCGGCATGGCAATCGAGGCTTGGAGCGAGAGCGGCAAGCCTGTTCTCGACGAAACCGGCGATTTGGTGTGCACAAGTGAGTCATCGGCTGTCCTCTAGTTCAATCGCCTCGGCCGCCGAATTCGGTTCATACTTGATCGTGAGCTGAATCTGGACGACGGAACTAAGCGACGCATCCACCGCATTCGTTCCGAGCCGGTCGTTTCGAGCCAGTCGCTCGCGCCCCCCCCCTGCAAGTCTTCTGGCTGTCTATTGATTCCCGTGGCTTCGTATCCTCCTCTTGCCTCCTGCAGAGCCCTTCCCCGTCATGCCAGTTGGATTTTGGAACGACCCCAACCACGAAAAGTACCGCGGCGCCTACTTTGACGTGTTTGAGGGCGTCTGGCACCACGGCGACTTTGTCTACATCAACTCCAAGACGGGCGGTGTGATCATGCTGGGCCGAAGCGACGGAACTCTGAAGCCAGCTGGCGTCCGGTAAGTACCAGCTCCAGCACTGTTGACGGGCCGTTTGTGATGATTGGACTCGCACTGACCTGTACCTTGCGTCCGATCCACAGATTTGGTAGCGCCGAGCTCTACAACATTGGTATGTCTCTGAACAGTGGTTGCCCGCGATGACGGGACCGAATGTGGATGGGGGGGGGCACCCCCGATTCTCGTTCGACAGCCACATGTGCCCATGCAGGACAATGTGTGATCGAACCAGTATGTTCAGCGAGACCTGACATGGGCGCGTGTTCCCAACATCTGTTGGTGTTAGTCGAGTCCTTCCCGCAGGTGTCGGATAGTTTGGTGGTTGGCCAAAAGTACCAAGACGATGAGCGAGTGATCATGTTCCTGAAGATGGCCGAGGGTCACGCATTCAACAGCGAGATCGTCAATGCCATCAAGGCCAAGATCCGCGCCCAGCTTTCGCCACGCCATGTCCCTGCGATTGTTCTGGAGACCCAGGATATTCCGGTAAGGGTGTGGCTGCGATGACGGACCGCGATTTTCAGGGAGGGGTGAAAGGATGCAGCAGCCGCGACGGACTCACCGCAAACGATTTGGTACATTTACAGTACACACTCACGGGCAAGAAGGTCGAGGTCGCAGTCAAGCGAATCATCAACGGCGCCACGATTGTCCCAAGCAGCACCCTCAGCAACCCAGACAGCCTCAAGCTTTACTACAACATTCCCGAGCTGCAACAGTAGAGTGCCGGAGCAGCGAATGCCACCAGAGAGGCAGAGTGGCGTGTTCGGACAGCGAGGGGACGGGAAAATGCAGCCAGAGCCAGCTCGGAGGAGCAGTCAGGTTTGCCGTTGCAAACGCGGATGTCAGGACCAGCGGATACGAGGGACTCTGTTTGCTCGAGATGATGGCCCGCCGCGACGCCTCTTCCGCCATGGATGGCTGTCTTCTTCCGCCTGGGCTTTCGGACTCGCTGTGTCGTTGACATATGCACACTTGGGGGGGGGTCGCTCGCTCTGTCGACATACTGCTGTCACCCCTCACGCAGCCAATGAAATGGTTTCAATTAAGCAGCTGCGGCCTCCACAGGCGATGATGGCATTCGAGACGACACCAGCGTCCGCATGGAGGCGAGGGGGGGGGCATGAAAGCGGACGACATGACCCCGCGCGACATGTTTGGGCTGGGGCGAACCGGGGTCATGACGCAAGAACGCACATGGCAGGAGTGATTGGCTGGGAACGATGGCGAGGACCAGCGAGGACGAGATGGAGGTGGATGAAGCGAGACAGCGGGACGGAGATGGATTGGGCCGCGACGGGAGTGTGGGGAAAGACCTGCGAATCAGAGCCGCATGAGATGGCGCATGGCTGGGCCCGGCGGTGGGACATGGCGACAGAGCACGCACCATGAGCCTCGGCGACGGCAGGAGCATTGTGGTTCCCCTGGGTCGTGCTTGGATCGGCGGATGGATCGGTGCATGGGTCGGCGCTCTCAAGATACGGCATGACGGCAGTCCCGAGCAGGCACCTGCGAATGGAGTGCAGAAATGGCGAGATGCAGCCCAGCCGAGAGGACGGCTTGCTGCCGGCGCCATGGCCAGACGACAGCGCTGGCAAGCAGTGCGATGGCCCCAGACACAAACACACTCTGGCGCCATCGTTCGCCCACAAGGAAGGCAAGGAGCGAGAGACAGCCGCAATCAGCCGCAATCAGCAACAAGTGATCACTTACGGGCGATCGCTTCTCAGGCAATCCGTCGCTCGCACCCACAATCGCCTGCATGAACAAGTACAGCCGCACACAATCGCCACAGGAACAACGGGCGCCCACAGGCACAGCACCGCCTTCGCTGTCATTCGCGGACACGCTTTCCTTTTCTGGGGGGGCGCCGTGCGAGGCGGCTCTCGGTCTCGGGCTCGGCGGTCTCGGCGGTCTCGTCGGTCTCGTCGGTCGGTGTCACCGTAGATCCATCTCGCTCGTCGCAGATCCATCTCGTTCCTCGATCTCGTCCCGTCTCGTCCCGTCTCGTCCCGTCTCGCCCCATCTCGCTCCCCGTCTTTCCGTCCTCCCCGCTCGCTTGTCTGCGTCCTTTTGCGTCGCTTTTCCCTCTCCATTCGCCTTCTCCTCCATCTTGCTCGGTCTTGACTCGTGCTGCTTGCGGCCCGCCGACCCGGCCTGCTCTTCCTCTTCCTCGGCTTCCCCTGCTCTCCCGTCTCAGCCTCTGCTTTTCTCTGGCAGGCTGTACATCACCGCCAATCCCTCAACTCTATCGGATTCCATCTTGCTTCACACCCCCCGGTTCCCACCCCGGTTCTCACCCCACCCCGGCTCTCCCCGCTGACCATCGTTGTTCTGGCTCCAGCCTGCTCCACTCTGTCTCGGATTTAACCTTGGACTCTCTCCAGGCAACCTCGAGCACGTATCTCTCATTCCTCCCGCCTTACCGTTGCCGCTGCCTCCAGATCCGCCACAATGAATCCCGTTGCACCGAAACCCTCATACATCGTCGATACCTCCTCGCTCTTACACAAGAGCAACTCGGTCGAAGTCATTGCCAAGCTCAACGCCCTCGCTGCTCGCCATCAGACTGCTAGCCCAAAAATCACGATCGACGATGCCCCCTCGCCGTCCCCTTCGCTGAAGACGGGCGGCCCCGATACCCCCATCTCGGTCCTGCCTCCGCCGCCTCCCCCAACCCCGGTCAACGCGAATCACTATCCCGGACTCTCGGTGTCTTCCCTGATCGAGTCGCTGTCAAGCCAGAGCCTCGAGGACAGCACCTCGGCCGCCTAACCACTCCTTCCCTCCTCTACGACAGACCGCTTTCCGTCTGTGCTGTGGCTGCGATTACCCCGCTCTCGGCACTCGTCATCTCCATTCGTATTTGCCATCACAACCCTTCCCCTCGACTCAACTCTCCGCCTGTCACCCTTGCCAGGATCCCACCGTTGCGCCAGCCATCGCTACCACTGTGATTGACATGATTCTCAGCTCAAAATACCGGACGAACCTCCCTCTCTACAGTTTGCCACAATTGTAGTGCCTTGATTCTTTTGGACCATTTCTCGCTCTGCTCCCTTCCCTCAGCCGCTTGTCACAAAGTACAGCGGCCTTCTCTGCCATTCCTGCCTGTATCGTCGCTCCTCGATCGCCAGGCGTCTATCCCCTCCTTGTTTCGCTTCTCGCTATCTCATCCCTATCTATTCCCATGCAGCCATTTTCTCTGTCGTTTCCTGCTCCCCGTTGCGCCTTTGCACGGCCTTTATTTTTGCACTCGCTCGCTCCCCCCCCCTTTCCTCATGCTTCCTCGTTCGCCTGCATGCTTCTTGATGCACTTCTTGATCCCTCCGTTTCCTGGCTTCAGTCGCCGGAGCGTCCGACCCCCTCCCGCTATCCTATTTTCGCCTTTGCACTTGTTTCTTCCGTATGCTTCCCCGCCTGTTCGTCTCTCCTCGTCCCTCGCCCCGCCTGCATCCGTCGATTCCATACCTCCCGTCCACCCCTCCCTTTTTTCCACCTGTGTGCTCCTCCGCTGTCCGATCCAGCACTTCATCTGCCCCCAGAACGCGAATCCCGACCCTGGACAGCCAGCCGAGGCGCTCACACTTGATCAACCGTGAAATCGGCCCTGTTCCAATCGCGAACCAGCCTTGTCGTCCCTGTCATCAATCCCTCCCGTCGGCCCTTGTCCTCCGACACCAGCACGACATCAACACCCAACGCGCCATCGACCGCTGTCCCTCGGCCTCCGTGAACGCTCTCCTTTCCCTTCTACCCGCAAACAACCTCCCTTCCTCGACCGAGCTGTTGTCGTCATGAGTTGTCGCACCACGTGGCGTCTCCCTGTCAATTTCCACCCGATGGTGCTGTTCGCAAGTCCAGTCCCACCCTCCGTTTCGATATCCCATCCATCCATCCATCCGTCCATCCATCCGCGGCCTCGATTGCTTTCTCGATCGGACCCTCTCCTGTTCGTCCCTCGGCCGCGACGCCCCATCCCTTTGGCCTCTAGATTCAATCCTCTCCCCTCACTCCTGCTCGGTTCATAGTACGGATCGACTATCTAATGATACTACTTTCTAACTATCGCACTTCCCCACCCGGCTCTCTCGGCCCGTTCCGCACACTCTCCTTGGCTCCTTATTCCGTAATATCTTTAATCGCTCACTGGTGTCCCTCGATACCTCAGCCCCCTTTTTTTTCCTAGCAAATTCCTAGCACAGTATGGCTACCTTTTTTTTTTTTCGTTTGCCCTTCTTTTTTGCTCTCCAATGTTCTTTTTTTCTATTACTCATGCCACAATCGCCACTTCACACCCTCCCACGGCCGATCCCATCTACTAAAACGGACATGATACTGGACCCGTATTGCACAGAATCGGTGGCGAGCGCGGATCGAAAGCGACAGACCGTATCTTGGTCTTGCGTGCGGACCTCTCTTCTTCCTCCCTTCTCCTTGGGGAGACGTATGACTGTTTTTCTCGTCCATTCACTCCCACCCATACCCCCTCCCTTGTCGCTCTGTCTTTCTTGCGATCCAGGGAGTACCCGTTGCCTTGGTATGCCATGGATGTTGTGTGTCTCTGTCGGCGAGCGCTGTGTCCAGGGTCTTCACCTCGATCGTGTGGTTGATTGTTTCTTTCTAGATTCGTCTGCCAGCCTTCCTGCTGGCGCTATCTTTTCATCTCTCGTCGAGCTGCGTCGGGCGGCTGTCTCCCACCATCAAACAGCCAAATACCGGGTTCCACCAAACGATCCAGCTCGGACCAACTCGCAGCCCACAGAACCAGCGACCCGACGAGTGCTTGTGTTGGTCGCGGCTGCCACCTTCTTCCAAAAGCCTGCCAGTTTTGCTACGTTCCCCAAAGTGTTCTCGGCCGCTCGGTCTTATAATACACATCAATTCAGTACAAAAGCAACAAAGGTGATTGGGCGAGCCCTCGATGTATATCTATGGTCAGCCCGGGCTCTGTCGGTTGCGGCGGGATATCCGATGCAGCCTTTGACCCTCCATTCGCCGAGCACGAACGACCCGCAGACCCGTCCCACGCCGTCACATCCCCGGCCTGCACTGCACTTCGCCAGCCCTGTTCTGGCTCCGGCTGTGGGTTGCAATCAAGCTCCATGTGCCTGCGCTTGACGCTGTCCCTCCCACGGCCCAGGAGCATCACTCGCCCCCTCGGATTCCTGCCCCTTGTTTCGCATTCCGTGCCGATCACGAGCAAGGGCTGTCCCACAAACTGCGTCGCCAATCGTTTCACGGTATATCAATGTCTTGGGCTGGCTGGCTCCTTTGGAAGCGCCCAGATCACATCTCTCCTCCCATCTCCTCCCACCAGTCCCGAGCCCACTCAATCCCCCCTCCCATCATCGGCTCTTTGGGCCCCCAATAAGCCAACCCCGCCCTGATCATTTTACAGTCCCCAAGCCTTGGTCCGTGCCCATGCCCTCGAACGTCCCCACCCCCGAGGCCTTCCTCGAGCGTCTCGACCCTGCCGTGCGCTCCTATCTCGACGACTGCGGCTCAACCGACTTTATCTCGAGCATCGTGCAAGAGGCCGAGAGTTTCGACGACATCAAGGACGGCACCAGCGCCTTCCTGGCCGATGCCGGCATGGATGACGACCAGCTCGAGAGCTTCTTTGGCGCCTTTGCTGCTCTGAGCTGCCGCTCGGAGGAAGAAGCCGCACCCAGCCCGTCGCTGCCGGTCTTGCTGAAGCCGATCGAGTCGCAGGTGAGGGCCCCTACACTCAAGGAAGCCGCTTTCTCTGCACCGAGCTTGGGTGTGGAGCGATGGCTGGAGCGATGGCTGGGGCCGAACCAACCAGAGGAGCAAAATGTCTGGGGGCGAAACAGAGTCACAGGAGCTAATCCTGACTCAGAATGAGGGAATCACCGGTGGTGGTGCTGCCCATAACCCTAGCTTAACAACCTTATTGCCCATCATCATCTGACCACCCTAGCCTGTTACGTTGCAGCGAAACGACCGCTCGCCGTCCCTGTCAAAGTCGGCATCCAAGTCGCAGAGCAAGCACAAGTCCGCTTCGCCCCAGACCCGCCGTACGGCATCAAAGTCTGGCACCCCAAACACCGGCTCGCCCTCTCCCTCCTCGCCCCCACCATCAGCTGCAGAAGCAGAAGCAGAGGCAGAAGCATCAGCAGCAGCAGCAGCATCGTCGCCTGCCTTGCTGCTGCCATCCTCCGTGGCCCAATCCATCGACTCCAGAATCACCGCCATCTCGCAGCAGTCGCGCTTCCATGTAGATACCCTCGAAACCCTGTCGAACGACATTGACATGCAACAGGTCACCGTCATGATCGGCGAGCGAGAGCTCCTGGTCGATGCCAACCTCCGCTTGTTTTCGGGTGTGCACTATGGACTCTTAGGAAAGAATGGCGTGGGCAAGTCGAGTAAGTTTACCACTTTTGTCCCCCCCCCCTATCGAAGCGAATGCGTTTGAGGACGGGTGGAAGGGGTGAGTCGCTCTCCGTCGGCGTCGCTGACCTCTCGATCACCTGGCCTCCCCCCCCCTACACTACCACCGCCGCTGTGACAATAGCGCTCCTGAAGGCCATTGGATACGGCATCCTCATCGGATTTCCCAAGAACGTCCGTGCGCTGTATGTTGAGCAGCTGGAGGACGTTGGAAACACCATCACGGTGCTGGATGTCCTCATGAACTCAAACCCCGTCCTGGTGCGAATCAGGCGAGAGATCAAAGGTACACAGCCACTGTCGCCCATTGCCCGTCGTCCGTCGCCCCTCGCCGCTGTTGGATCCTTCAAACCACCCGTCCACTCTTGGCCAAGCACTCACTCGATCAAGATCAGGGTGGCTGCGACGGTGATGATCCAGCACGGGTACACCGTCCTAACATCAACTTTTCTTCCGATTCTGCATCTGATTCCGTGCCTCAATTGCGCCTCTGTCGCGGTCCTTTACTCGAACAGCTCTCCAGGAAGTGCTCGAGCACGGCGATTCGGAGCAAATCGCCATGACCATGCGATCGCTCAAGATCGACCGTCTGCGCGACGAGCACGAAGAAGCCAAGAAGATCGCAACCAAGCGAAGCGGTGCCCGAGGCGCTGAAGCTCGACAGGTCCTCAACATGGCCGAGGAGAAGCTCCGAGTTGCAGAGAGGTAAGCGCAGGGAAGGGTGACCAGGCAACAGGACGAAGAGATAAGGCCGCATTGTGCGTGAGTAAGAGAGAGTGAGAGAGAGTGAGAGAGAGCGACCATTGACCCGAACTACCCACGCTCGCCACACATCCGACCATTCAATCTCGCCAGCTCCAAGGGGGACGACATTTCGCCTGAAGAGAGCGCAGGAGCCGGAGCTGAGGCCTCCAGCCTTCTTACCCAGCTCTTCGAAGATCTGGACAACGTATGTCGCTTGCTCCCGTTTCTGCTGGACGAGACTGCACCTTGCGGCTTGATGATTCGGGCTCAGTCTCGTGCATTCGACAGGAACACTCCATGTTCTAGCCTCGGTGACATGTCGACTTGGCTGGCGCCACTGCCTGCATATATCATCCTGACAGTATTGGTGAGCCGCGCTGACAAAGTGCTTGTGCATTCACTTCCACCTGTCAACACCAGCTCGGCGGCGAGTCGACCGAAGGCGATGCCCGGAAGATCCTCAACGGCCTTGGATTTTCCCCGGCACAGCAAGAGAGCCCCATGAATCAATTGTCCGGAGGCTGGCGCATCCGACTGGCTCTTGCCCGCGCGCTGTTCCTCAAGCCTGACCTGCTGCTGTTGGATGAGCCCAGTACGTGCCTCCCACGTTCGCATGGGATACATGGATCGTTGCCCCACCGATTCTCTGCCCCACTCCTTCATTGAAAGTTGGCTGCACTGATGGCCGCTCGACCCAAAGCGCGCTTGATAGGCGTGGGTCTATCGCGGTGGACGAGACTGCCTCGTCTTGCCTCGTCTTGCCTTTGCCAGTGCATTTGCCAAGCAAGGTACTGAACAAACGCCTTTTCTAACTCCGCAGCCAACCACTTGGATATCCCCGGCATCACTTGGCTTGCCAAGTACATCCAATCGCTCACCGACGTCACCATCGTCACGGTCTCGCACGACCGCGCGTTCCTCAACGCTGTGACGGAAGAGATTATCGTCTACAAGAACCAGGCGCTGGAGTACCACGTCGGCAACTACCAAGAGTACATGCAAGCCCTCGAGGAGAAGCAGCTCTTCCAGCAGCGCCGGCACGAGGTTGTCGAAAAGAAGAAGGCTCAGATGGAAAAGAGCGTCCAGCAGATGGCGAGCCGAGCCAAGAAGAGCGGCGATGACAAGAAATTGAGCGCTGCTGCATCGAAGAAGAAGGTGGGGGACCATCTATCCTGCAGCATGCCTAGCGTGTGGGGGTGGGAAGCGGGGAGTGCGGAGGCGTGTGATACTGATAGATAGCCAGTGTTATCGAGCCTGCATGAATGCGAGGCGGGAGCTGTGGATGTGACAGCAGCGTGTCATGTGCAGTGCCGGGGCATGAGTTTCCTCGGACCAGACCCCGGCTCCGCCTGAAGGGGCCGGTTGATCGGGTTTCATCGGGCTGTCCAGCAGCACCGGTGTCAGGATGGCAATGCCCTGCAGCTTCACTACCCACCGCCACCACCACACCAGACTAACGACAGTGTCCCACATTTTCAACCAATCCAGAAAATCGAGCGCCTCGGCTTTGAAAAGAATGAAAAGGGCCACCGTCTCCGACTCAACAGAGACATGGTGGGCTACTTCACATCCGTCCGTATGCAAGCCGATGCTGTCGATCGGGATCCCCCCACAAAGTGGTCCGTTCCCGACCCGACTCCGTTGCGAAACCACAATTCGCTGGTCGAGATCGACGACGTCTCCTTTGGGTACGACCCCAGCAAGCCTGTTCTCACCCATATCAACCTCAACATCGAGCAGAACGTGCGCATCGGCGTCATCGGTGCCAACGGCGAGGGCAAATCCACCCTGATGAAGCTGCTGGTGCGCGAAAACTCCCCGACCAAGGGCATCATCAACTTCCACCCGCAGGCCAAGATCGGGTACTTTTCGCAGAACCACGTTGATGTGCTCCACACGATCGAGGGCACGCCCCTGAGCTATCTCATGTCCGCGTACGAGGGCCTAACCGAGGCCGAAGCCCGAGGACACCTGAGCAGCTTTGGGCTGACGCCCCTGGCTGTTGTGACGCCTCTGAGCCTTTTGTCCGGCGGGCAGTCGGTCAGAGTGGCCATCGCCTACGCAACCTACCCTCGACCTCACCTCCTGGTGCTTGATGAGCCGACGAACCACCTCGACATGGACACGATCGACGCTGCGCGCGAGAGCCTGGTGGCCTTCAAGGGCACCGTCGTGGTCGTCAGCCACGACCAATGGTTTGTCCGCGAAGTGGCCCAGAGAGTGTACCTCGTCGAGAATGGCAAGGTGCAGATCCTCGAGGGCGGTGTCGACGACTATATTCGCCGCGTTCGGAAGGCGATCAAGTAGAGGGCGGGTGGTGGGAGCTGGGAAGAAAGAAGAAGCGCTCTTGTGGCTGACGAAGGAAGAAGCAGACATGCGCTGGCTGTGTGGCTCTCTTCAATACGCATCGGATCCGTGTTGCCGACATGATCGATATTGGGATGCCCGACAGTTATGATAGTTCACGGCTGCTTTGCCTATCGCCCAACCTTTCCACCCGTCACTTCATCTCCCCATTGCTCTCCTTCGCCTCTCTTCTCCTGCATCCACACTTCTGTCCTTGTTGTCTCGTTCCCGCTGTGTCAGACTCGGAGCTTTGTCAATACCAATGCACTTTGGATCGCCTGCCGCTCTGCTCTTTCTCTCTGCCTAATCCAGCCCGATGCACATGAGCAGATGCATAGGAGCGCAATACACTGTGCGATTCTCAAGCATCGTGTGCCCGCCGTTTCCAGAGGAGACAGATCCAATATCCAGTGTGACAGAGGCGAACATCGAAAGCGAGAAAGGTGCAACTCAGCGACAGCGTCCAAAAACAAAGCAAACACAAAAAGCAGAAAAAATGAACTCAGAATCGCAGGGAAGAAAGGCTACGGGCAGTGGTAGTGGGTGGGGGGAGGAGAGAGAAACGAGGAAGAGTGGGGCGGAAACGAAAGACCACTGAGAGGGAGGGTTTACATCCTGATGGACATGATCTCCCTCGAGAACAAGTCTGGAGCAGCGTTGGAGCTCTTGCCGTTGTCGTTGACTCTGATGCTCTGGATGTCATTGACGTGAACGAGCGGGCTGGACGAGTTCCTCCAGATGCGGATGTTGTGGCAGGGATTCCGCGAGTGGATGCCGTACTGCTCAAACTCCCAGATGAGCCTGTTCATCACCCCGGGCGAGCTCAGGTCAAAGTTGCTCTGGCGGATCAAGGGCCGGGGCAGGGGACCGACAAAGACGAGGGCATCGTAGTCGCCCCCGAACGGATAGCGGCACTGCGAGCGCGATGGATCGTGGGAATGGTGTGAGGACAGCGCATAGGCCGTGATCGAGCTCAGGTCCGACTCGGCCGACCGCACGAGCTCGATGGAAGGATCAAAGACGACCTGCGGGCTGGCGATGATGACGATGCCGCCTTTGAGATCGCTAGAACCGTAAGCAAAGGCCGTCGAGACCGTCATGCCGCGGTGATGGCGGTGCTGGACGTTGCCGCCGAGGGTCTCGACCTTGGAGTGGGGCACGGGATGGACTTTTTGCTTGAAGAGCGAGCGATTCCACCAGGGGTGCCGCTTGCGGAAGGCCCTGTAGAGTCCGTTCATTGTCCAGGGACACGAAGGCGTTGATCCGGCATGGGGCTCGAGGATGTGGATTCGGTCGATCGGGGTGCTTGCGACATTGTGGGAGAGTGTTCGGAGGCGCTCGCCGAGCTCGACATCGGAGACATCCCAGTCCCACTGAATAACGAGGTGGATCTGGGTCTGGTTCGCAGACGGCGCCGTTAGCGGGGGGGGGCATCTCTCGAACAAGAAGAATTGAGCCCTAATATCACCCCGCAGCCCGATTAAAGAACGATAGGAGCGAATGCACAACACAGCCTGGTGATCGTCGTCTCTGGCTAATCCGTCCTCCTCGCGTAAGTTGCATTGTGCTGGCGACCCTGCCCGTCAGTATGATGGTGTTGCCGCGTACCTTGCCGTGGCTCCGTTCACGATAGAGCAAGTCCTCGTCTGCATTAGGATCCAGACTGACGATGATGTTGGCGAGGACGATGCACGCCATCAGCAACATGATCATGAAGCGCCAGGATTCCCATAGATGCCGACACTGGCGCATGTTGAGCGGGATGAGACCCGGAACGATCGACTTTGGCAACAACATGCCGATTTGAAGAAAGGAGTGATGCCGTAGAGAGAGGGTGAGAGAGAGGGTGAACGATCTGCAGGGGAGAGATACTGTCGCTGTCAACGGAGATGCGAGCAGTCGGGACAGGGTCGACAATATGGACAATAGTGAACGTGAACGGCGGGGGAGCAAGGAACGGCGGCAGGGGAGGAATGTGCTTGAGCGCACGCTGTAAATCCCCGTCTCTCTCTCTCGATCGCCGAGTCTCGATACAATGGCAGTAGCAGGACTGCATGCTGGGCACGCCAGGCGAGCTGGATCTCATGATTGGAGCAGGTATCGAGTATCGCTGGGAATGGCTCTCCCGTTGGGACACGGGCTGGTTTCGCTCTCGTCGCCAATCCACCACGATGCTTCATGTACTATCAGATGGCGGTCCTCAGTGCATCGTGGCGTCCTCGTCGCATCATATATTGAAGGTGTGGGGATGGTACACTCGCATGTAGAGAAATTTACAGTCACTTGTTGGCTTGGTGTGCGGAAAGGCGCATTTTTACTCGACGTTCGAGGTCTTGAGACTGGATCGGCCGGCCTGCGATGCAGAAAGCGAATCAGCGGGTCAGAAGAATATTTAAACAGGCCGTCGGGTCGGGGCACAAAGAAGAAGCAGAGACACGACGCCAAGGGCTTGGGGTGGGCCCGCTGCACAGGAGATGCATGTTCGCGGCTGCCAGAGAACTTACTCTCATCATCTCATCGACAAGCAGCAAGTTACCAGCAATGACAGAGCTGGCAGAGTCGACGAAACCCGAATCGAGTTAGATACGGTGCCACACACAGAGCGTCCCGGTAGCAGCAGCACTGGCAATCCGACATCTGTACATGTGAGCCTGGCCATTCTCAAAAATAGCAGGGTCGTGTCGCTCACCATGAGTGGAGGAGGTGGCGGTGGACGCGGTAGTTGTCCCAGATGCCCTCGGCAACGGGATCCAGGGGCTCGCCGGTCTTCAGGTCAAGGCCGACAATGTGGCCATCAGCGTGCTCCTCCTGCAGAGAGACGATCACATCCTGGACGTCAAAGCCGCTGTTCTGGGCCAGGACCTTGGGGATGATGAGCAGGGCATCGGCATATGCCTGGACACCCATCTTGGCGCGTCCCTTGACCGAGTCCTTGAACTTCATGAGATGAGCGTGGAGCGCAATCTGGAAAGCACCGGCACCGGGAACGAGGTGCTGGTCCTCGATGGCGTTCTTGACGGCTCTCAAGCCATCACGGACGGCGTCGTTGATCTGGGCAATCGTGTGGGCGTTGGGACCTGGGTGGAGGGTGGCAAAGGTAAGGGGCTGCAGGTTCACTACTGAGGCAAGTGGCAATGGAAAGGAAACCTCCCGGCAACAGTGCAGGCAACAAGGCCAATACAAATCGGGAGTTGTGTATCAACAACCATACCATTGATGAGGATGGTGACGGATTTGGGGTTGGCGCAGTCCTCGACAAAGCTGAACTTTTCCTCGCCAAGGACGTGCTCGTAGAAGACGCCGGCGTGGCCCAGCACCTCGGGGGTGAGATCATCGACAGAGTTCTGGGCGACGCCTCCGCAGCAAAGCTGGAGTCTGTGAAAGGGGCCGGCCAACATGGTCAGCCAACACGGTCAACCACAGGCAGGGTGTACAGCCGCAGGGCGGTGCATATGCATGTGTCGAGCCAGCAAGCCGCGGAGACAACGGGGCGAGCGGAACAACAAACAGCGGCTAGCGAGCGGATCCACACCTCTCCATGTTTCTTCGCTTAGCGCGGCGGAGGGCCACAATGCCGTGCTTGGCAAAGATGTCAAGCGAAAGGGGATCGACGCCCTTCTGGTTGATGATGACAAAGCCTTTGTTGTTTCCGTCGCAGACCTTCTTCTTGAGCTCAATGATCTTGGCAACGCGAGCGTCGACGAATCGGCGCTCAGACTCGATCAGCTTCTCGCGCTGATCGGAGCTGCTGTAGAAGAAGCTGGAGTTGATTTCACTGCAGGTCGGAGAGGGAGAACACCGATGTGAGCATACGTGTACGTCCGGGCCCGAGGTGAGCATGGTATGGCAAGGAAAGGTTGTGACGACAGTCAGGCAGCAGCAGCGGACCTCTTTTCGTATTCAAGGGAGACGTTGAGGGTCAGGATGTAGCAGTCCTGGACACGCTTGGGCATATCCGGATGGCGGGCGCCGTGGTCCAAGACCAGACCGCGGACGAGTCTGGTGTCGGTGTCGCTCCTGTGCATCATCTTCATGATCTCGACCATGTGCAAGTCCAGCGGCTCGCCCTCGACGTAGATGGCCAGGACGGCATCAACGACGGCTTCCATCAGCTTGTCGGCCAGCTCCTCGCGGACTTTTGTTCGGAGGGAGGTGCGGGCGACATTGATAAGGGTCTCGCGGTCCATGGGGCGCGGCTGCTTGAACTTTTCCAGGAACTGTGGCCGTCAAGCAGACGGCAGTCCGCCCGATGGTATGTATGCCGTGAGCATGAGCACATTATCTGCAGAGACGGCCGATCTGACGATACACGGCGAGCACTTGGGCAGACACAGGATCGCCCGATCAAGGGCGGGAGTTAGCTCGGCAACTTACGTTCAGGGCCTCCTTCTTGGCGATCTCGAAGCCCTCGGTGACGATTCGGGGATGCAGTCCTTCACTAATGAACCGCTCGGCCTGCTTCAGGAGCTCGCCAATCAAGAGCACATTTGAAGTGGTTCCATCGCCAGTGACCTCGTCTTGGGCAGTGGCAGCACGGGCGATCATGCAGGCAGTGGGGTTTTGAATTTGCTTTGAACAGCAGCGCATGGGGCAAGATCATGGCGAGATTATCGATTGATGGGCAACACAGGTAGCAGGAATGAGCGCCGAGTTAGTGCTATCCTTGAACAGAGGCTCGATCCGGTCGCCCTGGTCGCACTGATAGCTTTGGCTGATCTGGATGATCTGGTCGATCCGGTTGATCTGGTTGACGCAGATGCAGTCCACAAGATCGGACAGCGAAACCCGTTTGGAGCAGCTCACCATTTCATTGAGCAGAACCTTGCCGTCCTTGGTGAGCTTGATGTCGCCGGCGCCGCTGACCAACCTGATGAACAAGATGGACAAGATACACGGCGAGGAGCGATCAGTTCACGGCACAGCACGAGGAGCGGGGGCGGAGCCGATGCAGCAGACCGTCCATCATGGATCTATCTTGCACTGTGCGGCCCGTGTTGGGGAGGTCTTCAAAGCTCTGGGAAAATACATCTGGTGCATGAACGAGATATCTGATCCACACTACATTTTAATGGTTCCCTTCGGGCCGAGGTTGGTCTTGAGGACATCCTGCAGACCCAGGCCGGCATTGATGTTGATCTGGAGGGCCTGGCCCTGGCGGGCGACCTCAGAGTTGGGATTAGCACGTTGAATAGCGGCCGAAGACCTGGCCGTGCGCAAGATGGCGTGTTAATTGAGAGAGTCGGGCGACCTGAGCCGGCAGGGGAGGTCGACGATCGGGGATAGATCGGCCTGATCGCTGAAGGGCCGATCGATCGATCTCCCTGCTGCGGCAGGCGATGCTGAGCGGGCACAGGATCGCAGCCGCCGAATCGCTGCTTCGAAGCAGCCGCATTCCGCGAGGGTCCAGGACGACGATCGGGCAGGACCTACATTGTTGCTGGGCGGGGGCTGGATGGTTGGTCGAGATTCCGGGTGCCGAGCGAAGAGCGTTTTTTTCGAGTCCGAGGCCCAGAAGCCAGGGTCGATCCAGCGAGGCCGAGGGCAACGAGAGGCTTGCGAGACGCCAGCGAGAAGGAGGCGCGAGAGCAGGCGTGGCGCAGGACAGCTGTCCAAAAGCGGACATGGCCGGTGTGTGGCTGCGGCGGCTCTGGCCATGTTGGCTGTGGAGCGATTGGACAGCGACGATCGGGCAGAATCCAACACACCACACCGCACCGCATCACAACGAAAGCAATGTGTTGGCTGGTTAGCTGGTTGACGAGTTGGCTGGTTGGCTGGCAGACGAGCATCGACTGCGGCCGTCCTGGGCAGACTCGGTGGCCCCGGATTCCGTTATGCACACGCAATCTGCCCGCTCACACGGCGAGAGAGTTTCGTCCGTCTCTTCCTTATCAAAGGAGTGAGAAATGTATTATGGCTTTAAGCAGTCTCGTTGGCGACGGCAACGGGAACGGGGACAGGGGCATCCTCCTTGGGCTCAAGGATGGTGACAGTGTCGGGGAGAGGGGTCTTGGGGCCGGTGCGGCCGCTGGGATCCCAGTCGCGCATGATCTTGACCTTGATACCCAGAACACCCTGGCGGAGGAGGACGTGGCGGGTAGCGTAGTCGATAAAGTCGCGGGTGGGCTGGCCAGAGTGGATCATGAAGCCATCGACGAACTTCATGGACTTGGCACGGGCAGCACGGAGCTTGCCAGAGACGACAACCTCGCAACCCTTGGCGCCAGACTCCATGATGAAGCGGAGGACACCGTAGCAGGCGCGGCGGACGGCAAGACCCTGCAGAAGCTTGAACTTCATGGACTCGGCCTGGGCAATGGCGCAGAGACCACGGTTGGCGACCTTCTCGGCGTAGAGCTCGACGGTGTTCTCGGGGAAGTTGAAGCGCTTCTGGACGACGGAGGTCAGCTCGCGGATGCGGCGGCCCTTCTCACCGAGAACGCTCTGGGTGCGGGTAGCGCTGATGATGATTTCAGTGCGGGCGGGGGTGACGCGGACTTCGACACCGGAGTAACCATCCTCGGCAAGCTCGCGGGTGAGGAAATCGTTGAGCTCGGCAAAGAACACACCGTCGGCGACGAACTGGAGGCAAAGAGACACGGCCGTCAGTAAGCACGTCTCTGAAGCACTGATGCCAACCTTATCGATGGCTTTGCTGTGACGAATGGGTTTCCCCTCTCTGATGCCCCGGAGTGTGCAAGAAAGCACGACGGTACTCGAGTCCCGGGTCGATTGAATCAGATCCAGACGGAGGAACAGAGGGCGAGCATGGGCACATCGAGGGCCTGTCTGGTGCATGGGCTCGCTCCTCATGGAGACGCTCTGCATCGGCATCGGCGATTGCGTCCGGGCTGGGCGAGACGAGATGCGGATCGCCCGATCGAATCCGAGGTTTGGGCCGCATGGCGTAGTCCAAAGGCGATCGGGCATTGGCGTTGTCCGGGTGTTGAATTCCGGGCATGGCCGCGAGACCCGGTGATTCCATTGATTGCTTCGTCCATCGATCCGTCGATCCATGCATCCATGCATCCATCGATTCATCCATTCACCCACCCATCCATCCATCCATCCACCCCGGGCGGGCGGCTGCTATCTACCTTTCTCTTCTTGGAAATCTGGACGGCAGCCATTTTTGCAGCGGTACTCCGATATGGGTCTACTGGAAAGAGAGAGTCTGCAAATGCTGCCGATCCGCCGCCGCTCAAGACCGCCGGCGTGCCAGTGTCTGTGTCACCGTCCAAGCCACGCTCGCTTGTTGGAGCATCCTGTGTCACGGCCAAAGCCGGGACGGAGCTGCCTCGGCGGCCTCCTGCCCAGTTCGCATCTCTCTCGGCCTGCTGTCGACATCGTCGTCGCCGTCACCACACTCCTGTAAAGCATGGACAGGGAGAGAGAAGAGGCAAGTACCCGCTGCACCGGGCCGACGCTGCATGCTGGCTATCACATCGACCCGAACAACACCCGAGTGCTCATGTCTATCGCAACCACAGGGTCTCCGTGAAGCTGCCGCCGTCGGTAAGGATCGACGATGCACACCCGCATACCAGCAGCCGTTGCTGCTCTGGACGATACACCGTTTCGCCACAGCTCGCTGAATCGCCCTGTCCGGTGGCCACCGTCAATAGGCAACCTGCGCGCAGTGCAGTCTTATCTCCATGCCGGCGTCAACGTGAACTCCCAGCATGCCATGAACAAGTGGAGCCCCCTTCACTGGTGAGAAGCGATACTGAGTGCTGACGGTCGTCCAAAGCGCACGGGGGCGAGTGCAAGATGACACCTACCCTCAGGGACAGGACCTTTCAGTCGTCCGGTCACTGGCTGCTGCATTGGCACTCCCAAGCTCATCTCCAAACGTGTTTGCTGTCGGCAGGGCATCGCAGCGCGGCCATGCCGAAGTCGTGCGGTACCTGATTGCGCATGGGGCGGATCGCGAGGTCCGGAACAGCAAAGACCAGACGGCCCTTGACCTGGCCAAGTCGAGCGAGGTTCAAATTGCCTTGGGTGTCGGTACGTTGAGCAAATCGGCTGTGCACACGCCTGCTTATGAAGGCTAGCACTCGCCCAACAACACCGCAGTCAGCTTGATTTCAACTCTTGCTCAAGCTCGCGTCGATACAATAATGTATTGACGACACTGTGACTTTTTGCACCTAAACCCTCCTCTGCTCGTGCCCAGGCGAGTCTCGTGATGTGGACAGCACCCCCAAGGGCGACTCGACCGATGAAAAGTTTGTCCCGAATTACCTCCGCAACCCTGAACTGGCCAAACTCTGGAGCACCCCTGAAGAGCTCACCGATTACAGCAAGCTATTTTCTCGGTCCAGCAACGAAAGCACCCAAGCGGAGCCGTCGAACGCTCCCCAGCAGCAGCAGCAGCAGCAGCAGCAACACCGAGATCAAGCACAACCCAACTCACATCCAGAACTCCTCGCTGCTCCTTCGGCTTCTCCATTGCTGGCTTCTGGCCCGCAGAACGTCCCCCAAGAGCTTGGCGAGCTACTGGTTTACCATCGTGAGGCAAACGGAAACGCATCGGCCAATTTGTTGGGTGCCATCTTCTATCCACCGTCGCGAACAATTGAGCAGGCGCTCGAACAGATCCAACACGAATTGGACTGGCTCGATGGGAGCACCGTTTCGGTCGAAGCCCTAAGCGAGGCAAACCAGGGCCTCAAGCTGTTCCGGCGGACACAGAGCGGCATCGATATCCCGATCGGCCGGAAGCAGTATCGGCAGCTACTTTCGCTGCATTTTCGAAATTCGGGTGACCAGCTCGTGATTCAGACTGCGGTGCAATCCAAATGAAGAAATCGCGGATTACATGGTGCTTCAGCCATGGTGTGTCTCCGACAGCCGTCTCTAGCTTGAATACACAGGTGTATCCAGTGAATCCACAAGCCGTTGTCGTTTATCAACCTGTCTTTGCCATGCCTGGAATGAGCGGATCCCGGTCCGCGGCCACTGTGGCAGCCACGACAGGATATGGAGACGCTGGGTCGGTCGATTGCTGCTCATCGAGGTCTGCTGGAGGCGCTCGGGATTGTGCTGGCCACACAGAACTCGCTGCCGGCGATTGCCAGAAGTGATAATTCAGTCCAATGCGATTGATGAGCAACTCTCGAACACATGCGGTATATTACGGGATCAACGGAGTGTTCGACGGAGCAAGTCGGCGCCAGGTCAAGGGTATCATACAGCTGAAATGAGGATGGGCAAGCACAGGCGAAACAAGTACGCAGTCATGCGTCAGCCCAGACCAACATCTCATCGAGGGCGACAGTCATGGCCGAGGACACAATCAGATCGACCATGTGGAATCCCGCGGCGGTGATGTGGATATTGCCGCTGGCGCCAGAGAAAGCCTTAGTACCCAGGGTCTGGACCACAGCGATACACTCGCGGGTGTTGACGTTGCGCAGCTTCATGGCCCCCCAGAGACCAGTCTCCCACGAGTACATCTGGCCATCAAAGTCGACGAGATCGTGGTGCCGAGACAGGATCCGGGGCTTGACAAGCCGAGCCGGAGTCTGCTCCTCACAGAAGGGGGCGTACACGTAGCGTTGAAGGGCATGCGGATGCTTGTGGAGAATAGTGTCGTGCTCCTCCAGAGTTCCGAAACCGGTGACGGCCAACGCAACGGGGCCGTGCTCCGAGCGGAGGTGCAGGGTTGATGCACAGGAAGACGAGAGCTGTGGACAGGAGGAGCTTGTCAGTCGTGTTTGAATACACATTGACAACAAGTGGCTCACAGGCCGGGAAAGCCCAGATGAGCATCGCATACCGGGACGGTGAAGAGCACGGACGGATTCGAGATTCGGATGACTTACGTTTTGGCTGGGCTTCCAGATATATGCGCATGGCTGGTGCTTGCAGGACTTGTTCACGGCCATCTTGAGCTTGGACAGACCCGAGAGCACCGACCGCACAAACGGGCCGTGTCGCCAGGGCGAGTGATGCTCCTGTGCGTCCTGGGCCGCAGTGACAATGTGGATGCGATAGACAGCGCCCTCTTGGCGGAACTCGAGCTCGACGGAGCTATCCCGAGCACGGTCGACTCCCCAAGCCGACAGATTAGAGTCGGTGTAAGAGGGCAGGTTGGCTCGCTCCTCGTCAAAGACGAACGGAGGCTGCTCGAGGATATCCAGACGCCAGCCGAGCGGGTCGAAACTGCCGTTGGCGGATTCGCAGGCGTGGGAACTGGGCTGATACAGGGACTTCATGGTGCAGGATTTGGTGGCAAACATCGCTTGGGTCGTCGGCATGGCGAATGAGTCTATATAGCGGATCCAGCAGCGGTCCTCGAAATAGCCAGCCCACAGTCACAAGTACCTGTATTGACAGCGGCCTCGGCATGCTACCCAAAACATTTGCACCACGCGGGCTCGCCGGCGACCACTTTGGCTGTCTTGTGGCGAACAAGAAGGCGCCAGCGAGCAGCTCTTCTGGACCGGCGCCTGACCACTTCCGGCGGCATCTGTTGCTGACGAACTCGTTTCGAATTGGTGCGTCGGTGCTTCCCTGCCAACTCTCGACAGACCACATGGCGCCCCCTTTGGCACATGGACGGACATGCGCCACGGGATGCAGCCACACGACACAGCCACACCTGCAGCCGCCCTCTGGCCAGCGCGAGTGCGGCCGGCCACGCCCCCTCACGTGTTTCATTCATTTGCCAGCCCGCTTCTCTCTCGGCTGCCTCTCTCGCCGTCTCTCGCCGTCTCTCGCCCGCGCCGGGTTCTCGCTCGCCCTGGTCAAAGTTCTTTGGCGATATCTTGCCGTTGCGCCCTCGTCCTTTGGCCTCCTCCCCATCGTTTGATCTTCCCGACACCCCTCCCGGTTCCCGCAGCGCCTCGCCACCATGAACGTCGACGAGCCTATTGACGAGTCTCTCTTCCCCATCGCCGTCCTCATCGACGAGCTCAAGCATGACGATGTCTCGCTCCGTCTCAATGCCATCCGACGCCTGTCCACTATCGCTCTGGCCCTCGGCGTCGAGCGCACCCGATCCGAACTCGTTCCCTTCTTGGACGGTATGGCTGCCTATTCCACGCCGGATTTTGCCGTGATACACTCTGTTTGCGGCAGTCTGCTTCCGTTCGTCGAGACCCGGTGTTTTGCTCCGTCCGAGCGGGGATACCGCTTGACCTTGCGATCTCCATCGTATGCGATATTGTCTGCGATATCTCCGAGCGAGCACCATCGCGCCGGCTGATGGCCGCTGCCCATTCATGCCCGTGCTGCCGCGAATGCACTGCCGCCCTGACCTCGCCCGCTGGCCCGCTGGCCCGCTGGTCCAGGGCGCGTCCCCCTCACCGACAGGGGCATCCCGCGACACCGATCGACGCGGGCTCCGTATTTTGCAGAGAGAGCGATCACAAGCCGCCATAGCACCCTTGATTGCCCGACACTGACAGTCCGTCCCTCCTGCCGGCAGAGTCCATCGATGACGAGGATGAAGTCTTGCTGGCCCTGGCTGAGGAGCTCGGCAGCTTTGTCGACTATGTTGGTGGTCCTCACTACTCGCACATCCTGCTGCCTCCTCTCGAGACCCTTGCCACCGTCGAGGAGACCGTTGTTCGCGAAAAGGTATGGCCATGCGGGCGCCCGCACGACGATGTAACTCAAATCCACACCAAGGGAGTTGGCAGCATCGAGAGCACGGGCTCCGCCGGACTAGCCTCTCCAATCACTCCCGTAACAATGGACAGAACGCCAGCGTCTGCACGCACAGCTGGACAGCATGGCTCATAAGCGGCACCCCTTCGTCTCTAAACACAGGCTGTGGAATCTCTGGCCAAAATCGCTGTCGTTCTCAGCCCTCAGCAGCTCGAATCTTACTTCCTGCCCATGCTCAAGCGACTCACCGTCGGCGACTGGTTCACGAGCCGAACGAGTGCCTGCGGCACCTACGCGCCTATTTACGACCTGGTTCCTGCGGCTGTCCAGGATGAGCTTCGACGGTACGGATCAGGGCATGGTGCGATAGAGGCATCAAGCGGAATCTCGGATGTGTCGGGCTCGCCTGGATGGACACGATCTCATCGGCTGTCGGAGGACTGCTCGTCTGCGCTACTGTCTGGCGAACTGGCTGTCCAAAGCGTACAGTCCCTGTCCGGCAGACATCCCGGGCCGCTCGATCTGTAGATGAAGGTAGCTCGCCGGAATGAGGCTGTGGATCGCCGAACCAATCGGGACTCATGTCTGCCCCCATCCTCTCCTGCCAGCCTCTTTGGACAGCTGTGTCATGACGACACCCCCATGGTCCGCCGCGCTGCTGCCACCAACCTGCCCGTGAGTATCGCGGGCTACATGCTCGGCGCACCCGTGTTTGCCGTTCCAGGTGCTGTGGGCTTGCTGAAACGACCATGCTCACCACCAAGCTGGATACCTGCGCACAGAAACTGTCCAAGAAGATCTCCAAGGACAAGGTCATCGCCGAGATCATCCCGCTCTTTGTCTCGCTCGCCCAAGACGACCAGGTTCGACCGACTGCTTGTGTGCATCTGCTGTAGCAGGCCGTTGTCTTGCAGAACTGGACGCCGCCTCTGGCCACTGGGCACTGACTCCGCCACATCCTGCCATCCTGTCTCTGTCCTGTACTCTAGGACTCTGTCCGCTTGCTCACTGTGGAAGCCCTTATCGCGATTGCCGAATCCCTGACGAATGACGAAAGCAAAACCCACCTCCTCGGCACCCTGCGCAGCCTCTACAGCGACAAGTCGTGGAGAGTCCGCTACATGGTTGCCGATAAGTTTGTTCCGGTGGGTCCTCACGACAGCCAGCCGAATCCAGCGGGGTATGGCAAGGATTGCCAGCAGGGCAGGAATTCGCGCGCCAGGCTCATCGCCAAGACTCTTTTTTTTTGCTTGCAGCTCGCCAAGTCCGTCGGCCAGGACATTGTCCGCGAGGACCTGATTCTCGCCTATGTGCATATTCTGAAGGACAACGAGGCCGAGGTTCGAACTGCTGCGGCTGGCCAGGTTCCTGGTAAGTGCATCTCCGTGGCACTCAGGCACGAGCGTGTCCCACCAGACAGCAACCCGACATCCAGTGTTAGTTCTGCTTGTCTGCGAGATTAGTGCGCCGATGTTGACAGCTGATTCGGCTTGCTAGGCTTCTCTGTCCTCCTGGATCGCGAGGTTGTCTTGAAGGATATCCTGCCCTGCGTCAAGGAGATGGTCACCGATGCCTCGCAGCATGTCCGAGCCACCCTTGCTACCCACATCAGCGGCCTTGCTCCCATTCTCGGCAAAGACGCGTATGTACCCATGCTGCAGCATCGTCGCCAGATGTCCGAGCCGCGGACTCTGCGATCCTTGAACTCATATCGTTTCTGTCGTGGGATGCAGTACCATCGAGCACTTGCTTCCCCTCTTCCTCCATCTGCTCAAGGACGAGACTGCCGAGGTCCGCCTCAACATCATCTCCAAGCTGGATCGCGTTAACGAAGGTACAGCTCGTATTTCCGGCCATGGTCGCCTCTGTCCAGCATTGGTTCATTGTCATATACCACGACAATGCTCGCCACTCTGGCTCTGCCCGGGATCTCGGACCGCTGTAGCCGCTGACACATCGATTTACTTCCACAATTAGTTATTGGCATCGATCTGCTGTCCCAGTCTTTGCTACCGGCCATCGTCGAGCTCGCCGAGGATAAGCAGTGGCGTGTTCGCCTTGCCATCATCGAAAACATTCCCCTACTTGCCAGCCAGCTGGTAATGAGTGTGCTGAAAGGAGGCTGCATCGTCTTCTGGATCAGTCAAGTCTGCAGCCGCCGATTGGACAGGCGAGGATATCAAATGTTGGAGGGCTGATGGGCTTCAACATAGAGCAGACCGCCACTCCAGCACGCACGCACATCATCAAACCGTGGGCGCAGCTTAGTTCATCGCTCTGACATACTCGCGAATTGACCATTCCCCCCCACCCAACTGCCGTCTCTATCCAGGGCTCGCAATTCTTTGACGAGAAGCTTGGAGCTCTCTGCATGTCGTGGCTGGGCGACTGTGTCTATTCGATCCGCGAGGCGGCCACCACCAACCTGTGCAAGCTCACCGAGGTCTTTGGCGTCGAGTGGGCCAAGCAGCAGCTCATCCCCAAGATCCTCGAGCGCGCTCACCACCCCAGCTACCTCTACAGGCTGACCACCCTCTTCACTCTTGCTGTATGTGTCCCGTCCTGCATCTGGGTGTTTCGATAGCCCGCCGGTGCTGCACGTCTCTGATTTGCTGACGGCTGACTCTCTCACTGACTCCGGCTGGGTGTCTCGTAGAACCTTGCCGCCGTCGTCTCCCCCGAGGTCATCAAGGAGCTCCTCATTCCCACCATCAACGGCCTCTCGACCGACCCCGTCCCCAACATCCGATTCAATGTCTGCAAAGCTTACGAGATCATCGTGCCCATCCTCAAGAAGACGCCCGACATTGCCCCTCTTGTCGGCGAGCACGTCAAGCCCGCCCTCGTCAAGCTGAATGAGGATACGGATATCGATGTCCGATACTATGCCAACCGCGCCTTGCTTGTTGTCTAAGGCGCGCTACCGGCTCCGCCGACACCAGATGTTGATTAGGCTTGAGGTCTGACGCACGTTTGTTGGCGGTCCCGACCGAGAGGTCGCAAGCCGAAAGTATTTGGGATGCAAGAACAAGCACCAAGGACATCAACGCATCCACCCACATTTGCGTCTTGTTCATTTGTTGTCCGACCCTGTGTTGTCATCCTCATTCGCCGCTTTCATTCCCGACGACCACCTTGTTTCTCGCTTTCCTCGCAATCGAATCATTTCTTCCCCTCCTCGATCTCTCTCCCTCTGTTTGCTCCTGTTTTCTACGCGGCCGTGGTTATTGTGGTTGTTTCCGTGGCCTGGATGCGGTTTGAATCTCTCCGAGTTGTGATTCCCTCCTTCCCTCCTCCCCAGCCCTCCCCCCCCCTGTTCTCAAACATGCACGCACCCTCACGTAAACCGAATATAGCATGATTGATTTACACCTTTTTTTTACCGCAAGCACGATGCCCTCTCATTCAACATCCAGAACGAAACGGGACAGTGTTCGTTTTCTCTGGCGTCAGAGGCCTGAAGCCTGAAGCCTGAAGCCTGCAGATCATCTGTGGGCTGCCCGTGCGACTGTTCCATTCCTGGTTGACAATCGTTTGATTTGGGGTTGCGAGCGCCGACGCACCGTCGATGAATGGATGGAGGCTGTTTGGTGGCCAAGCCGGATACGATGATCGTATATCTGACCAGCCACTGCTGCTCGTCTCCGAAGCACCCTATGCCGAGGCATCGAAGAACTTGTCGATGAGCTGCTCGAGCTGGAATTTGTCGTACTTGATGTACTTGTCGGGATTCTTGCTGAACTCGCTGTGTTCGTATCTGAAGCATCGCGGCCGCGGATGGATCAGAGCGAAGGCACGGCAGAACCGACAACGAGCAGACCAACCGAGGCGGGCTGATACAGCGTTGCCCCAGCACTCACTTTTCCAGAAACCGTCCGTAGAACGGCAGGATCACGGCCTTGATGTCTTTGATGAGCTGAGCGCGAAGCTCGAGATCCGGGACGGCATAGAACTTTTGTGTCTTGTATGCCTCCTCGAGCTCGGTGTTGAACCCCTGGAGTTGCAGTGGCACATGAAGCATTGGCAACGGACTGCGTTGGTGGATGGTCAGCTCTGGCCCACCTTCCGACACTGCCTCATACCTTGAACTTTTCCTTGATTGTCTCGCGCTGCGATTTGGAGAGGTTCTTTTGGATTTGGCCGCCCTGGATCACAATGTTGTCCATGAGGCACTCGATGCAGGCCTTCCAGCTATCGACAGGGGAGGTGGAGCAGAGACACATTGCAGACGACCACATTAAAAGGCGAGAAGCGAGACGCTGCTCTGGTTTCATTTTTGTTGCCTCGGTTGATTGCGTGGCTGCACATTGCGATGTGTTGTGCGACGCCATATCCCGATACTTTGCGAGTGCCTTTCCCCGGCACACTGCATCCGGACTGCCAAGGATACCAGATTGGCCCCTCGCCCTTCACCCTTCTCGCGTATGTACGAATCTGCACCTGTCGCGGTAAGCATCCTTCTTGAGCGACACCAGCTTCTCGAACTTGGCCTCGACGTCTGGCCCGACAACTTCGGACAACTTTGAGTTCTTCAAGTTCTTGGCGATATAGTGGTAGTTGTTGAGCAGGAAGATGGCGGCCAAGGCGCCGCCCTTTTGCTTGTATCCCTTGGATCGGGTTTCCAGACTCTGAGCCAGTGCCTCAAAGATCTCGACTGCATAGTCGACAAACGACTTTGACTGAGGCGTTTGCAAGATGAATGGAGACGCAGGTGTGAGATGCTAGATGGGCGATACCTGTGACTGCATCGGATATGGCGCTCTGTAGAATAGCGGACTCCTTTGCACAGGGTGGCCGAGTCTGATACCCAGTAAGTCCATGCCGCAGCGACAAATCATCATCCTTGATGCTTACCAGCGCCTCTTCCAACAGGCTGTCGATGGTGGATGAGTGCTCCAGGAGGCGCTTCAAAATGTTGAGCATCTGATGAATGGCCCGGTATCAGCGACGCCACATCGAGCAGGATCGAGCCATGGCATACGCCCAGCGGTGATGGTTCAAATACTCCCTTCAATGCACACTCTGTCAGACACCTACTCGACTTGTAAGCTCATGCACCGTCCCGTCTGGCGACAAGGCCGGTTGCTTGGATGGATCGCCCTACGATACCAACCCAGGTCAGTACACTGTATAGACGCTGCAAGCGACTGCGACTCCAGAACCAGCACAATGTCATCCGCAACATTAGTCAATCGATCGAGTCGATCGGCTCTGTGAACCCTCTCGATCGTGCTCGGTGTGCTCACCTTGATGGTTTCCTTGAACTCCTCGAAAAAGACCACCACGACGGTCTTGGCACAGATCAGGAGCTCGGCGATCTCAGATCCCTTCGATCCCGCATACTGGGCGCAGCACAGAGTCGTCAGCCAGGCAGGCCCAAGACATTCTTTGGCAAGTGAGCTTCCGATACGAGGCTATGCACGAAAGCACATCCGACCACCACTGCGAGCTGGTGCGCTCGATAGGCATTGCAGCCCAGTGACCTACCGCCAACAGACCGTCATACTCCTTCCGTAGCAAAGTCATGGTTTCGACAAGATCCAGCAGCAGGAATATATCCTGGAACTCGGACTTTTGGATGCATCGCTTCAGCCGCGCCATCATGGATTCGCCCGAGTCAATAAAGGTATCGACCATGGGCGTGATCACCGTCTGAAAGATTTTGGGAGCCTGAGCCTTGGGGAAGAGTCGAGTCACGGCATCTCGCTCGGCCTGCAAGTCGCACGAGGTCATAACCAAAGTCACCGAGGTGACTGTGAGTTGGGCGATTGCTCTGTGTTCATAGACCATCCACCCCGAGAACGATACCAGGCCAACTCAGACCTTCATCACTTTCAGCAAACACCGAAAGTACGTGATATAGGCACCGCTGCCTTTCTGATAGACGGTAAGCTTCTTGTCCGGGGTGTTGGAAGCTGTAGCGAGAGGCTGCATGGATTTCTGAAGGTATGACGATCGAATATCGCTGAAGATCTTGACATATTGAGTCACCAAACCCAGTTCCGCTTGGCTGATGGCCGCTAGCTCAGAAGATAGCGTGTGGAGCTTCTGCAGATGCTCCTCACTGATCCCGGGGTTGGTGTGATCCAAGATGGTGCTGACGGCAGCGACCCACTTTTGAAAGAGATTGTCGAGGTTGGTGATGCCTTGCTGAGCGAGCTCTCTCTGGATGCGACGGCAACAGGATCCGAGAAACGGCAGCCATCGAATACATGGGCATCATGGGTAGCGGTGGAGATGCAAGGACACTCAGTCGGTTTGTGCTGGCGCTGAGATCAGATGTGGCGATCGAACAATAATGCGCTCTTCCGGATGCTGCTGGACCAACACTTGCCGGACGAGAATGCAGACGACACGCTTACCAGTGCCGTGACGGCCCTCTCGACCGACTTGACCTTGGTCTGGCTCAAAATATCCAGTCCACCCTTGAGCTTCTGGATGGACTTGATGTATGGCACGACGTCGTACTCGAGAGGCCTGCATGCCGGTCGGGATGGGTCCAAGGGGATCAGATTCCCACGCTCTCTTTGGTTCGGCGGGCCATACCATTTCCCGTGCTCGGCGACTGGACTCACCCTTTCGAAATGACTCCGTATTCTTGGCTGGCGAGGTCGAAATGCGAAATGATCTTCTGGATACCCTGGAGCGACGTGTTGATATCTGCATAACCGATTCTGATCAGCAAGTGCCCCCAGCACCCGCAGCCGATGAGTTGCTCCAGACCATTGTGTCGGCGACATACTATCATAGAGCTTGGTCAGCTTCGATGTCGACTTGTGGATGGGCAAGATGGATTTTTCGAGTTTGGCGAGCCGCACGTCGAACGACGCCAGCATGTCCTCCTGCAACGAGATAAGCATGGCTGTCAGAGCCCAGCATCGGCCGGAAAGCAAAGACCACACCACCATCGCCGGCGAGTTGGCAAGCTCATACACCTAAACCTCGTTACCATTCGCTCGGAGACATTGTTTGTCCGGGTGAGACTCTGTTCCAGAAGCTCGACTTCCTGAATGTCCTTAGCAAGCTTGCGCTCCAGCGTCAAACGGCGCTCCGACTGAGCATCGGTGGCGGGTAAGCTGGACCGAGCGGAGCCGATGAGGTTGATCAGAGATCCGGGCCAGCGACGCACACCCAAGCTCATCCAGCCGGCATCAGACGCCACTCCGAGCTACCTTCCCAGCTGGACCATGATACCGATGGATTGTTCAAGGCAAGTTGGTGTATCGAGTAAGTGGCCGGTGCGTGTCGTTGTGCTCCTCTGTTATCGGGACGTTTGTATTGAAACAGGCCACTTTGATACGCGGACGACTTGCGTGCTGAATGCAGCTGATCGGCTGCCTGGTTGGATGACGTCGATTGGCGCTCGCCCCGTTGTGATGAACTCGACCGATCACATACACCGATTTTGCTCTTTGCTCTGCGACTTTTCTCCCTCGTCTGAGGCAGCTGTCGTCTCAACACCACCATTCCCGCTTGGGAAGTCGATCCAACACTCCTTGGACGGACGCCCAGGAAACGATTTGACGCACTTGGCTGCTGTTGGCCGAGTGCATCTGATCCGATTACGACATGCCTGTGTCCGAATGAGCCGATGTGTCCCATTGTTGTTTCAGCACGCTGTATTGGGTCGGTATGGCCGGTCGATGGCCCCTCGATCTGGCATGACTATCCCATGTTGATTTTGCTCGATGCAGGCAGTGCCAAGGGGCTGACGAACAACCAGTACCCCGCCATTGCCGCAAATGAATGGGTAACTGGCCGGCCAGGTATCCTCCAGTGGCAAGCTGTAGATGACATGCATATATTGGAGGGACGCTGGAGAGAGGCTGCATAGAAGCGAATCGGTCGCCCCATTTCATTCTGCGCAGACAGAGTCGCAAAGTACTGTCAAGCAGGACGATGGTATGGGCAGCATTAAGATCAGTGCAAGATGGCACCAGCGCTGTGGTTGCCACTTCCACTTGGTTCAAACTGTCTCAGACGTGAACGATATGCTGCTGCCGTTAATTGCTCTCTGGGTCTGGGTCTGGGTCTGGCCTGAAGATGTCGACTCCCCGGTACTGAACCACAACGCCGGCGCGTTTGGGAGCATCGATGGCACTTGGATGCACTGCGGGCAGCGTGAGGGTGGATATCACCAGATCCGGGATCAAGTTCTGGGCGGCGTGATTCATCTGTAGCGAGTTCAGCGCTGGCTCATCGTCAGGGACAACGACGGCCAGCGCCATGGGCAGCGGCGACGAGTGGAAAGCCTGTCTCGACAGCGGGGTGAATCCTCTGCTCGAGACGAGGACGCCGAGCGTCCCCTCGGACTCTCGAAGAACCGTCCCTTCCAGTTCCCGCACGTACTTTGGCGACAGTCGTGTGGCCTCGTTCTTGCACTGGATGATCACTGGCAGCTTGATCACGTTTGTGTCGGCCGGAGAGAACATCCAGTAACCGCGCAGATCGATGCCCTTGTCGTTGCGCTTGCCGCAGGCCCGGAGATCAAATCCAAAGTGCCTGAGTGTGTTCTGGGTGTCCAGTTCAAACTGGTGCCCGACAAAATACGGATCTGTCCGCTGCTGGTGATGTGGGTCGGTGGATGGGCGAGAGACGAATGGGCGAGAGACGAACGGCCGAAACGCACAGCCGGCTTGGGCTGCGGTGGCCGCGATGCGCTTGCATCCGAGGACCAGCATCGCAGACGTGGGCGGTACCGATCTGCGCAAGCCCCGACAGAGCTCGGGATGCAGTCTGCGACGGGTACGAGCTCGAGCTCGGAGATGAGATCGGGGCCAAGGCTGGGACATGTTGGACCGGCACTATGAAAAAAGTTCTTGTTAAAAAAATGAGCGAGAACGAAAAAACGCGCTCTCGGAGCCACCTCGGTCGGCGAGAAGAGCAGTCTCTGGCGAGAGACCCCCGAGGGAAGGCGAGAAGCCTCTCGCCGTCACACACACACACACACACACACACACACACACACTTTGCACAAGGGAGTCAACCACCTCCCATCACCATCCCAAGAGGGATGGCAACCCCGAAGTGGACTGCCCAGAATATGGGCGACCCGGCATCCACTGTCAAAATGCACAAGGAACAGTGCAAGATACTTACAGTCTATCCAGAAAGAAACGGGACAGTCACTTTCTGGTTTCTGAAGCCCGCTGACTGACTTGTAGGCCCAGCGGGTAGGCCGTGGCATTGCACTCCTGTCTTCGTCGGCAATCGCTTTGTTTTGTTGGTTTGGGAAGCATGGTCTTGAATACACCCGGTCGATCTCCTGTGGCGATGATCGACTGGCATACCGAGATCATGTTCCTGGCTGCATTGATGTCTCGATCACACAGCGTATGGCAGCTTGCACAGCTCCGGACAAAGTGTGGTTTCTCGATATCAAGATGCTCGGGTGACTCGAGTCGCTTGGCTTCCCGACAATGTGAGCACACCTGGGATGTGTTGAACTCGTTCACCGAGCACACATGGATCTTGGAGACGGATCGGTCTGGTGGTCGTCTCTGGTGGTGGTGGAACTGCTCAAAGTACTTGGCGAACCTGAGTCTCCTGGGACTGGATGCGTATCCCTTCCCCTGTTTCCAGGATGCATTCCCAAAGGCAATCACCACCTCGGTCTCCTTTGGTGCCTGGTCGATGACTTGCTTGCACATCTCGTGGACGGTGCGCTGTCGCTTGCTGTGGAGATCGAGTCGCTTGAATCGCCGTCGCCGGGTCAGGCTGAAGTACAGCTGTTTGTCCAGCATGTCTCCATCGAACACATGGCGAATGTATAACAGGAAGGGATCCATCCCAGGGATCTTGGGACTTGGTGTGGCACTCATCCAGTCCTGCAGACCAAGGATCTTGTGGGTGCTCTGGATCCACTTGGTCGCCTGGGTGGTGCCTTTCGCTTGAGGGGAGCCATCTGGCGAGAAAATAGCGACGATGGCTGGTTCTGCCCTTGGGGAAGAAAGAATCTCCTCAAAACCAGCGCATTTTGGGCTGGCAGCGACACTGCGCAGTGGCGTCCTTGATTCGGATCCAGAAACGCATCGCTCGCTCAATCAGTGGGAAGACATCTTGTCAAGGTGAGTCTTGCCTGATAGCCAAACGATCATGTCATCTCGCTGACACACAGCCACGCTTGACTAGGTTTCCAACCAGAGAGATTCAGATGGTGGTGGTTCTTGTCCGCAATCGGAGTGGAGCTTCCAACAATGATACAATTGGTCATTCCTCCACACCAATCGCCCACCTTCGCGCCGACACAATCGGCGCCGAGCGGGCGGACTTGACGGCGAGGGCGAGAGGACGAGGAAGCGGGGGAACGAGAGAGCGAGAGAGGCATCAAGAGACGAGAGATAAATAGCCGCCCGTCGCTCGGGACATTGCTCAACATCAGTCCCCCGAGACGATCCAACAAGCACCAGTCCATCGCAATGAAGCACACAACTCTTCCATCGCCGAAACCAGCTTGACCAATACTGCTGGTGAGGTATTCATGGCTTTGTCGATTGCACAAAGTGATACGATGAGCTGCCACTCACGGCTGAGTGATGAAGCAGCAGAGCTCACTATAGGTCCCGACTGCACTTCAACCAGCCCACGATGGACGAAATGAGGTATGTGGAGGACGACTATTCGATCGCATGGCTTCCAGATCGTTATCACTGCAAATCAGCTTATGAGAACCACTTCCTCATCCCCACACCCTTGTTTCCCTCCCTGTTTGGCTGGCTATCAGGTTCGCTGGAAAAGGTAAGTTCCGTTGATTGTGCCGCTGATCAGTTTGCTCATATTGCTGGCATCTGACCACCTCTTCCCATCGCCGATCTGCATTTGGACATGATGAACCAGATTCCGACGATCGATCAGGACGACGACCCGAGGTAGGAAGTGGGCGAGGACGACGGCGAGGACGATGGCGAGGGCGGTGATTTGGATCGGACGAGCGGGATGATCACGGCGGCGATGTTTGGAGCGCCGCGGGACGATGACCACCGGTGGTGTCCTCGATTGGTTCGCTGCGGGGATCATGAAGCGGAGGCAATGAACTGGTGGGGGAACGGAGGACCCGAGTTTGGATGGACGAGGGGCTTGGGGGGCGACCAATGGAAATGGAAGCGGAATATAAATGAATGAAACCAAAAGAACCACTGTTGTCTACATTGGAGCCGGCTGGAGCCGGATGGGAGGGAAGAAACAATCCAGAATGCATCCAGGATCGAATGCATTCTGCGCAGCATGTAACACGTGATAAAGTACTTCTGGGCAAATGCCGAGGATCTGGTGCCCACCACCGTCAATCGGCTCAAGGTGATACCAAATGCCGTCAACCGACCATGGGCGGATTCCAACTTTTGCTGCGCCATATCCAACGTGACTTTCAGGTGACCGAGATGAGCAGCCGCGAGGGGGACGGAAAAAATTGATAGTGGGCAGCTGGACAGGGCCGATCACTCCCGGCTGGCTGCGCCACGCGGCCATGTCCTGCGATTCGCCACAGACTTTTTTTCGTTTTCGCGGGCATGTCGTTCGGTGTTGTTTGCTGTCGTTCGGTGTCGTTCGGTGTTGTTTGCTGTCGCTGATCATCGCCGCCTCGATCTCGATCACCTTCCCCTGCGATATCGACCGAATCCGTCTCTGTGCTGAGGATCCACCATGAGCAGTGCCATCGCCCGTCTCGTTGCCCTGTCGAAGGAGCGCGCCCCCGTCGCCAACGTGCTGTTTGGCGAGGTCGTCGGCACCAAGATGCAAAAGACCGTCAAGGTCCGGGTCGCCAACACCAAGATGCACCCGATCATCCAAAAAGTAGCTGTCTAGTATGCCGCCGCTTTCCGATTGCAGCACCGCGGGAATGCTGCCTGCGATCTTGGGCACGTCCACGGCTTCATGGAGGAGGCAGCTGCGTTTCCGATTGCACATCCGATCTGCTTCCACTTGGCGACTCCCCCTTGGACAACTGGATGGATTGATCTGGTCACTCTGAGCACACGCTAACGCTATCTGCTTTGGCCTGCGTGCGTCCTCCCGCCATCCACTCGCCCTCAGCCCGTCACCATCCATCGCAACGTCTTTGCCCACGACGAAACCGAGCAGTGTGTCGTCGGCGACTACGTCCGCATCGATCATTGCCAGCAAAAGAGCAAAAACAAACACTACACCCTCGGCGAAATCGTCCTGGCTGCAAAGCGGGCACAGGACTCGACAGGCAAGCTGCACACCCAGCGGGTCCACCGCGGCGACCTCACCAGGACCAGCCCGCTCTTCCAGCAGTTCTCCGACGATGCTCATTCGCAGTCGTCATAGAGGCAGCCGTGGTCGCTCCTATCCACGCACTCTGCATCTTCGCCGTCCGCGCCGGCAATCGCTGTCCCGACTGACCTGCCGACCGGATGAAGTACCTTGCCCAACCGTTTTGTTTCCATTCACGAACGCCGCACATCCAATACAATCCGCAGACCTGCGCTGCATCTCGCCAACAATCACACCAACCCATGATCGTGCCGTGTTGGATCTTGCTGGCAAGGGAGGCATGACGAGTGCAAGGCTATCGACCACGGGCCTGCAGCCAGTCAATCAACCAATGCTCGGCCCTGCGGATCTGTTGAGGGATGGAGTCAGCAACGAGCCCTCGGTCATGTCATGCTTGATCCCCAACAGGTCCTCGATCCACCACCCCGACTCTCATCCCTTGCTTAGATTACTCGGCCGCGTCGCATCCCAACACCCACCATTGCTGCGAGCCGGTTGTCGCCCTGTGTCGTGACGATCTTGCGAGTGAGGATTGTCAGGTTGCCATTCAGATTTCCAAAGACCACATCCGTGAGCAGGCGGTCGCCAACGACGGCGATTTGCGACGGCGGCAGTCCGAGGTGCTGCGTCAACTCTTCGCCACCCAGCGGCTTCTTGATCCGATGTCGGAGAACATGCACACCTGTCGCCGGGCAAAAGTCAGCATACATGAGCCAGGAACCGTCCAATGCTATCGCATGGCATCGAGCAGCGGGTGTCGTTGAGGAACTGTTTCTGACGGGATGCGTTTGTTTCCGTACCAAGCGCTGCCTCGACTCGCTCGGCCTGAGATCCGGATGCCAACGAGGCAGGTTGGAACGTGCACATGGCCACAGTCGCAAGGGATTAGACTCGGACTGGTTGCTGCTCGCCAGCATCGCTGCGTCTGGATGCTTTGCGGATCCATAGGATCGATCGTGCCGTGCCGTGTTGTGAAATGCCAGCGTTCCTGACGCACCTCTCTGGAGCCGACATCGTCGGGAGTTCCTGCCGAGTTGGAGACGATCACGATCCGATGCTTGCCAAAGACCTCCTTGCATGTGTTCCAAGCATCCTGGAGCGACCAGCAGCAAAGGATAGGTTATAGCTCTCGACGGCCATATCAAGATCCGCCGGCTGCTGTGGAGATCGGCGAGATGTATCCTCCGGATCAAGGTAGAAAACCAAGCGGTACCTGGAATGGCGGATGAATCTCGTTTTGGTATGGGGCCGTCAGGGTGTTGTCCTTGTCAAAGGCGATCGCTCGGATGCCCCGCTCGTCTTTCAGATCCTTGAAATTGATGGATCGCAGATCTGGCAGGTCTATTGTGATCAGCGACGCATCGAGTGGGAGGCTGGGGCCGCTGGTATGACCGACAGGGCTGAATTGACAGCGATTGCCCACTGGCTACCAACATCCATACCATCGACAACGATGTTGGGTACGACGAGCGAGGGCCGGGCGAGAACCCTGAATGCCGTTGCGATTCCAGCAAGATTCAGACTCTGGACCATGGATGCCGGCGGTGGGATGCTGCACCCTCAAGATGTCGACGCCAGGGCTGGCCGGCAAAGTTGATCAAGCGGCGGCGGGTGCTCGACGGAATCTGGTTGCGGAGCAGATCAAGTCAGGGCTGGTGGACGCGCTGATGAGGGGCTCGCCATCAAGACAGCCACGGCCATGGCGATACGGCATTTCTATGGACTCGACCTGCGAGCCCACCGAACGGCTGGGGTCGGTACGGTATCGCCTCCCGATGAACCAAGGGCCGAACGCACAGGGAGCAATCGAACGGATCGTGTTTTGCGATCGTCCTGGCAGTAGAGATGCGATTCGTCATTCGTGAGAAGGAGCCATGTCCCGGTTCGAGCAAGACCGAGCAGCCGGAGCCGTTTGGGGTTGTGTTCAGACTACTCGCTGCGGCCCCGCTTGAGACTCGAGAACATGGCCCGGAAGGACCGGATCCGTTGCCGCTCCGAGAGGAAGCTGTTGATGGACCGGGATGCAGCGTTAGTACTTGATGAAGGGCCGACCCGCGCGGCACTAATTGCTTGCTCCTCGCATTCGCCATCGGCCACTGCCGCTGATTCTGGCATCACCTACATGAGACCCAGCATTGCTATGGCGCATGCGGCGCCGATAGAGACATGCGTGAGCTTGCCGCGCAATGTCAGCCAGTCGAATCGGGTTTTGGACCAGAATGTGACGCCCGCAGAGAAGGCGAATCCCAAGAGCACCTTGGGCTCCAGCGGCAGTAGTTGCACGATGCTCAGTCGAGACTGGAACTGGAGTCTTGTCTTTATGCCTTCATCTTTGGCACTGTCCTCACCCCGAAAGATGTCGGATGTAAAATACTTGACGATGAAGCGCCAGCTCCACACGATTCGCATCAGCAGATTGATGATGTTGGACACCACCATGCCGGTGCTGCCGAGCTGCAAAAGCTCGATCGTCGTGTATCCCGATGCCAAAAAGACGACCCAGAAGACCACCATCCAGTGGCTCTGCTGCCGAATCAGATTCTTGTCTGCCACGCCTTGGAAAAACGCCTCGGTGATGCCGTTTAGTGCCATGATGGGGACGTAAAGACAGTAGGCTGCCATGACACTGGGTGCTGAGGTTGAGCTCCATTTCTGTCCACCGATGATGTGAATGAGTGCGCCCGAGTAGCTTGGCCCAAACACGACGAAAAACAGTCCGAGGTAGATGTAGGCCCGAATGAGATTAGTCAGGAACTCGAGCGAGGCCTTGATGTTCGGGTCGTCGGATCCTGAGGGCGGGGCCGATAGACGACGACGGCATTTTCAACCACAGGATCAGTGCTCTGTATCAAGTCCATATCTGCTCATCTTGGTGGCATCTGGCCAGGAACGGTACAGGGCACATTCTTGCGGTGTTGAGCTTACCACTGACGGACGACAGGCTCTTGGAGAAGAATGCCCGGCTGGTTTCCTCAATCGGCTGGAACAATATGCGGGCAACAAGCGAGCCTGTGCAGACAAGTGGTTGCGGATTTGGTTGGGTAAGCGCACGATTCGCCCACAGGACAGCAATTTCGAGATTATGCCGCACCGTAGTTGCCGACAAAGCTGTAGACACCGAGCTCGTTGCGGTTGCTGATTGCCCAGAGGAGAATGCGGTCGCCTTCGGTGAGCAAATGCTTCAGGAAGGACTGTCGGAAGAAGGTGAGAGAGAGGGCAAAGAGCTTTGGGTCCAGGAGAGCGACGTCTGTGCCGCCGTTTGGGCTGATGGAAGCAGCGATGTGAGTCGTTGGTCAGGAGGGTGTGTTCGGTGATGCACAACTCAGGCCGGACTGAGTCTTTCGTCGACGTACCCAGGCACTGCTTTTGGGGTCAGGGGCCACAGCGAATGGGCCGAAGTTGGGGTCTTGGGCTTGGAGAGCTCGGGCACAGTCGCATAGCAACCAACGAAGCCGACAATCAGACAGAGCGAAAAGGCGAACTGGGCCACGCCCGAGGCGAGCACACCGAACCGGTCTCCGATACCAGAGTCGCCGGTGTTTCTCCAGAGCCAAAACAGAGCCAGGGTGGTGATGCATCGGACGACAAAGCCGACACCTTCGACCCGAACCCGGGCCCGGTAGAGCAGCCGGTCGCTGATGAGGTTGTAGACAGGCTCGGAGGCAAGCTCGATAACGGCAGCAGCCAGAAACAGGGCCAGGGCCAGATCGTAAGCCCAGGTCGCTGTCGCTCGAGAGCCATCGTCTTCGGACGGCCACACGCTTCGGTATCGAGAATAGATCCAGATTCCAGCTGAGAGCATCGATCCCAAGACCAGGGGCAGCCAGGACATGTTGACGAGCCTCTGCACTCGCCTCTCTTCTTCGAGCAGGGCCTGCGGGCTTGCTGGGTCAAAGTCGGGCTTTCGGGTGCTCCTCAGCAGCGCCATGCGGATGCTCTCTCGGGAGAGAAACAGCACTGTGGCAGAAATCAGATCCAGCACAGCAACATCGCCGCTGATCTTGGAGCTGGCCAGCCGCCAGAGGAGGACGTTCAGGAGAAACGTCCCGAGTCTCGAGACAAGCTGGAGGGCAAAGAGGTGGGCGACTCCGTGGACGGACTGGGACAGAGTCGTGGACATGACCGCGGCAGCCGGGCGAGGAGCGGGCGAAGGTGTCGAGATGACGGTCGAGATGGTGGTTGAGATGACGGTCGAGATGGTGGTTGAGATGACGATTGAGATGGTGGTTGAGATGAACAGCGCGCGTCAGCCCAGGAGAGATCGTCGGATGCAGCGTCCCAAAAACGAAACAGGCCGAGCCGCCAACCCAACCATCTTGATGCTGAGCATCCACGGAGCTGTCCAAAGGGGCAAGTGTCTATTTCCTATCCAAACAGGGTTCCCCAACAACAAGCAGCCTATGATTCGTTGAAAATTCAAGGTCGCTTTTCCATTTTGTTTGACCTTGGCAATTGAATTAATGGTATCTGTCATTAGGAGAGCAAACCTAATCAAGCTCACACTTGGGCTCGATTTCCAATAAACCCCAAATCGAATATCGAGGATTCATTCAGGGACTGACGTGCAATAATATTTGAATATAAATTTTTAATAATGCAATGCTCTGGAAATTGGTTTTGTTTCAAACGATTCCATTGATTACATCATTCGCTTCTTTGAGCGTGTCGATCATCAGCTGGATTCGAGCTCTCTCTTCAACAATATGGTCTTGCTCTTGAAGCAGGTCACTAATTTCTGGAACCTTGTACAGTTTGACATTGAGCTCTCGATATATATGAACCTTTGCAAAAATGACCAACTTGTACATGATTGCTTTGTGAACTTGATCCGTAATTTGCTCTTTGATGATTTCAAAGTATACATTCAGGACCTCCTCTAAAGCGAACCAAAGTATCAGTGCCGTTATCAGGGAAGATCTGAAAACCAAGCTAGTACTTTCATTATGGATACTTACTCAGAAGTTGAACTCGATATTTTTCGCGCTCACTCAATGAGCCTGGGATGATCCTCAGAGGCTGGATAAAAGAGTTTACTTTATCAGAGCGAGTATTCGACAATGTTTGTCCCAAGCCAAGGAAGTGCGCTTTAGTGTGCGTTGCTCTGCTTTCACTTACACCTTGAATCGAATTCAAATCTTTTTGAAGGAATTTTGGGTCTTGGGAGATGGAGAAGTGGCTTTGTTCATCAGTGTTGTCGGGAATCGTTTCAGCTTGTGATATTTCGTTTGCGACGACCCAGGGCTGGGTGAAGAGATCTTGGTGCTTCCGTTGCAATCTTGGATGGCTCATATTGACATATGCTCCTTCCGCAGAGATTATATCATACACAAATGCTTGCGCGGAATTCATCGCATTCTGGAGGAACTCAGTGACAACTTCCTGAAACTTTAATTTGAATAATGGGAATCTCGAACAAAGCTTTAAAAAATTTGATTAGAATAAATTAATAATCAAGAGTCACGGAAATAAGATACTCACAAGTCTGCTCTTGTCTTCAAGAATTTCTTCTGCAATATTCAACAATTCGATATGGATCATGTCTACTAATTCAGTACAGGGCCGTTTTAGTTTCTGAACGGCTTTTCTGGCAAATATCTCGAAGGCTCTTTGGTTGAATATCATATCTTCGGTCATGCCCTATATACGATCGAGGATGTGGTAAATTTAGGTATCAACGAATATTAATATCGATCCTGGCAATGCTTGATTCAAATTTGCCAACCCTTTTTGAAATCAGTTTTATGACTCACGGAAGCTTTTTTGATGCCAACTCGGATCTCCTCATCCGATGTTCCATCGAGAGCATCTATTATTTGAATTGATTCTCTATAAATTTGGTTGATGATCCCCAAAATTTTGGCTCCTCCCTTGAGCTCGATAAATTGGTCTTCAATATCAGTTCCATCTAAAACCTCTTGAAAGCTCCGGTGGAATTCTTCGATTTCATTTGATACGAGATTATCGACCTTGACGAAAATGAATTTAGTCGAAAGTCCTTTCCAAATTACCCAAATATGGTGAAGAAATTGTAATACGAGCGTTTTAACCTACTCCGTCACTTATTTGAGATAATCTTTCATCCTGCAGCAGCTTTTTATGAAGTGAAAGGTCGTTGGTAATTTTTTGCTTGATCGCCGGGAGTGTTTTCTTGATGTGTTTCTTTAAAATCTGTGCGATAATAACTTTTATAAGCTCACACTCCAGTCTTCCACTCATTATTCACATAAAGCATTGAACTAGCTTCTACCTCACTTAGACGCTTTGAAAGAAACTCAGTTCCACACTTGTTGACCAATCCTGGATACTTGGATCTGAAAAACTCTCTTTCCGCCGCCAGAGCTTGTTCAATACTCTTTTTCTCGTTAATATCTTGTTGACATCGATTGACTACGGGGATATAGCCTGATTTACGGAAAGAGTTCAAATTTAGGCAATCAGTCATACTGAAATATCAGAGCCTTGCCTTTAGATTGGTCAGTAACGTATCAAATTTCTCCACTTGAAGTGAAGTGGCATCATCATTACCTAGCGTCAAGTTGATTTGGCTGTTTCTCATAAAACTGACAACATCAGTTCCTCTATCCATCAAATCGACTTTGGTTAAAACTCCGATGGTCCTTTCGCCCTTGGGGTCAACTTTTTGCGCTAGTTGAATTCCGGCTGAATTGGCGAGATCCACATTTGCAGCGGATACGGCAAGGATGACTGTGTTTTCTTTCGATATGAAATGCATAATCATATCTCGGATTTGCTCTTCAATATCGGCGGGCTGATCAGCTCTCCGAGCGGAGATGACACCAGGAAGATCGACCAGAGTTAGGGTTGGAACATGAGGTGAAGAGATTTTGATATTGATAGGCTCTTTGGACACATGGTATTTTCCTGAGAGCTTGTTGCTGGTGATTTCAAGAATTTTGGACTGTACTTGAGAAATATCGCTAAATACGATTTTCTCTGGATATAAAATTTCAGCTCGCTCTTGGGCATAAGCCTCCGGAAGGTTGACGAGTTGGAGGACAAGTGGGCATCGAGTCACCATGCCATCGCCTATAATTTTCAATCATTGGTTTTCATTATACTAATTTTCAGAGCAACGACTTGAGCTCCAATCAATAAGGCAGAAAAATTGAATCGAAAACACAGGATACGTACCTCTCGGAAGGAAATCGCGGCCGACAATATTTTCAAGGACGGAGCTCTTGCCGCTACTTTGGCTTCCAACGACAACAATCTTGAGAATGACAAGTACGGCATTATCAACATTTTGGTTAATGGTTGAAAATAAAACGGCTCATCCGCATCATATTCATTATATTACCATGCCGAATTCCTACCTGAGGGAGATCTATCGAGTGAGAGTATGCAAGCGATGCAAACACATTCTGGAGCTTGTTTACTTGAGGATGTTGAATCAGAGTAATAGTCAATGATCACAATTAGATTTCTTTTCCACGAAAATTCATTAAGTTCAATAATACAGAAACTGAATAGCTAATTCTGAGACTTTGATCTAGAATAATGATTCTCTTGTGGCCTCTCTCCAAGCTTATGTAAGGAGTGAACAAGCGCAAGGACGAAGACCAAGTGCTTGGTATGAGCTTTATTAGCTTTTAGCCCCGAACACCAAAGAACAAGTTTTGTTCGAACTGGTGTTCAACATAGGCTCAGACATGCAGGGCTATTTATAGACCGGGAGAAGGTCGAGGGGCAAAAGTGGGCGAGAAGGGTGGAGCATCACAGAGAAGCGAGAAGGGGGTGCGAGAGTGGCTGGTGTGCAAGCGAGAGAGGCTTGGCACAGCCCGGGGACATGTGCCGAGCGGTGGGGGAGGCAGGAAACCAGTAGACGCGGGTGGCAACGGCGCGTGCTCATGCATGGGGGCAAACAAACACGTGGGGACTCATGATTGGTGCGGAGGGCGAGAGCATGCGGGACAATCTCATTGGTCCGTTGTGATGCTGGTCATCACACTATCTCCTCCTTAAACTACGGCGTGTTCCATCTTGAGTTCTCCTGGGGCCAGGCTTGTCTGGGTAGCGTCGGTGGTACTCCGCGGCCACCGTTGGGGCAAAGACAATGTCGGCGGGCTCCCAACTTCGATCGGTGACCGGGTAGCCTTTCCAATCGATGAGATAGTGCAGCTTTCCGCGCACGAACTTGGAGTCTAAGATCTCTTCGACCTCCCACTCCAAGTTCCCATCGATGACCACCGCAGGGGGCGGCGCTTGCACCCGACCCGGAAGCGAGTTCTTCTTGTAGGGCTCAAGAAGAGACACATGGAACACCGGGTGCACCTTTATGTCCTTTGGCAAGTCCAGGCGGAAAGCCAATGTCCCGACGGCCTCGAGGATGGTGAATGGTCCAATCCTCTGGTAATCCAGCTTCTTGCTTGGGCGAGTGGTGCTGATGTTACGAGTCAGCACCCAGACTTGATCGCCCGGACGCAAGTCGGGAGCCTGGGACCTCCGGAGATCTGAGAAGTGCTTGTAGTCAGACTTTGCCTTCTCAAGATTCTCCTTCAACAGTGCCAGGTTCCGCTGGAGATGTTCAACCCTCTCCGTGGCAGAGGGAACATCAGGGCCGCCAGCGACAACGGGGACTTCGAACCTTGGGTGGAACCCATAGGTTGCCAAGAATGGCGAGGCATGTGTTGACGAGTTCTCGAGGTTATTGTAAGAGAACTCGGCCAACGGCAGCAGCTCGGCCCAGTCATCTTGCTGATACGACGTGTAACAGCGCAGGTATTGGTTGATGACCTGGTTGACCCTCTCAGTCTGTCCATCGGTCTGGGGATGGAAGGCCGTGGACAGACTGGTTTGGATCCCGAGCTGCGTGCAGAGTGCCTTCCAGAACCGAGAGGTGAACTGACTTCCTCGGTCTGAAACCACTGTGTCGGGGTGTGAGGACCACGACAAGCAACGACACTGGACGACCAGGTGCTTGGCGAACAACGATAAGCTATATTACGACTTATCAGATAACAACAAGTGTTGTTCGAACTGCAGATACAAAATGGGTGCAAGAAAGGAGGGGCTTTATAGCCAAGAGGGAAACCGAAGGGCGAAAGTGGGCGAGAGGGGTGGAGCGACAAACGAGGGACGAGATGGGGGTGCGAGGGAGGCGGAGCTGCTAGAGAGAGGGGCGAAGCACAGCGCAGTCGGAGGCGAAGTAAGAGTCATCGGCGCCAGCCAATCAGGGAATACACGCCAAGACAAACAAACATGACTCACGGTGCATCACGCGCAGCAGTCCACACGTGTTCCCAACGTGCATGATCATCACATCATCCCCTCCCCAAACTACGGCCACTCCTGCGAACAATAAGTCCAGGCTTGTCGGGGTACCGGCGGTGGAAGTCGGCTATCTTGTCGGGAGCGTTAACGTAGTTGGCGGGCTCCCAGCTGCGATGATCAGTCGAGTAGCCCTTCCAATCAACGAAATAGCTCAACTTACCGCGGACCAGCTTGGAGTCGAGGATCTCCTGGACTTCATACTCCAAGTGGTCGTCGACGCGGACTGGCGGAGGAGGGTCTTGGATGCGGCCGGGGAGGGTGTTCGACTTGTGGGGCTCAAGGAGGGAGACATGGAACACCGGATGGATCTTGAGATCCTTGGGAAGGTCGAGGCGGAAGGCGAGGGAACCGATGGCTTCGACGATCTTGTAGGGTCCGATGCGCTGGTAGTCCAACTTCTTGCTTGGACGGGTGGTCTTGATGTTGCGTGTTAGGACCCAGACTTGATCGCCAGGAGCGAACTTGGGAGCGTCGGACTTGTGGGCATCCGCAAAGCGCTTGTAGTCCGCCTTGGCCTTCTCGAGGTTCTCCTTCAGCAACGCCAAGTTGTGCTGAAGGTGTTCGACTCGGTCGGTCGCGGAGGGGACATCGAGGCTGGAAGGAAGGACCGGAGACTCGAATCGAGGGTTGAAGCCGTAAGTCGCCAGGAACGGGGAGGCCTTGGTCGAGGTGTGCTCGAGGTTGTTGTATGAGAACTCGGCGAGCGGGAGCAGCATCGCCCAGTCATCCTGCTGGTACGAGGTGTAGCAGCGGAGATGCTGGTTGATGACTTGGTTGACCCGCTCAGTCTGTCCATCGGTTTGGGGGTGGAACGCCGTGGACAGACTGGTCTTGATGCCGAGTTCTGAGCACAGGGCCTGCCAGAACCGCGAGGTGAACTGGCTTCCTCGGTCCGAGACGATGTTGTCCGGGAGACCGTGGAGACGGAAGATGTTGTCGAGGAACAGCGACGCTGTTTCCTCGGCACTTGGGAGGGACCGACAGGGAAGGAAGTGGGCCATCTTGGTCAGGCTATCGACGACGACAAAGATGCAAGTCTTGCCGTTGGACTCGGGGAGGTCGGTGATAAAGTCCATCGTCACCAGAGACCAGGGTCGCGATGCCGTCGGGAGGGGCTGCAAGTATCCAAACGGCTTATGTCGAGGGACTTTCGAGCGTGCACAAGTGTCGCACGTCGAGACATAAGCCTGGACATCCTTGCGGATTGAGGGCCACCAGAACTGCCTCGAGATCAGTGCCCGAGTCCGCCGAATGCCAGGATGTCCAACAGCGACAGGATCGTGGCATGACTTGAGGACGGGGACTCGACACGACTCGGGCACAACGATCTTGTCCATGAAGGTGAGGAGACCATCCTTCAGGACATACTTGGGATCGTTGCGGAGCTGGTCCAGGGACGGGTCCTTGGGTTGCTCCTCGGCAATGAGCTTGAGCAAGTCCACAGGGCGAGTGGAACTTGCATCCGAGGAGCGACGGACGGCACAGGCGAACGACGAAGGTGGCAGCAACGGGGGAGGCTCCTTGGACACAGGTGCGGACGGAGGGACGTAGTCCGGGCGGCGGGAGAGAGCGTCGGCCTTGCCGTTCTTTGGACCGGGGAGGTACTGGATCCGGAGGTCGAACCGAGACAGGAACTGCGACCACCGGGCGTGTCGCTGGTTGAGGATGCGGGCCGACGCCAGGTATTCCAAGTTCTTGTGGTCGGTAAGGACTTGGACTGGGTGTTGGGCACCTTCGAGGTAGTGTCGCCAGACCTCGAAAGCCTCCTTGATGGCCAAGAGCTCCTTCTCATAGATGCTGTAGTTGCGTTCAGCATCCATGAGCGTGCGGGAGTGGAAGGAGCACGGGTGCAGGTGGCCATCGGAGCCGCGCTGGGACAGGACGCATCCGATCGCAAAGTCTGAGGCATCAGACTCCACGACAAAGGGCTTGGATGGGTCGGGGTGCGCAAGGACGGGCTCGGAGACGAAGGCTTCCTTGAGGGACTGGAAAGCCTTGTGGGCGTCGGGGGACCAGCGGAAGACCTGGGACTTCTTGAACAGGAGCGTGAGCGGACCGGCGATCTTGGCATATCCGTCAATGAAGCGACGGTAAAAGTTCGAGAACCCAATGAAGGAGCGAAGGTCGGAGACATTGCGGGGGACGGGCCAGTCGACAATGGCGGAGAGCTTTGCTCGTTCCATCTCGATACCCTTGGGCGAGATGACGTAGCCGAGGAATGAGACCTTGTCCTTGGAGAACTCGCACTTCTCCAGCTTGCAGTACAACTTTGCAGCCTGGAGCTTGGCCAGGACCTGCTTGACGTGATTTGCATGCTGAGTGGGGTCAGCGCTGTAAATCAAAATGTCGTCAAGGTAGGCAATCGCAAAGTTGTCCAGTTCATCACGAAGGACATCGTTGATGAAGTGCTGGAAGGTGGCCGGAGCATTGGTGAGTCCAAAGGGCATCACCAAGTACTCGAACTGGCCGTAACGAGTGCGAAAGGCCGTCTTCCACTCGTCGCCTGCGCGGATACGCAGCAGGTTGTAGGCCCCGCGGAGGTCCAGCTTCGTGAACACCTTCGCGTCCCGGACTCGGTCCAGCATCTCATTGATCAACGGTAAGGGGTAACGATTCTTGACCGTGATCGTGTTCAATGCGCGATAGTCCACGCAGAGACGCAGAGAGCCGTCCTTCTTCTTGACGAAAAGGATCGGAGAACCGGCGGGAGAGGACGAAGGACGGATGAACCCTTTGACGAGGTTGTCGTCGAGGTATTCACGAAGGGCCTTGAGTTCGGGCTCTGACAGGGAGTAGAGCGGTCCGAACTTGGGGGTCTTGCCGGGCTCCAGGTCGATCGGGCAGTCGTACGTCCGGTGCGGGGGCAACGAATCGGCTTCCTGCTTCGAGAAGACTGAGCCAAACGACTTGTACTCCTCGGGGATCGACGTCGAGAGGGGCGTCGGATCCGGATCGGTGGCAGGAAGGACGAGGACTTGGAACACAGTCAGGGGGTCGGGGCTAGACTGTGTGTCGAGGACGGACTGCTCCAACGACTTGTACCTGATCGCTTGGACACGGACAGGAGCGGGGCTGGGAGCAACGGGACCGGGGAGACCAGGAC